TTTATTCGAGATTATATTGCTCCTAACGTCATTTATCACTTATACTTTGAAAATCCAGATATATATGAAAAATTTTCTGTTGTTCTACAAAGGATGTTTAAGTCCGATGCTTTGAAATTCAAAATGTGTAGAACCAAATTAGTTGACGTTACAGATAAAACTGATATCAAGGACATTATCCGGAATTACCACGAAAGCAAGTCGAATCATCGTGGAATTGAGGAAACGCATCAGAGAATAAAAGAAAAATATTTTTGGCCTAACTTGAAAAAATCAATCCAAACATTTATAAATGAATGTGAAATTTGTCAACAATGTAAATATGAGCGTCATCCGATAAAAATTGCGATGAATCTCACCCCCACTGCATCAAAACCTTTTGAAATCGTACATATCGATACTTTCACTTTTGAAGGTTCAAAATTTCTCACAGTTATAGACAGTTTTTCCAAATATGCTCAAACATATCAGATTACTTCGCTTTCAGGAACTGAAATTGCTGATAATCTGATATTATTCTTTTCTCATCATGGAATTCCTACCCGAATTATCGCAGATAATGGCACTGAATTCAAAAATACCGTTGTAACTGAACTTTTGTCACTTCACAAAATTAAGCTTCATTTTATTTCGCCAAATCATCCAGATTCTAATGGAGTCGTTGAACGATTTCATTCAACTATCACCGAACATTTAAGATTGTTGAACACAGAAGGCTTTCAGAAAACCCCTATAAAAATGAAAATGTTGTATGCCGTTTTAGCCTACAACCACACCTTACATTCTGTAACAAAATTAAAGCCTATAGATATAATCAATGGACATATTACGTCGAATGAACCATTCGATATCAAAATCGACCAATTACTCCTCAATGACTATACCAACAGCCACAAAGAGCGTACAAAACTATTGTATTCAAAAATAAATTCTGATCTCATTCAAAACAAAGAGAAAACGCTAGAACGCGTTAACAGAGATAGCGATAGTCCGACTATACTTGATAACCGAGAAACAGTATACGTCAAAAAGCATGTTAGAAAAAAGCACGCCAACAAATTCTCAAAGCCGTGTAGACTACAAAGTGTTAATACGGAGAAAAAGACCGTCGCGACGGACCAGCACGGAAAAGTGCATATAAGTAATTTGAAACGTCCGCTACGCAAACTTTATTCGTTTGACTAAGCCTCGAGCAATTAGATAAAAAACTATGTATGTAATCTACGTTTACTTTACTCTTAATTGCACGCTAAAAATAAAATTTTCTTTCGAATATATTATTTTACAGGTTCCCAGGAATCATAGGAATCCATGGTACGATAACGTTGAAGAATTTAGAAAATAACCTAGGGTTGATACCCATGAAATTAGGGACCGCCAAAATTACAAAAAATTGTCACTCAATACTGTATTTTTACGACGTCAATTTAATAATCACTGAAGTTAATGACCTTAAGAAAAAAAACTGAAAATGTTGCGACATTATCCAGGAAATATATTGAGCACTATAAACACTCAGCAAATTACCTCAATGTTTTGTATTTCTTAGAAAGAAAAGTAGATGGAAAGCTAAATGACATTTTTCCCTCTACTTACGAAACTGTTCCATCATTTTCTGTTAGAATAAAAAGGGGATTAATAAACGGCTTAGGTTCAATTTTCAAAGCAATCACAGGAAACCTGGATGCTTCAGATGGTGAAAAATTCGAGTCTCTAATAAGCGATTTGCAGAATGATCAAAACAAGTTATCAGAAGCTATCAATAGTCAGAATACCTTATCTGTCGAACTTATCGATAATTTCAATAAAACTGTAAGTCAGATTACTCATAACCAAAAGCTATTGGAAGCTAAAATAAATCAGCTTTCAACAGCCATGATTAACACACAAGCCTACATAGAAAATTGCATTTTCTTGAGAGATACAATCTCAGAGATCATGAATATCTATCATATCATAATTTCAGTGCTCCAGGATATAGAAAACTCACTTACTTTTGCAAAATTGGGAATTATGCACCCCAGTGTAATCAAACCAAAACATTTACTTCAAACACTAAATTCAGTGGCATTAAAACTATCCACAAAACAACTCCCTTTAGAAGTTACTTTGGATAATATCCCGATTTTTGAAAAGCTCATTAAAATCAGCTGTTATACAGTTGATAGAAAAATAACATACATTCTTCAAATTCCAATTGTTCATACATTCCAATTTGATTATTATCACTTATATTCAATTCCAACCTTTCATAAGGGTCTGTTCAAAGTAGTCATCCCTTCTGGAAAATATCTTGTAAAGAATGAGTTGTACTTCGCTTTTGCGGGAGACGCATGCACGGAAACGGTCGCAAAACAGTACGTTTGCAAAGAACTAGATTTAAGAAGAATCAAAGAATCCAATCCCTGTGAAGTTCAACTCCTGGTACAAAAAACTCCCACTACCTGCCGAGAAGTAGAAGCCGTAATCACAGAGCCAGTAATGAAGAAACTGCATGATTTCGGACAATGGATCTTGCTTATACCCAATGAAACCACCATTACATTAAGCTGTCAAGAAGGCCAAGAAACAGTCAAAGTTTTGGGATCCTACTTAGCCGAAATTCCAGTCGGTTGTACACTGGAACTAAATCAAGACCTGATCGCCAATCAAGAGCCTATATCGATTGGAAGTCAGCCTATTATTTTTCCAAACATAGATAGCAATACTTCAATTGCTACCAAGCCGAGTGACTTCAGCCTTCACCTAGACCAAATAGAATTTGATGAAGTTCACAAAGTAAAAAGAAGATTAATAGAAAATCGTGTTGACATCCATTCACATAAGGTGTCGCACATTCCCAGTTCTTGGACAATCCTGTTGTATGGAGTACTGCTGCTGCTACTTTGCTGTTTTGTCTACAAGAAGATCATTCCGAAGATTTTTACTAAGCCGAAGAAACCACAAAGAACCCCTATTGAAGAAGTTGATCTTTCCAATGTGCAACTTCCTCGTTAACCCTCGAAGTTGCATCTACAAGGGGAGGCGTTATAGTACAGAAGATTTACCCCTACCACTAAAGAAGAGGATCGAGTTTCCCTGGATCAGCGCTTTGCCTCATCCAGTCTTATTTTATTGTATTCAGAGTTAGTCAGTCTGTTGTTAGCGCTCATACTACATACATCAATAAAATTGTATTTTTGATAATCGAGAATAAATCTTTTTAAAAAGCAAGTAGACTGACTCGGTCAGATAATTAGCCTAACCCGCTGCCCTATCAATACAAATTTAACATACAGGTCGCCTAGCCGTGGGGATGCAGTGGTCGGGATGAATATCACGGCAGCAACTGATCATTTGGGCACGTCTGGTAACAACGTATGAAGTGAAACTCGCTAACTTCACAAATTTAAAGATTTTGTACAATTTCTTTGAAAATAATGAAAGATATCTGATTTGGCAGGGTAATGTCGCAGCCAAATGGCAGTCACTCTTTCTGACACAGTCCGGATCGAAAGATGACGATACTCGTGAAATGTATTGACACTTCTAAATATAGGATCCTATCGAACATCCCTACTGTCAAGATGTATAACCCAAGATACCGACGGAGCTATTTTGCGGTGTCATGGAAATAATTTTAAATTTTCATTTGCATTTTTTCAAGTGTTGTGCAATGATTTTGGGAAAAATGTCACGAATAGTTTTATAAAGCATAGTAGAGTATATTTCAACAGTTGGCGGAACTTACTCCACTGGGACCATTAGGGTGAAACGGGATATTAATGCACAATCTGGCAACCCTATCGCACCCTCACAAAATGGCCGCTGACAACCACACAAGTCACCGTGTTGTGATTGAATAGCATGGAATTAAACCTTCAGAGTATGTTTTGTGACTGGTACCAAGAGTTGACAGAGCCCACACATGTGTCACTCCTTGAAATGCAATAATCAGCTGTATTCAAATAACGTCTAATATAAATATAACCCAGAATATCTACTCAGTGAAAAAAGAAAAATATTGCAAATTTCTAGTTTTTCTTCAGGTTTTAGGTTTGCTGGTAGCTCTACGACATATATTTGGGTATTTCTTAATTGCTGTGAATATAGTGTGGATGTTTATTAAGATCCTGAACAACGAAAAATATTCAACTTTATGGATGTATGGATATTAAAAAACCAGAATGGTTTTGTGGGAATATCAATCTAAGGTGCCATAATGGTTCTGATGAACGGCAAGTAAATGAATGAATGTTTGGAAACGAGCAATATCTATGAACTTTTTGGTAGAGCCAGTCATCAAGTAGGTGCTTAATGGCTATCTGCAACAGGTTTATAGGAAAAAACACCCAGTAGATGATCTTGAATCAGTAAAATCGCATATCAGTTGAAGAATTATCATGAATAAAAGATCAACAATGGTAATTAAAACATGAATTTTATTCAAAAATCAAACATTTGTTTAAATTTTGACTGAATTATATGTAATTTCTTAATATTCAATAAGCTGGTGATGTTTCAATGACAAGATGTCATCTCATACTTTGACAATATTTTGTTTTCAACATTTCATAGCTATTAGTTGCTAAAATTTGTTGATTGGAACTTGAAGCTCATTCGCTGTATTTAACGGGCTGTTACCCTATAGGTGGAGAATAACGGACTGTTGTTGGTGAAATTGGCCCTAATTATGCCAACTTGTCGAAGAGAAAAAGGATGTAATTTCGAAATCCCATCTCAAATGAGGTCAAGAAAAAATAAAAAAGATTTTTGAAAAATTCTGTTTCTTTCGTCTGTGCCCGGAAATGCGAAACTTTATAACAACCATTTTCTTAGTTACCTAAACGCACAAGCTATCTCCCACCTTCATATCTCTTACCGTTTTTGAGATCCGAATGGTGAGAGTCGAATTTGAAACGCCCGATGTAATAAGTAAATCAACTTCCAAACCAGACTCATCTAGTATATCTTCACATGAGCGAATTGAATTTACCTACAAGTTAATGTGTTTGTTACAGGAAGCTCTCATTATAGTCATCCGAACTCTCCTCATTACTCTCAAGCGCCAGTCTACTCGAATACGAACCCTACACCACCATATAACTTGGAGTCCTATTACGATACCAGCAAATCATTGGCTGATCAATATCAGGTAAGAAAAATATCATGGTAATCGAGTTGAAGATCCTTGAAAAGTAACATGTTATTAAACTGAAATAAATATTGCTCTTTTAGATTATGGTTACATGCCTAGAGTTTTTGGCTTACAGAGAAGATGTGTTAAATGCATATCAAATTTAAAGTACACGGATCCTTGCCGGAATAATTCATTAAATTGAATATCATGACATTGCCTCGTCTATACATCTATGCTTGCATCATGCATGTTAAAGCTTACTATCACAATTGTACAACTCATCAAGTACTCATAATTACAAGAACAAAAACAAAGACCATTTGTTTTCAAATCGTCATCGCCTTTCCAAAACTAGATATGCTGTTAACTACCAAGGGTTAAAATTATACAACCTATTGCCAAATAAAATAAAACCCCTCGATTTTAAACAATTTGGCAAAACTGAAATGTTTCCTACTATCCTTTTTTTATGTAGAAGACCTCCTTAACTTTAATTTTATCAGCCTGGCATAATTTGAATTGTATTTAGTCTCTTTTATATTTTTTTAACCATCTCTATTTATTGTTCATCTGAATTTTAACTTCGGTTATTAACTTTTTTACCTTTTATAGCCACTTTGTGTTTTATGTTTGTCTTATTTACGTATTGTTTGTTGTTTTTACTTTTTATGTTCTACGTCAAGTGACCTGTGCAAACACATTTTTGTGTAATGCCACCAATAAATTATTATTATTACTACGTCAAAATATTCAATATTGTCGCTCGCAAAACTTGATAATATCACGGTTTCATTTCGTTGCATTGATTTAGTAGCAAAGCTTATGGTAGAAACTACCTTTTATCCTTTGCTTCAAATGATATCGTGAATTATTTTGTCTTCGCCAACCATCGACTACAAAAAATATTCATACATACACATATAAGGTGTTCCATGTAGCACTGCAGCGATCAATTACTCGAAAAGTTGTCGTTAGACAATTATGAAAACTTGAGATTATGATATAACTGACACGATGAATTCGACTAAAATATTTTCAGAATTATGGCATTTCCGGTAGTACCGGAAGTAGATGCCAACTTGCTTATTTTGAATGGAATGCCCTGTAAATTATTCAAATTTTGAAATCCACTCAATATTTTGAATACATTTCATCTATAACATCCTACACCAGGCCTCTCCAACTCAGGTGCCACCAGTGCAGCGCCGAGCACCGCTCGCATCACAGTGCTGCGGGGTGACTCCGTGAAGGTGTTGTGCTAACCGTAGCACCCTGCGAATAGAAATGACCCGGGAGCTGGTGGCATTGAGTATACCTTCATCGCGGATTCGACTAAATTTAGTAATAATATGTAGTTTTTAAGTAAATGAACAAGAAGAGCTCAGTAAAACGGGGGGGCGCATCCTGCCAGAAGTACCTGTCATACCGACTTAAAGATACAGCGTGACAAGAGAATTTCACCGTCCTCGCCGAATCCAATGAAGCCTACAAGGTTTGGTGGAAATTTTAGGTGCATTTGGAAAAACATGGTATGACAAACTGATTTCCGCCAGAAGTTTCTGTCGTACCGACTGAAAGCTATAGCAGGCAATGCAAATAGATAAAAATAATACTTCCTGTTTGTATGCTTCATGCGTGCATTTAAAAGTTCCTTTGAGTCTGTCAGTTTGACACCAGGCTTCTAGATGTTTGAAAGTATATGTAAAATGAATATGAAACGTCATGACCTTTGATATACGTATAGGTTATGGTAAACTCCTACCGTCACGTTGTATCTTCAAGTCAATATGACAGGTACTTTCATCGGCATACCAAGCCCTTTTTGTTCATTTACTTAAAAACTACATATTATTACTAAGTTTGGTCGAATCCGCGATAAGGTTTAATTATCGCCGGCTCCCAGCCCCAACGGAAAATGAGTGGAGTGACATTCGTATTGACATTTCAATTGGTCTGATCGAGTCAACGCGCGGGTGATAATTTCGACGTAAACACATTTATTCTTTGACGGCGTTTCGATTCAACAAGTTTTCTAATATTTGGTACAGTGGCTTGAGCAGTGGAAATTCCGAGTCTCGCATCTAAGGACACATCAGACAAAGACCTGTTTTTAGTTTTGTTCAAATTCATTAAAGAAAACATCTGCTTGCAGAAGTACGTTGTACCGAACATGGAGCAAGTGTCCAAGGCCGCCAGAATTTGGGAAAATCTTGCTGCTTAACACCTTGATAAAACGAAATTAATTTACTATTGTAGTGGTAGTATCTATCCTTAAGGATCGTATCGCATTGAAGCTTAATCAGCTCCATTCGGAACTGCTGCGGTTCTGTTTCGAAAAGCACTGAAGATGGCGTCGTAAAAATCTCATTTGCATAAACATCTCAACGTCAATGATTTAAAAAAAAAATCTTTAGCACTTTTGCGCAGCTTAACCAGCGCGTAACACAATAAAAGGGTATGTCACCGTAAGTTGCTTCCAGAACTTTTAAAAATACTTCAAACTGCCGTGGTTGAGACCTTGCTTTCTGCAGAAATTGACACATGTTATTACTACATCCATAATAGATTTGAAATTACGGAAGGTATAGTTGTTCCTGATTTAATATGCAGTGTACCGATGATATCGGAGGGAGCCCAGCGTCGCGTACTTTTATTTTCATTCACCCAGTAAAACCCTGTGCTTCCGATAGCATTGCTGGCGCTCCAACAGTAAAACACTACGCAAACTTTTGAGTAGTATACCCATGTCATGCATTGTGTATTCTACAGCATCAAAAATATCTTCTCCGGCCATTGTATCTTTGAGCGGGATAACGTATAGTAGTTCGTCGGTGATAGTAAAGACTACTTCAACACCTCTAACGAAAACAGCTAATTATGCTGTGTCAGAAAAATCTTTACTTTCATTGATAGCTATAGAATACTGCACAAAATGTTGTTCTAAATCTGGACCAAGTTCAAGTGTCCGACGAGAAATTGTTTGCTCGGACATACTAATTGTCTCAAAGTGCTTACAGATGGGTACAATATTTCTGCACACTCCACTAAGCATTCTTTGACAAGTGCACCATCAGTAAACGGTCTCCCACTTATTGCGATTTTCAAAGCAACAATATAACTTGCATTACGACACCATTAATAATAATCAACTACGACCAAATTAATAATTACCTCTTCAGAACTTAGAAGGGCTGGCCTCAATACCGTGTGACAAATTACACATGTTGCTTTTCCATCAGTATTTAAAAAAATAGGCTTCTTCCATTCAGGATTGAATGACATCGCTTAAAAAAAGATGCACGTTAAGACGCTAAAAAACCTAACCACTTTGTCTTGTCCTATTAAGAAATGGCCCGCGCCCGAGAGACAGCCGGCTAATATGTTTCTCTCTGTCGCAACGGCTGTGCGATTGAGGTGGAGGAGGAACGGCACCGGTGCCACTGGGTTCAGCACCGGAGCGCACCAGCACCAAGTGCTCGAGTTGGAGAGGCCTGTCCTATACCTAACTCTAACCGTTTTTCAGAGATTCAGATTTTGTGTAAAAGATGGTGCATTGATATGCAGGTCCATAAAAGACTATAAATGTTTCGTATATTTTTGTCATGCGTATGGGGGGGATAGAAGACGACTATTACACTTATCTAACGTCAAGTTTCGATGCATTTGTACCTGTATATTTTACTCGTATATAAATATATTCACGAATATATTTTTTAGTAGTCGGTGGCCTTAGCTAATAAAGTCGGTAGGACTCAAGTAATTTTGGTTCAGAAAACTATAACTTTTTTTTGTTTAGTCGAAGAGCCACAACTACTCAGCCAACTCCCCGGCAAGCAGCCATTCATCACCGGCCAGCCATCCCCACCAGTCACAGCATTCGCCAACTGTAGGGTGTTCTCCATTGGTTGTCGCTTCGAGTCCTGCTACTCCCGCTACACCTGCTACTCCAGCACCGCATTCGCCGAGGCCTTCACCAACCGCCTATCAGCAAACGCCAAATTCGCCACTAGTTGTTCCTCAGGTAACTTATTTCTCACAATTTTCACTATGAATGTAGGAATGTCGCTTTTTTAAATTGCCTATGATCAAAAAATGCCAATGCCTATTCACTTTGGAGGTTATCCTGAAGTAATACTGAAAACAATCATTATGGAATAGTCCACGCCACGCTGTGAACGCCATTTATGGATAAATTTCACAACAATAGCATAAATCACTGTGTGGTGTTTCCTTCTGACTATAGTAGCGCCATCTCTGAAGCAGATGATATGTTGAAGTTAAAGACATCGCATATTTGACATTTAAGCAGCACACAGCTATTACATGTGAATGATGATACACAGTAGAAATGAAGGCGATCACGAGTCATATTGTGTCTGTAAGGCAGCTGCCACTCGCTCTTGCACACACAAATTAATTGGGTGATAGATGACATTGTAGTTGTATCTTCAGGCACTACTATGTTTTATGTCGAATAATAATAATATTCTTTATTTAAGATATCTTTTTTTTGTTTGGGACGTATAATGTGTCAAAAGCCAGCAATCTAACAAGGAAAGTATTAGATAGATATTGTATATAAAATTCAAACATTACAGAAACTCAAAGAACAAATAAGTACATAGAAACGAACACGGCAATGTTCAGAACAGTGTATAAAATGAATAAAAGACATGTAGATATAACAAGATAGAATTATAGTAGAACTATAAAACACTTATTTAAAAATCACTGGTGTCGCAAATAAAATTATTTATGGAGTAATATGCTTGTTTGAGAAGCATTGTGTTAATTTCTTTTTTTATATAGATAGGTGCTTAATTTTTTAATTCATTCAGGCAATTTATTGTAGAGCTTTATGCCCGTGTAGTTAGGATCTGTTTACGTCTTAGCAAGTCTGTGAGCAGCAAATTGCATTCACTCAGTGACATTAGAAGTGTTATACCCAGAAAAAATAATTTCTTCAACTTGATTTTTTTCGCAATGAGGTAGTTTTACATCAAGAATGGAACGATAACATTCTCATGAAATTTTATTGACAAGTAATCAGAAAAAAATAATGTGTTGGGCGACCCCGCAGCTGAATACACTCCTGTATACGTCTAGGCATCGACAAAATGAGATGATCGATGTCTGGTTGTGGTAACTCATTCCAAGCAACTCAATACCTCGAGGATTAGCTGTGTCAGAGTCTATGGCGGATGGCGCAAAATGGATAGTCTCCTCCCCATCATATCCCACACATGTTCGATGGTATTTAATTTCGGTAAACGGGGTGCCACGGCAAAACATTAACGCCTGCTTCTTGAAGGTGTCATTTGTTCCATAACTGTCAACGGTGTTGACAGACGCTGTACTTGGTTTTTATTTAGCTTGATATTTCCCTGAAGTTTATAATAAACGGACATTATCCAGGAAGCCTATGTAAACCCTATTCCACGAGTATCCATCACGATTTTACTTCTACTGAGGTGTTCTGTCGATCAGCAAATGCCATTTTTGTATTAGTCGGTAACGCTGGCAATAATGAATCGGGTATACTTCTACTAAAACTTGCTTGTAGCGTTTTTTTTTGTATGCAAATGAACCTTCCTAACTAAAAGAGTTGTTAGTAAGTACAAAATGAATCTGTAGCGTAAAAAGAACCAAAACAAAATATGTGTGTAATTGGCGTTAACGGATCCGTCAGAATGCGTCCTTTGTCGATATGTGGGGGGAATCTTGAAATATTACTAAATAATGGACACTCGTGAAAAAGACAATAAACATCCATCCCAACTTCCAAACTCAAATTCACACAGCGGCAACGGCCAAACGTCGACGTCAAACCCTTTGAGGATCATCCTAGGCGTTTACGTCGTGATTTAAGGGCCGAAATTGGAGGATCATTAAATCCTCTAGATAAACGTATGGGATCAGCCTAAGAAAGTATGACCTTTTCAACTTTCTTGTTGTAAAAATCAAGTTGAATGTTGATATTTCAGGATTCTCCGGCAGTCCATTCCCAAGGTCCCTCCCCGGAAGTACATAGCCCAGCTTCCGTTCAGCCTGCCTCTCTGATAACGCAGCCGCAACAGTCGCCCAGCGTTCACTCACAGCATTCTGCAGACTCCCAGGACTTAGATGCCTATCCACAACAGCACCAAGATATAAGGGCGAAGTCGCCACCAATGCAGATACAACAGGTTAACCAAACCCCTATGTTCCCTGTTAAGAAGAGGATGTACTCTGATAATGAAATGCCAGGTAAAATGGACTTGGGATTCAAATACTTTACACACTTACGAGGTCTGTAAATTAAGTGATGAGACTGAATTTTTTTATTTTATCCAAACGTGAAACTTGAGTTGAATCTGTGTCTCCATACTTTTTTACAGTTCTGCTACCGTAGACTTTACATTTATTTATTTAGCAATATCCCGAAAACTCTTTCCTGGATGAAACAATTTTATGAATTAAACTGATTGCACCGTTTGCTGCTTTACCACGCGACATTTTAGAGCAAATTGATTCACAGAATTGATCCTTAAATCAGAACGTCAAATTGTAAACACTTTTTTGTTTCTATGGCCCGCTATTATTTTCTTTTTAATATTTATTTTATATTCCAATATCATATTACTTGAAAACAGTTTTCTTAATATCTTGTGCAAACTATTTCGAAGTCTTATTAAGGAAAAATAATTAATTTTTATCCTTACAAAAATAAACAAACTTTTTAGATAAAATTAGATAATGTCCGAACATTTTTGTGTTAGGGCTCGTATGAGATTTACAACACTGTCTCTTCCGAATCTTGATACCACATCATTTTTCCCTCGGTATGCCTATTTCTCAATAGTATTCACCATTTTGACAGGTCATCAGTATGATACTCAGCAGCAGACAAACCAATCAAAGAGTCAGGTGGAGACAAAAGACTACACACAACCAACGCCCGAACCGCAATCTCAACCGGCTCAAATGGAGCACTTGAGCAAAACATCTTACGCTCAATCACCCATTTTGCACCAGGAAGTTATAGGTACGAAGAGTCCATATCCTCAAGGGTTAACGACCAACGTTCCGGTGACTAGTCAGTATGCCACACCATTCTCTGGAGATTCCGGTTATCCATTGAACATACCCAGCACAAGAAACATAGCTTCCCAACAGACCAAGATCGATCTGTCAAAATATACGAATATGGGTTACACGGGACCGGATATCAACTATACCAGGTATTAAAATATAATCATGTAATTTCATGTTGATACTATTTTTCAGCTAACAGACATATTAGAATTTACATCATCCCCGAGCTACAAAATGAGATTTGGTGATCTCCGCGAGATAGCCAGCGGTATTGTCATGTTAGATCATAACGATTTATAATATAATAAACCTTTATTAAGAGCGAAAATGCTCTATTTTCTGTATGCGTTTATTAACTACTTTTTGTGGATAGCTTTCTACTAGGTATTCGGATAATTGGCAAAACTGCGAAGATGGTTCCGATAATTTTTTCACAATAGGGAGTATTTAAACTTGTCCGTCTTTCAGAATGTGTGGCATCGTTAAAAAAAATAATGTAAGAGGTTTGCCATTAATTAGTGAAACCTAATTAAGCCAACTAGTCCAATAAATTAATTAATTAGTTAAGACGATCACGACGAAATTCGCTAATTACGATGTCAGTCAGTATTATCACCAAGATAGACCAGAATTCGAGCCGACATTCCGACAATAACTTGAAGTTCATATTATTAATAATTTGAAGTGGTTGGAGCTGATTAACGGAAACCGTTAATAAAGTTTGTAATTAATTTATCGGTGGTAACGATTTGAGAAAAAGATGTATGGTATCTTACCTGTTTACTATTCTATGCTGAAGATTGGCGCGAACTAAGGTCAATTTACTTGGTTGATCTTACACTTAGTATTTAATTAATATGTGGAAACTGATCAGAATACTCTTTAAAAGATATAACATCACTTTTAATACTGTTCAAGACACTTGGATCTCGAGAGCATTTGAAATACATGGCTACGAAATGAAATAACAGTTTAACACGAGTTAAAGGAGACTCTCCATGATGAAAAAAATTACAGGATTTACTTAGAGAAAATATTGGGTTTTTCAGGTTAGTCACCCTGTATGCCAAACTATATCAACGATACTGGTTGTAATAGTTGATTAAAATTCAGACTTCAAAGCATTTGTTCATCGTTCATCGAATCTGGAAGAACATATGCATAAATTAGATAAGTTGTATAAAATCAAGAGCGTCTGGTAGTTTCTTTATCAAAAGTAGTAGTGAGGTATTGAATGATATGAACTTGAGCAATAATGAAATCCAAATTATAATACCAAAAATCTAAATAGCCACTGCAATTTTGTAGACCAGAAAGATATCGTGAATTTAAGCGTGAATGAACAGAAAACGTACGAGATTTTTTCACCCCATTCTCAGAATAGTTTCCCTTGGAAGTTTGTAAACTTTGTGGGTTATTGTAGTTCGGTCCACTTACACATGTTCTAACATCTATTTTAAAGAGCTTGCATTATGTATAGGTTATGCTTGTAAGATGTTTTTCATTATATGGCATCTGAGGCACACAGTCTCATATTAAAATTCATAATCATCAGTTAATATTTCAAGCCACGATACCTTCAACATGAATTCGACTTTCCTCTTTTCTTACAATTACTTTCGTTTCCAGATCGCTTCAACAACTCGCCCAACAAACCCAGACGACGATAAACTCTATGATCTCCCAAAAACCAGCATCGGTAGCGTCGACGACGATCTCTCAAGCTAGCAACGTTGCCAGATACGGCAACCCCTTGCAACAGATGACAAGTCAAAGGGCCCACTCGAATTTCGGAGCGAACCTGGATAGGCTGGCTCAAGTGCAAGACGTCCCTAGCGGCTACAAGCCGGACGCTGTTGCCAAGTCGAGTTACGGCGGCAACACTGCAGGGATGACGATGGAACAGCAACTGGCACTGGGTGCAAGTAGGGAATTGGCACATATCGTTGATAGGTTGAGTGGGGAGGAACGACTTATGGCAGGTACGCAATCAGTGTTAACATGTGAACTCTCTAGATTCTTATTTGTTAGCAGCAAAAAGATATAAGAATTCCTAAGTTACATATAATAAAAAAAGGTTAGTTAAATTGGAACAATGTTTAAACATACGAGGTATATAAATTAAGTGTTAAGATGATTTTTTTATTCAGATATAATTGCGATTTTATATTTTCACCCTCAAACTAACTTCCTTCTGAAGCCACATAGTGCTGGAGACGGTTCTTTCACTCCTCATAGCACTGCTGGAACTCGGATACTGGAATAGCTGGCCGGTCACAGCCATTTGAATGTTTTCACCCTTGAGGTGATTTTTCAGCTTCGGGAAGAGAAACACTCACAAAGACTCAAGTCAGGCGAATGAGGAGCCACATGAATGTTCTTACTGGCTCAAAACTCGTTCATTGACATTGCTGTGTGTCAAGGAGCATTATAGTGATGGAACACCTAGTTGTACTTGATCTGATGAACGGTGGGGTGAGTCAAATTTAGCTTTGCTTGATCATTCTGACTGTCCGCCGACTATCTGAACGCAAAAGATATCGGATTTTGTCGATATACTCTTCAGTTCATGAAGATAAAGCCGTCTGCTTCATGGTTTATCTTAAATGGGCTTTCTATCTTCTGAAAATGCCTTAAACCACCCAAGAACCTGGGTTCTTGACAAAACACTATCTCCGTAGGCCTGTTTAGCAAGATTTTCCGTTAAACTGTGCCCAAGTCTGAAGCAAAACCTGATAGCACACTTGCTTGAATTTGTCGCTCATTATTAGAACACAGAATTGTTTCGCAAAAAAAATCGTCTGCTTTAGCCCTACAGTGGACCTCCGGTAATCCGACAAACATTATGCAGGGCAGTGTCGGACTATCGAATTTGTCGGATTATAGAGCACTGCCTAAGACCCCTTATAGTCCGGAATTTTTTATAAAACAGTACCTTGTAATCCGACAAATTACATATCCAATGGTAAGATTATATATGTTATGTATATGTATTTAGTTTGAGGTACAAATCATACATAGTTTATGTATGTCGAATTTAGTAAATTAAATAACAATAGAGACCTTACGTTGTATTGTAAAATTAAGCATAAATGCACATACATATGTACCAAAATAATCAAGAATTATTAATCAAAATCATTAATGAATTTATCAAATTATGAATCTTGGAAATATTCATCAATTTTTTTTTTGTTTAGGGTTGTTATAACGCGAGATCAGAGCTTTGTCCCTCAGTCTTCTCAAAAGTAAAAGTTCGTTGTAGGATGTACCATTCTCTTCAGCCTATTGTAAACCTAGCTCAAAGACATTAATTGCGTCTTGTGCTGTGACTTGTGGAGCAGTTTCAATCACGTCGTCGTTATTTTCTTGATTGTTTGTTGTATAATTAGAAACCTCTTTTATAATCTCTTCGTCAGACATTTCATGAAAAACATTTTCCTCTGTATCCATTCCACGGCACCAGATTTCCAAATCTTCCGGACTTATCTGTGTTTCAGTAGCGACTTGTTCTATAACTTCCGAAGTAACACTGATTTAATAATAATTTATTGATGTTAATACACAGAAAGTGTTTACACAAGTCAATATATACTCATCGAACGCTTAGAAAAATCTACATCAAACATGAATAAAACAAGTTAAAAACAATGCAATGCTGCGTAACGCATAATTACCAAAAGCAAATTAAAAAAAAAACAATACAAAAATGTCATGAGATAAAAGAAGATCGCTAAGAAAAATATATGTATAATACAATTAACTATACACATACAGACAAACAAAACAATAACAACTGTACATAAGTTGGAGACAGAAATGAATAAATAAACATTTAAGGTATATCAGTAAAGTCATTTGCCAAATATTCGTCCGTGCTAAAGAATGCGTTTTTTATTAAATAATACTTTAGTTTCCTATGAAAAACACCAATATCCAATGTTTTTATATTGTTGGGTAGCACATTAAAAAATTTAATGCCATAAAAGTTTGTTCCAACTCTTGATTTCTCTAGACGGCAGCCATTATGGCAAATGTTGTTTCTATTTCGTGTTTCATATTTGTGGTTATCACTATGAGTGGGGAAGGTACTAATGTTACTTTTGATATATATGAGACAACTCAAAATATACGCGCATGGAAGGGTTAGTATGGCCAATTTAATGAATTCAGCCTTGCAGGGGTCTCTATATTTCAAACCAGAGATGTATCGTATACAACGCCTTTGCATGCCAAACACTTTTTGCATATGTGGAGAGTGTCCCCAGACCAAAATTGCATATGTCATTTTAGAGTGGAAATATGCATGATAAGCAGTTAATAAAACTTTATCAGATACTCTATCCTTTAGACTACGTATCAGATATATAACTCTGGACAAACGATCCACCACACAGCGAGTATGCACCTCCCATGTCAGAGTACAGTCAATATGAACGCCTAGCAATTTCACTGTTTGAGCAGATTCCAACTCATGACTGCGTAAGCTTAGTATTATAGACTGAGTTTTATCAGTGTTGAGCAATAGCATATTGGCAGCAAACCAATCCTCAAGGTTCGACTTACACAATGAACTAGTTTCGACAAGGGTGTTTACATATTTATTAGAATTTACCAAAGTAGTGTCATCAGCATATAAGAACAAAGCAGCATTGTGCGTATCTGACAGGCTATTGGGGATGTCATTAATGTATAATAAAAACAGCAGTGGTCCCAGTACGGAACCCTGAGGAACTCCATGGATCACTGATCTGGTATCAGAGTTACAGCCATTGAAATGTACTAGTTGTTTTCTGTCGGATAAGTAAGAGTCTAAAATTTTGATGCTAGAAGGATGAATGTGATAATAAGGTAATTTTTTTATTAAAATACTATGCTGCAGACAATCAAAAGCCTTAGATAAATCGAAAAGGTCCGCCTTGGTATGTAGATGGTTCTCAAATCCTTCGTTAACAAGATCTATAAGACAATTGATAGCTGTAGTAGTAGATCTGTTCCGTCTAAATCCAAACTGCTTGTCATTAAATAATTGACTTGACTCTAGATGAGAGGTTAGTTGATCTTTTAGCAGAATTTCAAAAATCTTAGCAAAGTATGAGATTAGAGAAATTGGTCGATGGTTGGAAAGCACATCACCCGATCCATTTTTAAGTATTGGAATGACTTTGGATATCTTGAGAATTTTAGGAAAAGTACTATTTCGAATACAAATATTAAAAAGTTTAGCGAGTGGAACGATAATCAGATTCATTATGGTCTTTATAATTTTTGAATTCAATTTATGTACATCTGTACTCTTAGAATTTTTTAGTGATGAAATCGCTGATCTGACTTGATTGTAGGATACTTCTTTGAACAAGAAAAGGTCGATGTTATCAGTATGAACCAAGTAGTCTAGTGCATCACGATTTGCTGGAGGAATATTGTCAATGAGCGTCTGGGCTATACTTGAGAAGTATGAATTGAATTCGTTAGCATTCAAGATGTTGCTTTTGTTCTGATTATTAGCTGGAACATTGGATCTAATAATATTCCACATTGCTAGCTGCTTGTTGCTCGAATTGTTTATATACAAGTCGTGTGCTTGTTTTTTGCTATTAGTGATAGCCTGTCGATATTGTGATCTATACTCGTTAACAGCTTGTTTGGTAACTATTTGTGGGTTAACCTTGTACCAATCCATCAGGAGCCTCAAACGGTCTCTCATAGCACGCAAATGACTGTCAAACCAATTTATTTTTCTTCCCCCTTTATTATCACTACCAAAGATACGTGATTTATATGGAAGGCATTTTTCAACTTTACTGCTGATTAGATGAATGAATGTTTCAAAGGCTTGCTCGATGTTATCATTTCCCCCGATGAATGACCAGTCAACCTTCTCAATTTCCATGTACAGATTGAAAAGACCCTCATCCGTAATTGGCCTAAAAGTAACTCTGTTGAACGTTCGTAAGTTCTTACTTTGCTCACATGTAAATTCAATTGCTAGGTGATCAGACAGATAGCTCTCAAAAACTGTGACACCGGAGGGCCTGTCTATGTTTGTGAATATATTGTCCAGACAGTTATGCCTCCTAGTACTGGTGCTGACTTTTTTATTCAATCCATAGCAGCGAAATAGACTTTCGACTTGGTGTGCTCGAGTGTCATTGGTGGTGAATTTCACATTAAAATCGCCTGCTATGACTATATCCCTCTCGTAATTTAAGCGATCAAGTGTAGTACATAACTTATTAAGAAATGTATCGAAATCGCTGTTAGGGCTTCTGTATAACGAAATAATTTGAATATTGTTAATATAAGAGCCTGCTATCTCAAAAGTCTGTTCTTCCTTTTCTACAAAAACTGAATCTGGCAAAGGCGCCGCAACAACGTTGGTTTTTATAAAGATTGCTACACCACCATGTGTTTTATTTTTTCTACAAAAGCTTGATACTGGTGTATAACCTATTAATTGATTAACAATGAATTCACCCTCAGACAACCAATGTTCATTTAAGCACAGCACATCATACTGATTGTCAAATCCTAACACTGCTAAATCATCTGATTTGTGACGCAAAGACTGTATGTTGAGGTGAAGAAGTTTGAAATTAAATTTAGAGATTCTTTCTTTATTGGGTACGAAAAAACTGAGAAGTAACTGAGCTATTGACAGATTTGTGGAACGTTGCTAGGAGTGGTGACTGTATCTGTTCATAACTTTTTCCAAGACGATTTAATAGTTGATGACGGTAACGCACGACTGACAAAGAGCAAAAAACCAAGTCTTTCATATTAAATTCTTTTAAAGTTTTTCCTATTGGTTGGTCTTTTGATACGGCTCTCAGAAGTAGGTTTTTCTTATAGTCTTGCTTGACAAACTGAATGATATTTTGGTCCATTGGTTGAATGAGTGCAGTGCAATTTGGTGGAAGAAACATCGCAGTGATGCATTTATCCTCAGTTGTTAGTTCTTCTTCAGACGGATGACCGGGAGAGTTATCAATAATAAGCAACAACGCTTTTTGAGGAAAATTATGATCTTTTAACCATTTTCTAACTTCAGGTACGAAGCATTCATCAAACCACTTTTTGAAAAGGTCTTTTGTCATCCATGCACTTTTTTGTCCGTAATAGTGTACAGGTAAATCAATGTTTTTGAATGCCCGTGGTTTATTACATTTTCCCAATGACCATCATCTTAAGCGCGTGTGTGCCCGCAGCGTTAGCACATGGTAGTATGGTTACACGCTCTTTACTTACTTTTCGTCCAGGTACGGATTTTTCGTTACAAGAAACGAAAGTTTTGTTAGGCATCACACGCCAAAAAAGCCCTGATTCATCTGCGTTGTACACCTGTGACGGGTCAAGATTTAAATCGTTCACCTTTTGCAAAAATCTTAATTTAAGGGGCTCTATGCAGGTGGCATCGTTAGCAAGTTTCTCTCCTGTGATAGTCATTAAATGTATGCCATGACGATTTTTAAAACGTTCTAGCCATCCTTTGCTGGCCAGAAAATCATCTTTTTTTGTTATTTCCTTATAAAAAACTTAGCTTTCATGGCCAACATGGGTCCTGAAATTGGTGAATGCCTATTTCTTTCCTGAAGAAACCACATGTACAAAGCTTCTTCCACTTCTGGATGTTCAGCTTTCTTCAGTGTCTGTCTCTTGCCTGGCACGCAGTCAGTAGTTGACACGAACTTCTTGATCTTCTCGTGGTTTCTTTTAATGTCATCAAATGTAGATCGGCCTACGCCGTATTCACTTGCTAAACTACTGAAAGTTTCATTCCAATTTAAGCGGTCTAAAATATCACATTTTTCTTTGTCAATGTTTTGTGCTTTCGCTTCTGAGTTTGTGATGACATTACTAGGTACTACGCTTAATACACAATGAATAAATAGTAAACAATGAACGCACGCTAGGCCGTACCGCTATCACCACTAGTCAAATTCAAACTAAGTAAAACAATGCTTACGCGTCGAGCACGATAGCGGTGGCGCGTACAAGTTGTAATCTGTTCAAACCTGCGTGATCTACATTAGCGAAGATTGTCAAATACGTATGTATGTAATACATATTCAATGACATGTCGGATTACAGGAGACGCCGGATTAGACAGGGGCCGGATTATCAGGGATCCACTGTCCTAGATTTCGCTAAAAAATTCCACAGAATTAACCAACAAGTCTTATTGTCTCTGTTGTGTTACGTCAACTTTTCCCAAGATGCTATACAGGGTGTTCCTTAATGATATGCGAATATTTCCAGATCGAACGCTATGTTGCAAGTCTCATCACTTAATTTACAGACCTCACATACTAGTACTACTATTAAAGTGTATTCTGGAATAAAAATATTTACAATAAAAAATATGGATTTAAAAACAACATTCTTCAAAAATCGTATTATTCATTACTTTAATGCTTTATTTGAATTCACTTCATTTAATTGTTGGCTGAGTTGAAAAATATCTTAAGGTAAGACTTCGCCATTTTGATTCTTTGCTTTTAAATTTTAGTACCTCAACACTCAAAATGAAAATTTTATTTGTAGAATTTGAATTGTATTATTATTATCCAGTGAACATTTCTGTGAAACAAAAAGCTTAATTGAATTCTTCGTGACCAAATTGCAGGACTCCAAACGTCATCCTCCTTCTACACAGACAAGGGTTTGGGTACCACGGGAAGTCACATGTTCAACAAACCAATTTCGACCAGCGCGTCTGCGCTGCCTATCTTCAGTCAGAGTGGAGGTATGGTTGCGGGTATGCAGTCCTACGGTCAAGCAGGACAGAGTACAGCTACCACGATGTATAATAGACAGATGGCTGAGTTGATGCAGCAACAACAGCAGCAGCAGCAGCAACAGAATGAGCAGCAGAAGGTTGTCCAGGAGAAAAAGAGCAAGAGGAAGAAATCGAATAAAAGTGGTAAGAATAAATATGCATAACTGAAAAGTATTGTTATTAAGAGACTTCCTTGGAAACAATGGTTATTAGATATCTTCTTGGAAACAGTAAAACAATAACGCTTCCTTGAGGTATGTTCAAGCGCGGATTTACATTTTAATTTCACAGTGGGCTGTAGCAGTTGTCATCGATGAAAGTTTTTTCTTTGCTGGCCGTATCTATTTAGCATTTTGATGGTTGGCAGTTCAAAAATTGGATTAACGAGGCGTTTTAAATTGCCTCATAGCAATCGCGTTGCCCCGGTATTTGGGATTCTGGCTACGCAATTGCTTCAGTATAAAAAAGAATGTTTGCCATTGTATGGCATCTGCATATAGGCTGCTGAAACATTGTGATGTCAAATTATATAAACAATCTCGGAGGCAATGTTCTTATAAACGATACTCAATAAAGCTATTATGTAAATAATATTTTTTACAGCAACCAGTGCTACCTCTACGAACCAACAACAGCAGCTCTCTACCTCCGCGCAACAACAAGCTCAGCAACAGGGCTTCCAATCGTACGCGGGCCTGAAGGGGCACCCAGCGGCCAGCGCGGAAGCCATTGCGTTGAAAACGTCCAGCGTAGTGCCGGGTAGTGCGTTCAACTTCGGTCCTACCACTGCGGGCTTAGCAGGACTATACGCAGCGGCAGAGAAGGATGCGTATCCGAATTTTCTGGACGAGTTCCGGGCGGCTGCTCCGAATTATTATATGGCTGCTGCGCAAGCTGCCAGGCACAGGTCAGAGAAAATACGTTTTTTTTAAATGGGTTATTATTAGTATTAGCACTAGAGCAGGGGAAAAAGTCCGATGACACTGTTGTGTCAAGTGTTTTTTTTTCTTTACAATGCACGAAACGTGCTACTCTATCTTCTTGTTTCTTATCCAATTTATTCTTGAATAAATTGACAGTTGTTACACCTCTGTTTCTTAACTGAGAGAGTTCCATGAGTATACCTCGTATTATATTGGAGATGAAGATTCTGACTCATATTGAGAGTACACGAGTAGCAGCCTCTGATGATCTTGAATGTCTCAATCAGGTCTCCCCGTAATCTTCGCTCAGCGAGTGTTGTCAAATTCATAGCCCTTAGGGGTTTTTCATATGACAATTTTCTAATATCTGGTGGAATTCGCGTTATTTTACGTAGCAGTCTTTCCAGTAGTTCGATGTATTTGATGAAATACACATTCCATACGCTGAGTGCATGTTCAAGTTTTGTTCGAATTTACCTCTTGTATAGCTTTTCTATCATTGCAGGAGAATGGTTTTAACAGCTTCAATCAAACATATAACTGAGTCGACTTTTTTAATTTATTTGGTAAAGTGGGCTTCCCATTTTAAATTATGTGCTATTATAACTCCTAGGTCTTTCTACCTGCCGATGCAGTTTAAATGAGGATTTGGATATGAAACCAATAAATGTGTTACGAGACATTGAACAATTATTGGAGACCATACTGCATAACTAATTAATGCAGTTTATAGAAAACAAAATTTTAGTGGAGGCCGAAGCAGGCTTTCGCAAAAAATATTCCACAGAAACGGCTTTCCAGTTGGTTACTGAGAATTGGAGAAGAACCATAGACTCGGAAGAAGTTGTCATAGCTGTATTTTTGAAGAGGGCATTCGAAACGATTGATAGAGATATTTTGTTTGGTAAATTGAAGGCATATGGTATATCAGGAAGTGTTTTAGATTGGTTTAAAAATTATTTGTCTAAAAGGATGCAAGTTACAAAAGTTAATAACACTAGTTCATCAAAAATTGAAAATACGTTAGGTGTTCCACAAGTCAGTATCCTGAAACCACTACTTTTTATTTTATACATAAACGCCTTAGTCAAAAAATGCAAAATTCAGGTTTTCGTCGATGACTCTTTGATTTATATAAGTACTAAAAATATTCAGATTGGTATCTTATATAAAGGAAGACTTGAAACTTGTTTCAAAATGGTCAGCATCTAACAGACTCAAATTAAATACAAGTAAAGCGAAAGATATGTCAATCGAAAAAAAAAAACAATGTACAAATGTTCAACTAGATATTGATGGTGAAGATGTTGAATTCATAGAAAATTTTAAATACCTTGTTGTTTTTGTTGACTCTCGATTGATTTTTTCATTAATTATGAAAAAGTTATAAGATTAGTAGTATTACCTATGATTCTTCCAAATTTCTTCTTCTGTTCAACTATTCTAAATTTACCAAATAATTTCATTTTTGACTGCAAATTTTACAAAACAAGTTCATGAGACTAATACCGAATAAAGATAAATACACTACAATTAGACAAATGCTTAGCAAATTAAAATTGCTCAATGTAAAAAAAAATATCAAATATTTTGTAATGATATTCATTTATAAATGTCAACCATCATTTACATAATACCAGAAATAAAGATGACTTCCTTTTAATGACCATAATGTATAACCGAACACCCCGACGACTTAGTAACCACGCATTTTTTGAAAAAAGGTTCTAAGAGGAGTTTTAGGCTAACAAAAGTAATTTGTCGATGATCTCTAAGGGCATTGACAAAATTAATTAACTGTTTGACAGGTCGACACCTGATAAGGTGCCAGCGGATAAACAGCAACAAAGTCGCACAGCAGTTGCTGCACACCAGAGTTCTACCGGACAGCCTTCAGCATCTGCAGCCGCATCGTATCCATCTTTCTTAGGAGCAACACCGGCACATCACCAGCCGACGAGGCCTGCGTATCCGCCCACGATTGGATCACCATTTATTTCAAACGCCCAGGTACAGTACCATTGCTCAATTCTTCAATTCTGCACTGTTGGTATGGATGTACGACGATCAAATTCACGTTTTCCACGTAACCAACCGTTTTATTCATTAGACATTTCATCTAAAATTTGCATACCTTCTGTTTAAGTTTAAAGTGGCGATTGCTTACAGGATTCTACCCTGAAAACTGTAAAATAATCAAAATACAAATAGATGGATTTGGAAAATTACAAACGAAAACATGGCGACAAGTAAGTTGATTCTACTTCTCACGCTACGTCGTGATCAGTCCGTAAGGTTTGGCATAAGTTAGCCCTTCTGAGAAAAAAGTTGCTACCACTGCATCCTTCGAGTAGGTTGTTTCAGCAGCCTCAAATAAATATATTTAACTGGCTGTAGGACTTACCTTTTGCATACAAGATGTTTTTTCCTCGTAAGAATCTCTCTCCCATTTCTGCAAAGGTTGACTATTAATTCTGTTATTCAAATGATAGATTTAATAACGTGAATTTTTTTTCTTGTTTTCGGCTATACCCCCATACTACTGTAGGGATTTTCGAGCACCAGATTAATTGTGTCTGGCTTTGAAGTGATATAATTGAATTCAAATACACAGAGCTGCAGTACGGAAGCGATTGCCAACTGTGACGCACTGACGAAGGGTAAATGTACGGGCTGGAGGCGTATAAATATGCCAGTGTAAGAAATTTGAGATGTACCTTGCCCCACCTCCTGCCCCGAACCTCAGTTATTAACCCCTATAAAAATTTGATCATGATCGTCAAAAAACGAAGTTTGTGCGACTTTTATTTTGTTTATTGTCCTTTTCTTCGCCGCCACTGGGCCGATTTACAAAGCTTTTGCATCCTTGCATAGTAGTAACATTGTGTAATTTTTTTTTTCGAATTCCGAGCCGTACTTCTCAAGTTGTAGGCATTTATAAGATTAGCTTATACGAGCCCCTTCCCACTTCAGTTGGCCCAACTATTGAAATCTTAGTTTTTTTCTTACCAAACACAAATAATATAAAAATTTAGCAGAGTGTTATAGGTTTAAAATATTAACAATGAATATTTTGATAATATATACAGCAGACGCTCGATAATGTAAACTAATTTAATCCAAGTGCGGTTCACATTATCGAAATGTTTACATTAGCGAACGTGATTTATATAATATTTGATTTATCAAAAGAAAAGTTTAATACGTACTATTTATAACAAAATAAACCAATATTCTAACAGCGTCTGCGTAAATTTGCGCCTAGCATTGTCTTCCAATGCCTGCGCCCGTAATTCACGAAGAACTAAAATATCCGTGTATGAAACTTCTTTTCTTTCACCCCAATCTAAAGCTTGGTTAAAAACTTGTATAGCTTGGTGCGTCAGTCACTACACTTCTGACTTCAATGGGATCGTTCTCATCATCCTCACTGTCCATATCCTCCTCCTTATCAGCATCATTCGTCTGCTTAACTTCGTTCCATAAATTAATATCAGCAGGAGTACAAACAATGTTGGGATTCACTGTTTTCAATAAATCAACAATATCGAATGACACACTAATAACATTATCATTATTGGATCGCAAACGTTCTCTAATTACGCTTAAGGGGACATCGTCTTTTTCATCATCTTCATTATTGGTACAAAAGAGATTGTTCCGACATTTTTGAATAGTTTGCTGGTTAAGTTCATTCCAGGCCATATGTAAATCTAAATCAGCTTCTCGTAATGTTACTTTTTTTAAAGCCTCAGATAAGTTTTCAGGATTCTTTGATAAGACAGACGAAAGTAGAAACTTCCTATAATATAATTTGGTGAGTCTTATTATATTCTGGTCCATCGGTTGAATTAACGGTGTTACGTTGGACGGCATGTACATGACGAAAATTGACCCATCCCTGCTCCTCAGTTGTTGCTCGGAGGATGACTTGGTGCATTATCCAATAGTAACAACGCTTTTATTGGAAGCTTCTGTTGTTTTATTAAACCTTTTACTTACAAATTGAAAACAGATCTTCAAATTATGAATAGAGCATTTGTGATAATTGATTGTCATACCTGAGGGACAAAGCACCTGTGGAACCATTTCAGGAATATACTGCTAGTCATCCAAGCGGTTTTTGAACAGTCATAATCAACAGGGATATTAACATGTTTAAATGAGCGCGGATTTGTTGCTTTCCCAATTACCAGTGGCTTTATTTTGTGTGAACCATTAGCATTAGTGCAGGCTAGAAACGTTATTCGTTGTTTCTCCGGCTTTCTTCCCGGGGCAGATTTTTCAAATGATGCAGCATAGGTTTTCTCTGGTAACATTTTCCAATAAAGGCCACTTTCATCTGCGTTGTAAATTTGTTCCATTCTTAAATGTAGCTCGGTAATTGTTTTCATCAATTTTTCTTTGAATGGTTGCACTAATTGTGGTTGTGCTGATAATTTTTCACCAGATATAGACAGCAGTCGAATTCCATATCTGGTTTTGAATCGTTGTAGCCAGCCATCACTAGCTACGAAATTTTCAGTTTCTTTCAGTTTTTCATTTAACAGTCTCGCTCTCTGTTTAAATACTTCGCCACTAACTGGGACATGATTTTCCCGTTGTTTTAAAAACCACTTATACAGGAAATTTTCCATTTTAGGTGCCTTCGCATTTTTTAAAGTTTTTCTTTTTCCCGGACCTCCAAATGTATTGCACGTTCTTTGTTAAAATTTGAGTTTTCATACGCTTAATTTTACAGATTGTTGCTTTCGATACTCCATATTTTTTTGCTAACTGTGTCACTCCCGCATCTAGTGCAACTTCGTCTATGATTTTCACTTTCTCACTCAACTTTAAACACTTTCTTTTATAGGATGTGGATGCCATAGTCGTAAAATATATTAACACGTGCAATGTATTCACTTAAGTTCAAAAATGAAATACATGCGTACGTATAAACGTATCCTAAACGATCATACGACTGACCGAGTTTGTCGTATTTTATCGCAGAGGTGAATCCCCCCCTACACTCTACATCATAAATCGGGGCTCCCCGACGCCCGAAATAAATCATCGAGGCTTCAGCATTTTACCGTCGCGCTGTTTCCGTGCGTCGAGAGTTGTTTACGTTATCGAGCGTACACATTGTTTACGTTATCGCGCGTTCCGTTTGATCCTATGGAACGAAGTTTGTGATTACATTAGCGCAAGTTTTCATTATCCCGTGTTTACGTTATCGAGCGTCTGCTGTAGTAGAAAACACCTTTATCACTCCCTAATCAAATTTTCAGCATAAAAATAACACATGTTGCAATTACAGCATATGAACCTATTTTCATTTCAATGCAAAATAAGTCAATAACGCATAGGTGGCTGTGAAAAATAAAAGCCATGACAATTGTTTTTATTAATCACAGCTGTCAGAATACGTTTAAAATAGTTTTGGGTAGTTAAAGTTTTCAAAATGGGTAGAGGAAAGGTTATTAGTGAGAAAATTCGGTTACTGATAATTAAATTTTTTAATTCTGGGAAATTAAACTCAGAAATTGCAACTTTGTTAGACTTATCGCGGTACAGTGTGAGAAATATTGTTAGAAGAAATAACGTAACTGGCTCAGTTAATATTAAGTCACGATATGTGAAAAAAAGTAATATCACAAATGCCGACCGAAGAGTATTAAGAATAATCGTGAAAAACAGGCGTGCCAATTATTTACAATTAAGTGCTCTGTGGAGTGACGCTGTTGAAATGAGAATTTCGAGGTCCACAACTCATAAAGAGACCCACAAACTGGGATTTAGCACTTGCAAGGAAGTTTTCTTATAAAAAAAGAGAAGTAAAAGTTGCACAACTTGTTTATAGGCCAAAAAAAAGCAACTATTAACTCCACTGCAAAAGAAAATTCGGCTTAGATGGGCTAAAGAACATAGACAATGGACACCTCAACAATGGTGTGCAATACAATGGAGTGATGAGGCCCGATTCGAAGTTTGTGTTGGTGACAGTCGCAGTAGAGTTATTCGCAAAAAAAATGAAGCATTCCATGTTGACTGTCTGAAGAGAAAAGTGAAATTTCCAGCATCCATTATGCTCTGGGGCAGTATATCATTAAAAGGAGTAGAAAAACTTCATTTTATTGATGGAAATGTGGATACAAACAAATATTTGGCAATTTTAGAAGAATCGCTTTTACCAGTGATGGAAGAATGTTTGACATCCGGCCAAGATTTTGTGTTTCAGCAAGATGGTGCAGCGTGCCATACCTCAAAAAAGGCTATGAAATGGATGGAAGAAAATAATGTACCACTTTTGAAATGGGTTTCTAGCAGTCCAGATCTGTCACCTATTGAAACTTTGTGGCACGAGATAAACAAGGTTCTACGACAACATCCTGCTCGTACAATCACCGAACTGAGGCAAAAGCTTCAAGAAATAGTGGATTGTTTTACACCAAATTTTTGTCAAAACTTGGTTAACACTATGCCCCAAAGAATTTCAGCCGTAATAAAAAATAAAGGTGATGTTACCCAATGGTAATCTTTCAATTGTTGCTTTGTTAACTTCGCGCATTTATTCGCACATTGTTTATTTGTTCAGATGTTCTATTAGTTATGGGTCTAAGTGATTTCAAATATGTATTTTTTACGACTAGAATGTATCTAAAATGTTTTTCAGAAAATAAATTGTTAGAAGTAAATAGTTTCGTCATGTTTAGTTTATAAAGGCATATTTTGGTACAAATCTCGAAGTGGGCCAACTGAAGTGGGAAGGGGCTCGTAGATGTCATATAACACCCAAACAACATATTATCTCATTTTCGAAAATTATCAAGATTACAATACTTCCTAGCCAATAGGCGTAGGACGTAAAAAGAAATATTTATAAACTGATTTAAAATTAAAATTTTGAGTTATTTTCTAGATTGAAGGTCGTACCAACAAAAGTAAAAAGCTTCCAAACTTCATTTTGAGCATTTGAACCGCATTCTACTTTGAACCGAAAAATTGCAGGTGGAATTGCCAAGACTGTACGCTGCCAAAAAACCTTCGGATGGCATAGCGCGGAAAGTGATTGCGTGGATTTTCGTAACAAAATAAGTGTTGTAAAATGATACATATTTATAATTCCAGGCCGCCCAACTGATGGATACTAGTTCTCCCCTATACCAACAATACATCCAAGCGGGTCTCCTGAACCAGGGGCTGCTGGGCCCACCTGGAGCATATCCACCAGGATATCATCCAGCTCTCAGCCTTCGGCAGCCCTACGACTCCATGACTAGACCATCCTGGCTATAATTGCAGTAATGGTGATCTCTAGCAAATAGGGAATTGGAAAAATAGCTATTGTACAAACCACAACACCAAGTTTCTAAAAACTGATTTTATACTATCTAAGAAAATCTGTACAGAAACAAAGGGGGTGGTACTGAGGGTTCTTATTTGGCTTCCAAAATCTTTTTCTTTTTGAATCATAAAATTAATGTTTGTAGTTTCATCTTATATTTAAAATTTAGAATACATATCCATTCTTACATTGTTTGGATAATCGTTGTTGAGATACGGTCATACAAAAAAATCATAACGGCAGGCGCGGATTAAAATTTCTAACAATACTTGTGTTTGTTTATAATGACAAAACAACTCAATCAGAAAATGTAATTATAACGGTTGCCAACAAATATACTGGTTGATTGTAGTTTCTGGACAACTTGTAAGTCAACAACAAAAAAGGAGTCCTGTCACCTTCATTTTATTTTGGATCCCACTGAAATAGTCAACAATTTAGTTGTTATACAGAGGATCCATAATGTTTTGAAATATTAAACATATCTTGCAGCTACTTAAGCATAACTAGATGTGAGAAATGGGAGTATAATCTTGATTTACAATTCCTGCAACAACCACATTACACCCCCAAACTTTTGCTCCCAGAAGTTTAGTTATACGGCGACATTAAATAACTATTTTTTCACCCGTTACTCATGAAAGTGTGTATTGATACAATTTGGTTTACCAAAGACTGTTATAGTGTATTTCTTCACAAAACAGTAGCTATACCTAGCAATTTATTATATTCTGTGATTTTTTTTACTTTTAAATGCTGAGTTATCATGAGTTGAATCTCGCTTTTACTATAATATTCTGTAATTGATGTATTTTGGCAATTTTCATTTAACTTCATTGCAAAAGAAGAATCACTATTTGATACGACTTTTAAAAGAGCATAAAATGCCAACGAATTAGAGAAGCGTTTTATACATTTTAAGTTTTTATCTTGTTTAAATGTTTTATCACGTTTATTACACATTCCTAAATTATGTGCAACCTTGAAATGTTTTTATAGTTTATAATTTACTTTGTAAGTTAAGTATTATGTATTAAGTACGTACATGTTTGTATGATGTGCTTAACTGATTAGTTTTTCGTTTTGTTAAGGTATGAAATGTTTTATATACATGGTGATTCAACAGAAAATAACGTGTTATTCGGACCTTGATTTGTTTTCATGTCAATGCTGTTTTGCCGTGTCTTGCTAAAATCGTATTGAATATTTGGATACCTCTTTGATTACTTGTTAAATAAAATGTATAGTGGCAAAACAAGCGCAAAAATATCTCACCTTCTGGTTTAAATTCCCTATACAGGTGCGTATTAGTTAACCTCATTTAGTAAAGGTGTTTCACTTGTTGAATTGAGGATTCCAGAAAGTATATTACCCAGACAAAAAACGAGTTTCACTTGAGCCGACGTGCCCTGTATTCAGGATTTTGTGCATTGGAGCAAACTACTATTAACTATTACTAAATATATAAACGTAAACAATTACGCCAAAATCCTGATTTTTTTATCCTTCTAGGATTACAGAAACATTTTTCTCTGTTTGTAGTTTGACCCGCATTGATTTACAAAGTATATTTATTGTTGAATCACGCCCCCGTATAATTATTGTATATTGGCGAAGTTCAAAAATAATTAATTTTAATAATCGAGGTTTGTGCAAAAATCATCGACAATAGGAAAAAAATCACCACAGGATATCAAACATAACTTATGACAAAAAATATATAAGCTTTAAATAATCAAATAATTGTACAAACATTTATTATCAATATTGTCATTACATATTCATTGAAAAGCTGTACATAAAATGTAAATGTAGACTATGTATTGTTGTACAATGAAGTAATAAATATTTAGTGATTTGTATCACTGATTTTCATTTTATCTTCACTAAAAGTATATACTAACCAATAATATCAAGGATATCAATTTCATGATAACATAAAGGCTGGAACGCTCTCATTTTCAGAATGTGTGCAATTACGAAATGTTGCTTGACTGAAGTTTACTAAATGACCAACAAAATAATAAAGAGTTGTGATTTTTGTCCAGTCCAAAATATTGAAATACATCAACAAATAAGTTTCCGAAAATATCATGTCAAAATCGAAAATAAAAAAATTACAATGTATGATGATAGGGCGCAGGTGTAGGAACGCTCATCAATGGAGAATTGATGTCAATATCCATCTCTGTTGGTATTTGTGTTTCCTCTTGAGAGGCGATCTTTTCCTGCAGTAACTTATACAGACTATGGACCTTCTCACTATGTTGATGCGTGGGCTGAAGGGCCTTCATTAGTGTTTGCAATCTGCTTACTGGAAGCTTGTGGTGCACATACCTGATAAAAAATTGTCAGATTTGATTATATCTACATTATTTCATACACTGAGGATCAAATTTGGCTAAGTAAAAGCACATATGTTAGAAAAAGATAGAAGCCGTTGATATTTGTATGTGGTCTATGCAGTTTTATGCGTAAGTATAGACTTTGGCAGTTGGCCACATGAGGGGCGTAGATATGGATTGCTTACCACTATGTACACACATCCCTTCTTACGCTTTCCCTATAATGGTTTCTGTGCATACAATAATTAGAGACTGGTAGATCACCATCATTACTAAAGCTCGCCTGTATTTGATCGAATATCAAATTGATATTTCAGGTGATGAGGCTTCAAGTTCAGGGGTAAAACAGAAAAATATACAGAATCTTAGAAGCAAGAATTGCATCATTGGTTCACATGACAACACCGCGTTTTGTACATTCCAAGGCAAGTGTCCAACAGTCCAGTGCTATTAGCGTTTCTTTATTTCCAACAAGTAGGTAGTTGAACACCGGTATGCCAACCACTCTCGTTAACGACTTCACAACAAACGCTGTATATTTACGTTCATGGCTGTCCAAATACGGTTTCTTTCAATGAGGATGTGTTAATGCTAATATGTAAAAAAACAACTGGTGTATGGTGTATTAAAGAGATCCCTTTTTATATGAAATTTTACTGTATGGGAGCTAGTATGAAATATGGAATATGACGTCAGTCATCTGTCCACCATCGGATCGGACAGTGACACGGATTCAATGAGTTCACATTTTAGTATCCCTACTACGTGTCACCATCATAGCTTTTAACAAATTAAACGTATATTGACTCTAAAGATCCCATGCCCTAGAAACTGCTTTTAAGGCAAATTTCAATGTATCTCTTGTATGAAGATGAATTGTGATGTGAAATCTCGAGCCCGACACGAATCTGCTGCCAAAAAGGTGGTTAGTATTTGAATTCACAAACTCCAAATAACCTTCGAGGTCATTCTCTAGGTCTCCTTTGAGTTACTCGACAAGTTACTTTTTAGATATCCTAAAAGCTTTCTTAAAACCTTCATTCCAAAAAATACTTGGTTGCCACGTTTTCGGCTGCGGATGCAGCTCATATGTGATTAGTTTTTCTTTTTAAAAAACATGTTAGAATTATTGATTGGCGGAAATCCTGCAGGGACGATTTTGAATCCTCAAGAATTTTAACAGTAGCTTGGGTTCACACTCACGAATTGGCAGTTTTTGTGTATAAAAATAAATTTTATCTCTCCAATAATAAAGAATCATACTACCGAATATATATAAAAGAATCATTTAAATTTCTTTCTAGCCAATAAATGTGTTTATGGCTTGGAACATTTCTCTGCATGTAGAGCTGTTTTTAATCTGTATCTTATAAAACATATATTTGAGCATATCTAGGGAATCTATGCTGATCAGGAACTAAATTGAAACTCCTATAATATTCTTAAGGGTTAGGATAAATAGAGAAATAATTGAAAATGTTGAATCAATTAAATATTTAGGTATATATATTGATCGTAAACTAAAGTTTGAGGATCACTATGAATACATTATTTCAAAAATTGCCAAGAAAATAGTTTATAATACAATTATTCTACCGCATTTACTATATTGTTCAACTATCTTGTTCACTGCCAATGAAGCTGTATTCTCAAAATTACAAGTCTTGCAAAATAAAGCTATGAGAATAATATTGAATAAAAATAAGTACACCAAAATAAAATGTTACAAGAATTACAGTGGTTGCAATAGTAATATAACTAGCAAATCAATATGTCAGAAAGGATTACTTGAATTTAATAAACTAAATAATGATATAAAGTCTACTAGTAATTTAAAGATATTTAAAATAAAATTAAAGGAATATTTCATGGACAATGAAAATTCTTAGAGATGCAATTTTCTTTTTCTGAATATCTGTATGTTATATAATTGTTTAGTTTTTTAGAAGAATGTAATAGTAGCAATTATGCTAAATAAATCTTAACAACAACAAATATATACATACCACAGCAATTTCAGCAGATGCCGAGTAACATTGTCTCGTGACAGGCCAGCTGAGAAAAACTCATCAAAAAGGGCTGTGCAGAAATCTTCTGCTTGAAATTCGTCAGCATTGTGTATGAGCAGGACAACCTATGAAAGAATTTCGCTTTGAAAATCGTTATTGTCGCTGTTTGACCAAACATGACATGGATAAATAATCCAGCGTTTCTCAACTTCCTCAAGTTTTCATTATTTTTTTTAATGGTATAATCTATATTTGATGGCACTTACAAATGAATGTAGAAAAGGATCCTCAAAAGCCCGATCATCCTTACAAATAGCTAAAACTGTGAGAATTCTAAGCAATCCAACCCTGTCTTTAGATTTTGCCACATGTAAGGTGTAATACATAGCCAGAATACTCGCTACAGAACTGTCCTGCAATACAATGAAGAAATGTGGAAAATTCCATTATTTTAATGATTGACCCTTTTACCTGTAGGTAACCCTCCACAGCATCTGGCAGAGGTCCAGAATGTTCAATAACAGTAATTGCTGCCTCCCTTTCATCATGTGGCAATTTGGCAGATAATACTCTTACTTGATCATCAACCATAAGTGACATCAGAGCAGGCAAGAACTTTGTCACCACTTGACTATCAAGTTTTGGTTCTTTGAAGTCCTGTGAATCAATCATCACCCAGGCACTTAGACCTAGTGCCAGCATTCTCAGCAACAAAATTAGAATTGTGTTGTCCTAAAAAATATAATCATAGTAAACATGTGTTTTTAACAGCAGAATGCACATGTTGCAGATAATCAAAGAAAATTGCTTACCCTTGGCATCCCTTCATTATGTATCAAATGTTGCAAAATTTTTATAGCAGATGAAGCTAAGAAATTTATAGCATAAGGATCACAGAGAGTCATCGAGAGGTCACCCAAGACTTGCTCTTGGCCACGTTTTACATTATCCAAAAATCCCTAAAGTAGTAAACATACAAATAAATGCATAATATGATAACTTCCATACTGCTGTACTTAGGTAAAAGGCAGTAAAGTTCATTTACTATATTTTTTAAATTTTGACGCCAATACATTTTTTTATGATTACAGTTAATATATCATTGTCAAATATTTCATATTAATTACATTTTCTAAGCATAACAGTTGCTTTTATCAACTGTACTTGTTTAGTTTTTTTATGTAATACTAATTATAATTTGAGAATAAGCACTTATTGCTATAAATAATTACTTTTGCTCTGAAAGAATACTTTTGAAAAACATTCTTTGTTTAACTTAACTAAAAAGAGGTGTTGTTAATTTAAATAACTATTTTTCTTGAATGTAATCATATGATTATTAAATTGAATTATTAGATGGTAAAAAGAAAATGCTGTTACTGCATTTTTCCTTGAAAAATTAATACACATTATGAAAACTCTAAAAAAAGGCAGTAAATTTATTTTTGCAATGTATATAATCACATGTTACTGCTTTTTGATTTAGAACAATTAAAGACAGAATCTCGTTTAATTTAGTCCTTTTCAACAATTATGATCCGAAATCACGTTTAAATGACTGTCTAAGTCATACAGCTTTGTAATATCCATTCACTTTTATTTTATCGGAATATCTAGCATGAAACAATCCAAAATTTTCTGACCTCAGTGTTTACCCTTTACTGTCATTTACCTAAGAATGACAGCATAACTATTTGGCCTGAGATATTTAAGCTTTAATATACCTTTAGTGAATATAGTAAATTCTCAACTATCCGGCTTGCCGCTGTCTGGACTCCGGCTTATCCGGCTCGTCCAAGACGAGACGCCGCTAAACATAATTTTTACGCAGCAAGCAAAAATAGCAGACTTTTTAAAAAAGTAACATATGTAGATTATTAAAATGTATTTAATATAATATACATATTATTATGTATGTACAATGTACTGTGTGCTGTACTATATACAGAAATGGACAAAAGTATATAGACGTATATGAATATTTACCTTTAGAAAACGAATTCATACTTCATTGCTCCATAAAAAAATGCGTTATTAGTAGAAAAACTAAATTCCTTGTTTTTACATTATCTGCAATGAACACGATACAAGTCTGAATATAAGCACTTTTTTATGAGGGACAAAAATATGTAGACAAATTCTTTTCAACATTAGTTTAGTACAGATTCGTGTCAGAAGAGGATTAGTTTGTGTTCATCAAGTATTTTGGAATAAGTTGAGTTATTTTGAGACCATGCCCCGTGGTCCAGAAATTTCTTTCGATGTGAAAACTAAGATCATTGAGTTATACAAAGATGGTTGACATTGCCAAATTTTGAAGCTAAAGCGTAAAGCAGTTTGGGCAATATTGAACAAATATAAACAAAAAGGTATCTTGGAAGCCTCTAAGAGAAGTGGTCGGCCTTGAAAAGTAAATGCTAGATCAGTTAGATTAATAAAAGTAATTTCGTCCAAAGATCCGTTTAAAACCCCAAGACAAATAAAAGCCGAAATCGAGACAAGACGTATTGTGCCAGTGTTTCTACGAAAACTACAAGTAAAAGATTAAATGATTTGAAGTTATTTGCACGTCGCCCGAGTAAGAAGCCGCTAATCGCGAGGAAAAACCGTAAGGACCGATTATAATTTGCGCGGTTGCATCTTGATTGGAGCATCTGTGACTGGAAGAGGGTATGTTTCAGTGACGAATCCAAGTTCAATATGTTTGGATCAGATAGTGTTCATTACGTTAAACGTCCTAGTGGACAAAGATTGAACACCAAGTACACTTTGCCCACTGTCAAACATGGAGGCGGGTCTGTTATGGTTTGGAGGTGCTTTTCGGGGTTTGGGATGGGACCTTTACATCGAATAGATGGCATTATGGATAAGTTTGTATACACAGACATACTAAAGCATGTCATGTTACCCTATATGAAAGACAATATGCCCTTAAGATCAATCTTCCAGCAAGATAATGACCCGAAGCACACTTCAAATCTCGCAAAGAAATTCTTTCTGGATGAAAAAATACCAGTTCTCAAATGACCTTCACAGTCGCCCGATATAAACCCCATTGAAAATCTATGGGAATAGTTAGATAAGCAAATACGAGATAAAAATTATTCAAACAAGGATGAACTTTTTGCCGTTTTAGAGTAAAAGTGGAGACAGATTGATGAATCTTATATCAAGAAACTTCTACAATCTATGCCGAGACGATGCCAGGCGGTGATTGATAATAATGGTTATGCCACAAAATATTAACACAAACATGGTTGGTTTTCTATAATTCAGTGAACTTTGCTTCTTTTTTCTATAATTTTTGCTTTGTCTATATATCTTTGTCCTTCATAGTTCCAGTTTTTTTCAATTAATTTTTTATTGAAGGGAGTCTAATGAATTTATTTATGTATAAGTGAGTATTATGCTATAACGAATTATGTATACAGGTTGGTGTATTAATACAAGTTAAATAATAAATAGAGCACAATATTAATTTGTGTATATACTTTTGTCCATTACTGTATATATATTTATGCATTTTCTCATACCTTAATAAGTACAAATGTAAGTTCTGAGTTAAAATACATTTATTTAATAATATTGCGAATGTATGGACATTGATTCAGCTACTCGGCTTTTTCATTATCCGGACTAGATGCCTGCCACATTAGGCCAGATAGTTGACAGTCTACTGTACTCAAATGCAGACGGCAAGTTCAAGAAAAAAGTGTTCAGCTATTAGATTGAAACAGTCATTCACCTTGACCTCCCATAGGCCTGGATTTTTAGTCAAAGTAAGCCATATATTGCAGTCAACTTTTTTTAAAGCCTTTATAGAATGGTAAAACAAATATTAAATAAAAGTACACACAAGAAACCTCCATAATTTTATACAAAAGCAAAATAAAACTCAGAGATGAACCAAAACTAGATCTTTATCCAAAGAAATGGTTTGATATGAGTTTGCTTGAGAAGTACAAATATATGATTTTGCACAGATATTCATCAACTGCTAGAATATAGAAATAACTACAATGGATATCATAGATGATAATACAAAAGCTAAAAACTATTCTCTAAAGTTAATTATTTGTGAACCCTCATTACCTGCAACTCTCTTGATCTTTTAATATCAACATTCTTCTCTCTAATACAGGCATCCAAGCACCAAGTGAATTTATGACATGGATCAATTGATATAATATCCTGAATTTCTAGATCATGAAGTGCCATTAGCAGTTCAGCTCTTAATGTACAATAGTGAATTATTCTTGTTCTTAAGAATAATGTTCGTAAGAACTGTAATACCATGTCATACAGCTTAACACTATTACCAATCATGTGAGCCAACTTTTTGACAACTTCGCCTTGTCTTCTGACCTACAAAAATCCTCTTACACCAACAATAAAAGAAAACTAGAGTGCTTTACCTTTGGTGAAGGACCAAAAAAATGATTATTGAGATTTGTGTGATCAAAAAGGACATTTTCCTTCTCACTAATATATTGACTAAGCAATGGTGAGACTTCATCACCAAAAAGAGACTGATTGTCTTTCCAAATCTGTCGTTTTACTTCAGTGTCTGTATCATTATATAGCTCTCTGTCTCTCACTAATACTCTTAAATAGTGGTCATCTATTTGAGGAATGTTTTTCAGAATAGCCATAACAATAGGCCTCAGTGCCTTTACTTTTATAACTGGAAAGCTCTTCACCAGTAGTTCTTTTAGCTTGTGATCTCTTTCTTTCCCTTCTTGTTTTCCAATTTCATTGATATGGTTTGTCAGTTTCTCTCTCAGAGCCTAAAAATGGTTCTCATGAACAAAATAAGCAATCTTCAAAATTGTGTCTTACCTCCACAACAGACATGTGGAAATCCAACCGTCGAACTCCATGTAGATCCAACAATGGCAACATAGGCCTAAGTGATGGCAGTAGAATGCCATTTGTTACCTTTGAGAAGAAACTTTAAATTCTAGCAGGACAATTTATGCTATAAGCTTACCTGAAACTCTTCTATTGCCTTCAAGGGGTCTGTACAACTTGTAAGTGCATGCTTTAGATAATTTGGACCGTGTACTTTTAAAGCTTCCAAAGGAAATTCGTTATTTCCTCTACTGCTGTGTGCCATTGTAGCTTATTTTGAACTTCTTAAAATTACATATTATTTTCATGAAATAGAAAGCCTCAAGTATGTAACCTTTACAGCTTTACTCCAAAAGTAGTTAAAACTATTTTTACTATTTGTAAGTGCATAAACATTAAACATTTGTTCTGTTTGTTGTGCTTGGTTTTTTTAAAGTGATGTCCTGTCATTAGGATAATGCGTCAAAACGTCAAACTCTGTTTCAAGTGCTGAGGGCGACACACAAAATATATACACTGACAAGATTCACCCAATGTTGCCGGGTTCAAAAAATAAAAATCACAAGAAATTTTGCTAAAAAAATCACTAATTGAATAAAAAATCATTAGATTTGTTATTGATATATTTTTTTAAATATAGAGGTAAATAATAAAACATTTTTTTAATATTTAAGGCTTTACTTTTGAAAACAAACAACAAAAACGTACATTGGAACAGACACTTAAAAGAAACCATAAATATAAACACCAAATATATTTGAAACCTTAAAAATGTAACAATAAACATGAAATTAAATATAACTTACTTAAAACTACATTAACCTAAACGAATTTAAAAAATAATGACTTTCTTTCGACTACATATATTATTATGTAAAAAGATTAATAAAACAAACAACAAAAACGTAAATTTACGTACAGACGTACTCTTAAAAGAAATACAAAACCATCAGACAGAAGTAACAAAACACCAAATATATGTCAAAGCTTAAAAACGTAACAATAAAAACGAAATTAAATATAACTTATTTTAAAACTACATTAAAATAATCAAATTTAATAAGAATGACATTCTCACGAGTACATATATTATTATTGTGTTTTTTATAATGTCCCTTGAAATTGGAAAATTAAAGCAGCTTTTATCTTTGGCATCAATTGGTCTTTTGCTGTGCAAAATTCGAATTCCTGTTGTAGCACCCAGTCGATTACGCAATTTGGTTTTGTTTAAATTAATGTAAAAAAATAATCTTTCCACACTTGCGCTACTGTGCATGCGGGACTATCATCCCCTTTCTTGATATTGCTTATGTTTTTCCAGAATTGAGTTCCACCAAGCGAAAAATCACATTCAGAAAACTTCAACTGCCTAAATTCTTTATCTAAATTGTTAATGTCTTTAACTATATTTGGAAACCTACTAGCCAGAGGACCTATGCTTTCAGTTGATGATATATTTGATGGGTGCAGAAAAGTTATTAGTTTGAGAATCTGTACTTTTCGGGAATTCAAGAGGAATCGCTTCCATATTTTTCTTACCGCTTCAATATAAAAATCCAGACATTTCAATCTGAAATTATGTTTGATATTTTTGGTAAAAAATGATTATTCTTATCTTCCAATAGTTTTGGACTCAAGTAAATTTTTTCCATTGGAAGAAAATGTTCTGGATTTCGATATTGAATATTAACTATATCTGTATTTCTTAAATAAGTATTCTGATTTTATGAAACAGCTTAACAAAAATTTAAACTCGTCATTAATCCGGGGGTAAAGGTTATGTACCTTGGGGGTTTCAGACTGGAATTCCAAATTCATATCCGTAAAAGTCCGTAATATAAATTGCAAAAAAGAAGATATAGTTTATTTAATTTATTATTGAGCATGTCATAGATTTCCGCTGCTCCTGAAGCTTCATCGAATGCATCAATTCTAAAATAATTCTCTAAAGCATCATGTTGCTCAATAATTCTAATGACAGCGGATATCAGTGACAGCCACCTGGTATGTGATGAATGCAATAATTTGTAGGGTTTGATGTTAAAAAATGTTTGAAATTCTTGAAATTCCGAAAATCTTTTAAAACTGCGATGCATATAATTGTATACGCTTCGTACCAACTTTTCTGCATCATCCGGTAATTTTTCGCAAGCAGAAGAGGCACAAAGAGCTAAAGAGTGGCATATACACTTCATGACATATGAATCCGGTATTTCACTAGTTAAAAGATTTTAAGCGAATGATGTGCTCTCATAGCATTTGCCTCATCTGCTGCAAATCCTACTAAATTATCTTTGTATGGTATTTTATTTTCGAAAAAAAAACATATAATGACATTGTATAAATTTTGGGCTGAAGGGTCTTTAACTAAAATATGGCCGAGAAAATGATTCTTTCTATTAAAATTTTTATTGTACCGGACAACAATTGCTAAATATTTTTCGGATGACAAATCTGTCGTTTCGTCAACTAATAATGAAAATTTATGGCAATTTAAGTGACTAATAAGATTTTCAAAACTTATTTTCCTTAATACATTGTTTATGATTGCCGTACATTTAGTTCGGCCTACAGACATTTCTTTCGCTGGGCTAGTCTCCATTCCAGATAAACAAATAGATTTTATTTATTTATTGCGATATTATGCTCTGCAATAAAAGCTGCAATTTTAATTTCATTTTGTTTTACTATATTATCAGAAGAAATTTGAAATACTTTTTTTGACAATGTTGGCTGCTTAACCATGATATTAAATTTTTTGATATGCTTTTTTGAATAACCATGTTTTGTAAGGCTCCTATGCCGCCTAAATAATCATAACTGCAAACCTTGCAGTGGAAAAAATAGCTTCCACGGGAACTTGGCTACACCCAGTTCTTAAAATTTTCATGCTGCTCCCACTCAGCCTTGCATTTTAGGGAATATATTTTTTCTTTTGAGGTTGGTTGGTCTGGATCTTACTGGATACTGAATTACCAGAATCAGAAGTGGAATCTAATTTATTTGTTGTACTAGGTCTCGTTTCGTCGGATTATTCTTGAACTGAAGTAGACTCTTAGCTTGGACCTGGTTGTGGAGATAATGGCCGAACTGTGTCATCTTTTTTCTGAATTACCAAAAATGTTTTCATTATTTTGGTATCTGATGGCTTGAAAAACAAAAAAAGATTTTAGCCTTTATTACAAACTAACGTTTGCCTCAATTAGGTATAGATTAGTATTTTTTATATTATTAACGTTATCTCATAAAATATTTTGTAAAATAAATTGTTTGTCCCAATTTGCGTGTAATTGCAGGGTATCTTGGATATTTTTAAAGATAGAACTTTAGAGTTTTTGGGAACCTTTGCCACTTTTTTGTGCAATATAATAATTAATGGGGGGCATAAATACAAGGTGCTCACATTTTATTTCACTCATATTATTGTTCATATTCAAAGTGCAAATACAGGATGTTCCATTATAAAAAAACTAAGTTAGGGTCATAGCTCTTGAACGACGCCTCTGATTTTTTTTCGAGCACGCCACTGAATACGAAGAAGTATCTATCTGAAGCAGTTTTCACTTTTTCTATCTTATACAGGGTGCGAGCTATGACAGTGCCCTAAAAAGTGAAATTTTTAATAATAATAATAATGAGTAATTTTCACTAAAGAATGAATATTAAGAATGAAACAAACACCCGTTGCGGCGCCTATATATAAAAATAATTTATGTGAATCCCCGAGAAACCTTATGTAAATCCCCGCGCCGAACAGGGTTCACCACTCGTCTAGATTAAGTTTTTTTTTAAAGGTTTATGTTGCAGTTTTCAACATTTGCAAGTTGAAAATGCACAGAATTACCTTAAAAACATTTAAGAAACGTATAAAGATGGAGATATTTTTGATTCGGCTACACTCCAGTAGATGGCGCTGCATATCGGTAGCCACCACAATGCCCACCATTTTGAATGACTACCTTGAGCTGCTGAAATTGAAATCTGAAATCCATTCAGTAAGCTCCAAAGCATGTAGGGAGGAGGGCGCTTTGTTTTTCAACAAGGCCAAATCTAATACGTAATATTAGAATATAATACACTAATCCAAACAAAGTAACCTTTTCATCAAAAAATGGGGGATTTTTAACGCCCCTCACGCCCTCACGGAGATTCAAGTTTCTTTATCTTTGTGGATGCGTTGCCAGGTTTTTTGCTTCCATTACTCCCGTGCCCCGAGAAGCTAGGATTGCTGAAAAAATGGATAAGAAATAAATTTTTCATGAACCTAAACGGAGCAGTTTTGATGTCTTTGGGTGGGTTTATGCAAAATGACGTTCTAGGTTTGTATTCAGGGTGACCCAGAAGTCGACGTCAAGCCGGAAACGGGATAGGACAAGTCATAAAATAGTTATAAGAAATATATAAAAAAAATTAAAGTCGTACACAAAACGAAATTTTCGAATTATAAGCTTTAAAAAAATCGGCAAAATCTACAACCTGTTATCTTTTAGTTCCCATCCTGAATACAGGAGAAATGTGGATACCTTGGGCTGCTGAAATCCGTTCACTAAGCCCCAATGTATGTAAGGAGGACGCTTTGTTTTTCTACAGAGCCAAATTAATACGTAATATTAGATATAATAAAATAATCCAAACAAAATACTGTTATCATCAAAAAGTAGGGATTTTTAAACTCCTTCCAGGAAAATTTAAGTTTCTTGATCTTTGAAGATGCGTTGCCAGTGAATGAATGAATGAATGAACGTTTATTCGCGATTACAATAATAATAATTTTACAATATTAACATTAATATTATTACAGCTGTACCTTATACCAGCTACTCGTCCTAATTACATAATATTAATTTCTACACTATTTTAAAGAATTTTTGATAAAACAATTTTCGGCAAATCTCAAAATTTTTAAGCTTTTGGGATTTTTTTTCAATAAAGCCAAATCTAATACGTAATGTTAGAATATAATAAAATAATCCAAAAATAATCCTTTTATCAAAAAATGGGGAGATTTTCAACCCCCCTCACGGAAAATAAGTTTCTTGATCTTTGAAAATGCGTTGCGTCTGTTTATAACTAAATATTAAATCATAATGTCAGATGACGGGGTTTCAAGTTCAGGGGTAAAACATTTTATAAACAAGAATGAACAAAAGGGGTTCCAGGATGATTGCAAAGGAGTTTGTAGAGCAACCAGTATGCTCATTGTACAAATTTTAATAACTGAGTAAATCTGTTGTCAGGAACAGATGCTTTCAAAATACCTGCTGTGTGCGCGCACAATACAATTTTTTTTCGTAGATGGCGCTACGCGACGCACAGACCCATTGCTGATCTTGCAAAGTCATTGTTGTAAGGGCACCGATTTTTTTCCTACCGATCAACGGAATTCGTCTATTTCGGTTTGGCAACACTGATCTCATATCCACGATCCACGCCCGTCATGACGAGTGACACATGCCATAACCTGTGAACATAACCTTAATTTCTGGGAAAAATAAAAAAACTGTTTAGCTAATTTTTGAGTCTGTGTCCTCTCTCATTATTCAACAAATTACATGGACATTGTTTTCGTAACACTAGTGAGCACAATACTAGCGAAGGTGTTCTAATATCTTTACACAATGAGGTATGCTCAGCTAGTTATAGGACCAGCAGGCAGTGGGAAATCCACCTACTGCAATGCTTTGGTACAACAAGGAGTTGACCTCAACAGGAACATAGAGGTTGTTAACTTGGATCCAGCTGCCGAATATTTTGATTACCAACCTGTAGTTGATATACGAGAACTGATCCATGTTCAAGACACTATGGAAGATGAAGAGCTACATTTTGGCCCCAATGGTGGTTTGGTGTTTTGTATAGAGTATCTTCTAGAAAATTCTGATTGGTTACATGATAAACTTGGTGACCAAGAAGATGACTATATACTGTTTGACTGTCCAGGACAAATAGAACTGTACACACATCTTACAGCAATGAAAAAGTTAGTGAAGCAACTTCAGGACTGGAACTTCAATGTATGTTCAGTGTTCTTGGTGGATGTTCAATTTATGACTGATGGTGCAAAGTTTTTATCAGGCACAATGGCAGCATTAACTGTGATGGTCAATTTAGAGATTCCTCATGTGAACATTCTTTCTAAAATGGATCTTTTGAGTGTTGGTGCGAGAAAACGCTTGGATAGATTTTTAGATCCCGATGCTCATGCTATACTAGGTGACATAGAGTTGAATGGTATGTCTGCATTTAATGAAAAACATCGTAATTTAACAGAAACTATTGGAAAACTAATTGAAAGTTACTCTTTAGTTAGATTTATACCTTTGAATTTGAAAGATCATGAGAGTATAGCTGATATACTTATAACAATTGATAATGTGATACAGTATGGTGAAGATCAAGATGTAAGATCTAAAGACTATGAGGAAGAAGACCCAGAAAATAGTGATTGAAGTAACTTTGCCTTATTTGTTTAACCCACAAGTATTTAAAGACCAAAAATCTACTTAGCAAAAAGTGTAATTGAATAAAAAAATGGACCTCTTTGCATTGATATAATAATTCCCAGTACCTAAAAGTGATCATACTGTAAAATATATTAAGATATGATGGAATAAATAAATAAGAAATATATCACTGTTTTAGCTCTTTTATTGCATCTAAAATCAATGGCACTATTTGTTTCCTTGAAAGTTTTACATTATTTTGTCTCAAACAAACTAAATCTGAATAATCTGTGTGTACTTCACAAAACATAAAATCAAACCCATTAAGCTTTTGACTATGATTGAACTTCTCTAACAGTGCATCTTTTAAACTAACAGAGGTTGGTTTAAAATATATTCCAAGATCCCTTTTAACATCTTTACTTGCGTCCATTCCAATAAGTACTATTAGATGAGCATTAAGTTCATCAGAAAGTGTCTTTATTGACTCATAACTATTTTCTAGTTTCAAGTAGTCTATCAGCAACATTGGTAAACCAGGAACTGGAACAGTTTCAATCAGTTTCAAGTCTTTGTTAAGCATTTGCTTTGGAGTTAAATGTGACACATCATTATGGGCTTGCCATAATCTCTGGTATACTGTTTTTCTCTCTTCTTGGAAGTCATACTTTCGTTCTAATTTGCAGGCAATGCTTATGTCCAATTCCTTTGCTCTGCCATTTTCAGGTAAAAGTGCAACTGTATCATAAACAATAACCTCTGAAATTTGAAATATTGGATTCACTACATTTGCTAATATTATGAAATAATAATATTGTTTTTATTCATAGAGTTATAGTGGCAGTTTATTATGGCAAACTTTAGCTAAAGCTATTCTTACATTTATCCATATGAAAACAAATTAAAGATGGTAATGACAAAAATTGAAATATCCATCAATGCATCCAAAATCCTAGAAACTTACAAACTACAGAAAGACAGAGTTGACCAATTGAAAAAAGAAGATCTGGTTACGAAAACTTTTAAAATCACATTCAATCACATTGGCATTATACAGGTCCTAAAAAAACCATCCCAGAACTATTCTGATCATGTTTCATCAGTTTCCTCAATTTTAATGCCACTTGTCATCGGTTGTCAGAATTTAAATGGTTCTGGAACAGTTAGCAGTTACCTGCAGAACCCAAAGGAAGCAAAAATGGGAAATCATAAATGACCCAATATGTTTTAACCAATGTACTTACCATAGAGTAACCAAGCCAATTCCTTGAAAAGAAAGTCTTGTTTATCTAGTTTTTCTGCAATTAATGTAGCACATGAGCCTACTTGTTCAATTTTTTGAAAAACATTATCCCATCTTGCTGTTGGGTCAATAGGCCTATGGTCAAATATTTGTTTAACAGTATCCTTCAGCATTTGATCCTTGCTAGCTAGCACATGATGATCCACTAGTGTAGTAGTTATACATTTTGATTTTTTTAAAAGATCTAAATCAAAATTATCTCTATAAAGAGTTATTGTCAGTATATCAGAATAATATTCACGTAGCTATAGTTGTTACCTATAAATTAGTGAATCTGGTGGAATGTTCAGCTCTTGTAACACAAAGCAGTTATCTGAGCGAAACAGAAAGTGTTCTTTCGTCACATTTTGTACAGCAATAACTAAGGCATTAGATGGTATATTAGAATCTCTGTTCTTATGTAGAAAATAAGCCAAAGCTATTGAACATACACATGAGTCCAGATCACAGGATTCATTGCCCATTACAATATGGATGTTTTTGAATGAGTCCTTCCCCTACGAACGTATTTTTAGAAACAAGTTAGGTGAGGATTATATTCTGGTATAACTACCAAGGAGTCTTTACTATGTCGTAAATAGTTTTTAAAATCTTCCAACTCCATTGCCTTTTTCAGGTTGAGTTGAGATAAAAATCAAAAGATAAAACTTGAAAAAGTGCCTCAACCTCTTCCCACTCTTGACGTCTTTCTCACAAAACTACAAAACATATACAGATTACAGAGTCTTACTACTTCAGACTTAGCAGTCAGGTCATCGACTCATCGACAGTCAACACTCCACGTCACTTGTACTGTTGTAAGTCTGGTTGCATAACAACGTCGCTGGTAAAAATGCTATCTTTATAGCTCAGGGATAATAGGCAAAGCGTACTTAAAAATTGATTCATTCTTATGAACAGCATGAGAATCACAGGAATAGATCCCACGTATTTTGATTGAATTGTGTTGTTTTTTCAATCATCAATTTGTTTTGGTTTGTTGATATAGTGTATGCATTATTGTCATTCACGCCTAATTACTACGATAATTTAGAGGTTTTGCGGTTCGCGGGATGATAAAACTTGAACAAATATGTATGTCTTGACCATATCGTAAAAGTGCTCATTTCATGATGTGATCAAACATTCTATGAAATGGTCGTAATTTATGAAATGTATTTTAACTATTGACCAGATCATGGTGTGTGTAGATTGACCAGATAATAAATCGTTTACTGAAGTGATCGAGTAAACGCGCGGCTGTTTTATGAGATGGTCACGCGTATTTGATAAAATCGTAAAATAGTGAAATACAGATACTCTAGGCCGTTAATAATAAAGTTATTTTTAGAAGTGAAAATCCGAATCATTCGTTACTAATTGGAGAAGAGAGTATAAATATGATGAAAAAACTACGACAAAAAGTATAACTATGAATTTTGTGCTCAAGATAACACAATTAATGGTCTTGGAGGTGATCCTATATGTTGTTAACTTCTCGCCGACAACAAATACGTTGCTCTTTACAGATGTACCTGTAATTTTATAAAAAAAATTTTAATCAAAAGGGTGCTATTTTGCCAGTACTCGGACGCACTCATACTGAGTCCATTTAATATAGATATTTTTACAAAAAAAACATGCATATACATATTTCAACCAATTTCCCAACATTTCTCACAGACTCGACTGTATCCTTTAGCTTGCCTTCACTATGTATGCAAAATTCATTGGTAGCCATTGCCGAATGAAGTGGAAATGTGAAATTTTATCTCACAGTCTCGTGAAAAAATGGCGGGAAAATGGAAGTGGATGCGATGCTATGAAAATTCGTTCATTCCAGTGATCCGACACAATATCACTGGCTATAATCCACATTATTTGTTATCTTTTGGTGTCCGTCCACTGGCTGGGGCTTTCAGTTGTATTTTGGTTTGTTTAAAATGTTGTTAGAATGACATACAGCAGGTATCATGATTAATTTATTTCGTAAATTTTGAATATCTTCTGCATATGTAACAAGAACAGTACTTATATATATTCACCTGACGATTCTACTTGCCTTTACAGTTTATGTCAATCACTACACAAATGACAAAAATTGAGGAATTGAATGCATGCTGTTTTTGACGCGCTAGAACAGTTTTCAATATGACAACTGTGGATGTGAGATTTTTGTAAACTGTCATAAATTAGCTGATATATCTGGTACCAATTGCCAGCAAGTATAGGATTTCAAATATTCAAGTTATTATCAACAATATAACATATGTCGGACTACTGGGTAGTGTCAGAGGTACTGACATATTCACCCTACTCGAGTACTATGGTGTTTTTTTGGTTTTATGGACACCCTATTTTACGGTATGACAACAGCCGTCGCTGCCAACCCCTGAGAATAATCATAAGCTCTGGGATTGTGATCTAACCAAAAGACACATCTCTGAATGAAATGACATTTGCAAGTTTTTATATGATTCAACCAGTGATGATTTGTATTGCTTTATGTCCAAGTTAGTTCCACATTCCGTATTAACTCAACTATTTCCAGAGCAGTAGGGTTGGTATGGAAAGCCCACTATAATTTCAATTGAAGCTATGCTGAAGATCAAAAACGGCTGAGATGCAAGTCAATTTATTGGTCCAAATTGTGTGTGTGGTACCTTCTGGATTCTGCATGTTGTTTTTGGACAGTAATATCGGCGCTCATGGGGGGTGTCAGGGGGACCATGGCCTCTCCTGAAAATCTGCTTATTTAGTAATGTTTTTGTGTACAACTTTGACGATTGCCTAGGATCTGTCCCCTCTGATAAGCTCCACCGAGAAAAAATTTCTGGAGATATCCTTGGACAATAATATTATTCGAATTGTCCTGGGGAATGAAAACATCTGGACCATAATTATTATTAGACATACATATAATAAATATATATTTATGTATTTGCAAGCTATGCTTTTCTGAACCTTTCCAGATTATTCACTAGATATCAGTGATCTCATAACAGCTTGTGTTACTGCCATTTCTTTAACGCACAAAAAAGCACTTATTCGTCAAGATAGCGCAAAATATAATTATAAGATCCCCATATCCCAGCAAATTTCTATATATAAAAGTATAGCAATGCAGATTGATATGTAGAGCTGGCAACGCTATGTGGCATTAATGTACAATTTGGCAATCATGGCGCACTCTCAAAAAATGGCGGTTGACAATGACATACGTCAATCGTGTTGTCCTTGAATATCATGGAATTTTACCTTTTTCAGCGTATTTGCTTTGTGTTTGAAATTAAACGGTCCCTTGCCAAGGTTGCCAGGCCTGGCTGGATTTTTCGCCAGAGTGGCAATTTGATGGCTTCAAATGACGACTAAAATGGATAGCTTGGTGATCGGCTACTTTAGTGATGCCCAGTATCCTGCGACTTGGCGATACCTGGCGATTCTTAACATTTCTGACGTCAATTAAGTTGTAATCACTTTTTGATTATATGTGTATACTGGGAAAACCAAATTTGTCTGAAGGCTTGAGTTTGTGTACGGAAGAGAACCGCGAGAAATGAGTATCAACAATTGTTAGAAAGAGACAGCAGCTGGGTAAAGAGTAAAGGTCATCACTACATTGATTAGCAACGGTGACGCAGAAGGTCGTGCAATCTGCCGCGTTACCAATATGTTACACCAGAAAATATTCGCACAGGCTTCAGGTTACATTACTGTCAAACCCAAGAAGCAGGTCTGTTCGAACAATTTATTTTAATATTCAGTTTTCATGTTGATTAGAATTATGTATTTTAATTTTGATGCGAATTAGTGATTTATTTTAGAATTAGCTGTGATTTCCACCGATGGTGATAAAATCAACACATCCTGAGTTATTGTTACATTTTGCGACAGCGTTGCGGTACTGACCAAAATCGTTCTTCTACGATAATGGAGATGGATACCTTGCCTTGGATTGTATGGGATTCGGAGTTGTCAAGCGAACCAATGATGCAATGTTGAAGGATTTGTGGCGATATTGACCTTTCATTTCGACCTAAAATGAAGTGCAGATTCGACACAGCTCACAATTCAAAAACGTGTACGCTTAAGATAAAACCATTATTCGGGAGTACAGAATAAACTAACGTTTATTTTTTACATCCATCTGAAATCAAGGAACTGGTGTACATATTGGGAACGCGGCAGATTGCTGCGTCAGCGTTGGTAGGCAATGTAGTGATGAGCATCGCTATCCAGCCGGTTTCTATCTCTTTCTAACATATATGTCTCTATACGCACTCCTTTCTCGTACACAATCAACTCAAGCCGTCAAACAAATTTAGTTTTCAGTGTAGATTAATGAAATATAAAACGAGGACCAGCGGAAGTTCTGTGTTCTAATGTGTCGCTATAAAATGCACGATTATTACCGTTTTAGTGTGATAAAAGGGAGAGAGAGAGAGAGAGAGAGATACCCCCCCCAAAAGGTCACTGGGGAAAGGTAAACATGCAGAAAATTATTGTCTCCCGCTCTTCAATTTTCAATAGTCGGTAACACCTCCACCCCGTTTTTCCGTTGTTACAAGAACATTCTCCCCCAGAAGCCCCCCATCTGAATCCGCCCCCTGGAATGAACTTATAGTAACGTTCAGATTACACGAGTCTAACAACCTTCCCTCCTTCCCTACTCCGGTGACAAATGCCATTACAACCTCTAACCTGGCGCTGTATGACTCCAAGTTAATTTTCACGTTGATGATTGGAGATTTTCTTATCAAAACTTGCGCGTGACTGAAAACCTGGCAACCCTGCCACTTGCGAATTGCCGCCAGCAGCCAGCACACCGCCACTACCGCCAGTGTGATTGCGCAAGTGCGTAGTTTTTGTGCATTGCTGTTACATTTTGAGGTGCTCTGATTTTGTTTAGCTGATTTCGTTTAATATCCCTTAAAATATTTTAGGTAAGGCTTCAATTTTATATGCTTGATTATAGTCGATGAAATATCTTGCGGTGGATTGAAAACCGTGTGCTCTAACATCCACCCATGGGCGATGGGATCGAGGGATTCCCATAGAAATATTCAAATATGGCGGAAGTGACAAAGTGTACTTGTTGCTTGAACATACAGTGTTATTAGATTAAATACGCAGAGTCGTTAGAAAGGAGTATTGAATTATAAGAATCCAATATATGATATTTATGTTTAGCTAGGAGTGTTAAAACAACTGTAACTGCTGTGTCAGCCTATTTTATGCTAAATATAAAGCTTATCAGCACACATTTTAAGTCCATGTATTCAGAGCCGACTTTATTTAGGGTGGAGCGAATGAGCGACCGCTCCAGGCATCGCGCTAACAAATGATTAAAAAGTTTTGGTTGCATGGAAATAATATAATAATATACGTGCCTAAAATATCTGTCTGATCACTCTCGCAATATGTTAAATTATTGATTAATTAAAAAACCCACGAACGAGATAATCGTGATCAAAAGATAGTATGTGCAAATAATATGAAGATTTTGTAATAATATGATTGATTATTCACTAAAAAAAATTCTTATTCGAGTTTAGACCATAGTCAATCATACTTCTTTCTTATCCCAATTCTTTACACAGAGTGAAATATTGCATACTTACATCAAAAATAAGAATAGACTCAACCCTCACAAATGAAAAAAACCACGTAAATAATTGGCGTATTTTTAGATGAAATGAATTCATCAAAAATGCTAAAAACACTTTTTTGCACGAGAATTTTAAAACAATTTCACTGTAGACCACTTTTTTAAAAAAAGGCCTTGCAAAAATGCTTAGCTCCAGGCCTCGCATCAGCTACTTTACAACAAAGTACCTAGTAGTATACCTGTATATTATCAAGACCTTTTGTGGAATATTCAAATCCTTTGAATGACTTTATATATTTTCATGGCATTTTTCACAGCTTTTTATTCGCATCAAAAAACACTTAGTTGATTTCAGTGTATAATAACATATAGAAAAACCGAGTATCGACACAGCACAATAGCATCCAGAGATCCTCAGGGATATTAGTATTACATGTGTTTCCATAACTACATTTCAAAATCAGAATTTTCGATATGTTTTAGAAACACTTCATTACAATATTATGAACCGATTACAATCAGTTTTCTCAACAATGGCTGCGTATAAGTACCCTGTATATGTATCTAGCCAGGTAGCCAGATGTTCAAGCCCTAATGAGCATATATTAGGAACAAGTGTATATTTTTATATATTTAAAAAAAAAAACAATTTTATTTCCACTTTTTATAGGTCTAAAGATATCAAGGATGTTCCACAACAGACAGAATCAAAATTCCGATGTCATAAAAACACCTGCAGATATAGATAGACTAGTAGCTGATATGAACAGATTGCAAGTACCCAAAGAACTTAAAAAGCTCATAGTTTATGTCTATGAAAGAAAAATATATGGCTCCCAGGATGCTATCTCCAGAGAGTACTTAAATTTTTGCCTTGCTAGCTACTTTATCTTAAAGACTGATCAGTATGAGAGTTTGCTTAGCGACCTGCAGCTTATGCCTATGCAGCGTTTTATTCAGAAAACTGTTGACCTTCTCTCCTTTAGGCCAGGTTTACATAAAGAGGTAAATAATGCATTAATCCATTGTATACAGGGTGTTACAGAATGTTGCCAGGATTTAATGGTGGGTTCATCACATAAAAATATGAAGAAAACTTCAAGGATATGTACATGTCACTCGTTTTTACATCAATCAGTTTCATTTTCTCAAAATCATATGATTCTGCTTGAAAGGTGTCCATTCATTGGTTGCTGAAAAAATGATGTCAAGTGGGTTGGCTCTGCACTTCCTACACAAAGCTGTCATCAGTTTATAGAGGATTAAGTTCAGCGCAATTTAAATCCTCTGAGAAAAAATTAATTACAAACACATACAACAGAGAAATTAAACATATTAAGTCAGTTAATTAGGTCCATACAATTAGTCCATAGACATTCTTTCTCTGACCTACTGGTATCGCTGCAGCGAGTTATCTTTAATTTCATGCAAAGTCCATATATACACACCAGGCAGTGAGCTGAAATAGGCAGGAGTACACAGATTGAAATATGGCTAATAAGTGCATTGAGTTACTGGGGTTGGGAGCGTATAAATATGCTAAGAGCAAAAACATTTCATATACCTTCCCCCACCCCTTATAACCCCCAACCCTCAAGAAAGAGTGGGCACAAACCTAATGGAAATCGGTTCTTGGTGAATCTTGTTCAAACTTTGAGAATAAGCTCTGCAGAGCATCCTGATCAACAGGCTGTTAACAATCCTATGAAGTGTGTCCATGATATACAGGGTGTCCCAATCATACGAGAACAGAGTATTGCTGCTAAATAAACACTATCAAGGAAAACTATTGGTTATTATACATGGAATTTCTAAAATACTCTCAATTAAACAGGGTGACCCAATTTTGCCCCACATCAAAAATTTTTTAAATGGAAGGCCGGATTGTTGATTACACACTCGGATAGAAGATTGATATAACCTAGTTAGGTGTTTTGAGTTATTGGGATATCCATATTTTATCGAGAAAAACACCAAAGTTCAACAACTGAAAAGAAAACATAGGTATTAGGAATTTCGCAGATTTGACCACAACCATAACCTTCAAGGTCATGTCAGAGTCAAGTTACTTCTGCTTGATAAGAAGCTTCATTTTTGATTATTATAAAGAGTGGAACATGGCCCAATAACTAATAATCAAAACGCATAAGTAGGTTATATCAATCTTCTTTTTTAAAAGGGCCTATCCGAGTGTATAATTAAAAGTAGAACCTTGCATTTAAAAAAAAATATATGTTTGATGTGGGGCAAAATTGGGACACCCTATATAATTATGAGTATTTTAGAAATATCATGTATATAATAACCCATAGTTTTCTTTGATAAGTTTTTATTTAGAAGCAGTACTCCATTCTCGCATACTTGATACACCTGTATATGATGGAAACGTTTTATAGGATTGCTAAGAGCCCATGAGAACTTTTGATCAGGATGCACTGGAGAGCTTGTTCCCAAAGTTTGAGCAAGAATCACCGGGGACCGATTTCCGTAAGGTTTGTGTCCCCTCCTTTTTTCGCAAATGATCAGGACCCTCTAAATCTAAAACGTCAGAAAACGAACTTTGACCGATATTAATTTATCTTTTTTGTTTTTTTACCTATTTATCCACCGCCACTCGTCCGATTTTCAAAAGATACAAAGCTTTTGCGTCCTTGGCATAGTAGTAAAAAGTTCATCGAAATCCAAGCGGTACTTCTAAAGTTATAAGAAGAGCGGACAAACCCACACACTAACGGACCGACAGAAGTGACATGTTTCGTGATGTACATGTCATATAACCTCCAAAAACATATCTCATTTTCGAAATTCTTCGCGATTACTATACTTTCCCGCCAAGTGGAAGTAAATATCGACTGCTCAATTACTGTTCTATAATAATCACAAACTGATGTACTGGTCAATAGAATAATTTTGTTTTTAGAGAGTAATATGTTTTTTGCAATACTGAAATAAGTGGCATACTGTTTTCCCCTAAATAAAGACACGTACTGGCATGAACACAACATGCTTTAGAAAACAATCTTGTATGATGTTAATGTGACCTTTGAAAGTGAATTTCTGTGTATCAAAACTCTTGTCAATATATCAGGTTATTTCCAAGAAATATAAGAGGGACTATCAAAGACAGTCAAGTGAAAAAACCTTATATTGTTTCATATGTCAATGAGCTGAAAATATCTTTTCACTTTTCCAGGCCACATTCTCATTACTGAATTTTTCAGTCAGGATTTAAGAATTTGAAAGTGCCTGTGGGCCAAATAGGTACTTTCACAATGACAAACAAATGAAAGGCAAAACATGATATATAATTTGTGAAAAATCTCATAGTAGTAGTTCTCTTGTTCTATCAAATCTTTGGGGAGGTATTCAAGCTAGATGTTGGAAAATAACTTCATTTTTCAACATTTTCTTGTTTCTAATCAGTTCAGGCTAAATTATTCTTTTTGCACCACTAATTTACTACATTATTACATTATATTTCGTAATATATCAGAATGAATGAAAAATATAAGTGATTTTGACAACAGCTCTTCATTTATGAATATCCAAATAATCGACACAATGGGTAATGTTCGGACCCGTCCTTATATTAACTCTTTTCACATTTTTCTGTGCTGAACCTGCCATTAAGTTTTCACGACAACACGTTGTAACATTCTGTATTTGGTCATCATTCCGTAGGTACTAGACTTCATTGAAATAAAATATGAAGCTTTTCCAAAGCAGGCCAGAGAGATAACTTTGCTATTGGATGATGTTGAAATAACTCCAGGGTTGACAGGGATTGCTGGTAATCTTTATGGCAATGTGGATGATGGTATATCCCATAACCATACCCCTGCAAAGTATGTCACACAAATCTGGATCAGATCACTAATAGGTCAGTATCAAGTACCTTTTGTGCATGAAACAGAGTTCAGAGTTCATTAAAATAACTATTTAAATTTAAAAGAATACCAAAATGGACAATTGTATAAAATACATATGTTATGGCAGATTTAGGGTTTACACATTGGATTAAAAAAATACCACACATTTTAGGCAACTTATTTTATAAATGTATCACCAGAAATGCGGACTTCAGTCTTTAAAGATTACGTCATCTGTACGCTTCCATTTTATTGTAGGCACTCAGTGAATCTGTTCCTCATATTTTTTATAACTTGCTGAAGCATAGCAGATTCGATTTTGTTTACTTTTCAAATCATTCTTTTAAGATAGCAATATTGTTTGGACCTCTGCCGTACATTTTTCTCCTGATCTTTCACAGGAAAAAGTTGGTGGGTGTCAAATCTGGTAATCGTGGTGGCCACGCAATATCACCAAAGAGATTTACAAGTGACGGTTCCATCCAGCTGAAACCTCGTCCATATAATTCCATATAAATGTTATCTAAGCATTTTCAAAACAAACCCAATTTGTTTTGGTGAGATTGCATGACAACGGCGATCACCTCATTTGTCTGGCAGGGACTTTATGCTGTGGGGAAGCATTAGCAAAATTCACTCCAAATACTAAAAAAGAAAGAATGCTTGGCGAAGAAAGCGACATTGAGAATGCTATTATGCTTCAGCGCGTTATGCTTAATATGATGAACAGGTTCCATGAGTGGCTTCAAGGAAATGTATTTTTCTAAAAATAATAGGCATATTTTTAATTCCACGTAGTAATTTCAAAATTTACCGTCGGACATTGGTGTATGAGGGTACATAAAGGCAGTTAGTATTTCATTTGGCTCTCAGTAATTGATAATGATATTACAATGACATTACTAGAGAAGGATAATTTTACTCAACCCTATCTTAAAACTTGCATTAGTGAGACAATCTATGCGCTATATAATTCTTGCTTTTACTTATTTAGCTTCAGATTGCTTCGATCTATTGGCCTACTATTTCACTAGCCAACATGCTACAGCAGAACAACTGAAAAACTATATTTTTGAATGCATCACTAAGTTACAAGCTATTAACCTAGATGTTGTTCTGGTGAATACAAAGCTGAAATCTAACTTTTGGGAATTGTCAGAGTTATTGGGAATAGGTCCCCAAAAACAAACTTTCAAGGTAAATACTTATGTTTGTTTTATGGTTATTGTTGCTACTATACTGGGTATTCAGAGTATTTTCGGAAATCGAAAAAATCGATTTTTCTTGAAAATCTTTTGTGTTCTACTGGCTTTGCTTGAGATGAGACCTGAAAGTAAATTGCATATAAACGTTGAAACCTTTTCTCTTCTACAGTGTGGCATACTTGAAATTTCAATATGACTTTCCGTTGTCATCATCCTGCATCCTCAAATTTTATTTATTGTTATGGGCGCCCTGTTGGAACTTTGCATAGTTTTTAATTTTGTTTACAAAAATGTATAATGTAAAACTATAATTATTAAAAAGCAGTGTTGATGAAATAGTCATTGGCATGCAGTTTATATTTCCGATTTTAATTTGTTCAAACATAATATGAATTAAACTAGTAATATAGCTTTCGTACATCAAAACATAGTCGGCTTAATCATCGCCAACGGTTTCGAGCCTTTTGGCAACTCATCAGCATGGTTGGTGTAGGTTTAGTCTCCGGTAGAACAATGAATAAAAGCTGAGCAACTACGCTCTACCGCAATATGCCAGTAAAAAGTGCCATCTATTGCTGTTTTCATTTTCGCAGTGGTCGATTCTGGTAATAGATGGCACTTTCCGCTCTTTTTTATTTCAAAGATATGGATTGGTCTTAACTCATCGAATGACGAGCAATATAATTGTAAGTTTTTCTTTCGCTCTTTTTATTTGATAGTAATAATAAATATTTTCATCATACATTTTTGGAATCAGAATAAAAAGTCCTGTTCTGTGCAAAAATCCAATATGAGGTCCAGCAAAATTAAAGCTGACGTATTTTTTAAATCCCACCTCAAATAAAGTTAGGAAAAAATGAAAAGTATGTTAAAATTCGTATCCCGGTATGCAATCCGATTTCCGAGATCCAAATTAATTAACGCATTCCACCTGAAGATAGTCAGCCATATGCTGTATTTCGACGTCCAAAATGGAACAAGTGGGTTTCCAAAAACAGAAATGCCATGATTTTGTTGCTATCTAGTACATTTAAAAGTGGTGAAACAGTATCAGGTAAGACTTGAGTCTGAAATTATAATGATATAGTATTATTTCGTGCATGAAAGAATTGTGTGCATCGGAGGAGAGATATTTTCACATAACTAAAAGTTATTTTTTGATTGTGCATTGCTGTGTTTGTGACAGAAAGAGTTTGGTATGTGAGTAGGCAAGAGCTAATTCAACAGCAGATGAGGTAGAAAGGGCTCAGAAAGTATAGTCACGAACGCTTGGGTTTATATACTACAACTATTTAAAACTGTAATGACTCATACGCGTGATCAACACGTGATCAGAGCTCGATCCCGGCTTCCTTCCAGTACAGCCGTATAGCGTACGACATATGTCGTTTCTGTGGCTTTGCGGTGGTCAACAGCACAGACAGAGATGGAAATAATGGCTGATTGTTCTCCGCCGGTAGAACCAATGAAATCAAAGACGCGCCTCGACCGGCAGACTCATAGGCGTCGGCAACGCATTGAAACGTGTTTCGTTGAGCGATCGCATATTGTGTGTTTTTATAAGAATTGTTGTGTGATTGTTATTGTTGTGGTTTCTGTGGTTACTGTTTTGGTTATACTTAACCATGGAGAGTACAAATGGCACGAGTGGAAGTACTGAAAGCCAGGGAACAAGTAGACGGCTTCGTAAAGCACTGAAGAGGGACGCGAAAGAAATCGTGCTCAACGTGTTCAATTATCTGAACAGAACTATGTCGCAGAGAGATGCACTCGCGCGTTGTGAAAGTATGACAGGCGTTCCAGAGTGGACCATTCGCAGGGTGGTGCATGAAAAGAAGAAAACTGGAGCTACTACTGATCCAAAGTTTAATTTGAAGGGACGAAAGGCCGTTAAATTGGATGACGATAGCAAAATGGCGTTAAGGCGAACCGTACATTCATTCTTCTTTAGGAATGAGATACCAACCCTCAAGGCTGTACATGCAGCGATCAAGGAAAATGAAATTATACCCCAAATGAGCGTCGAGGTAATGAGGAAACCCTGCACGAAATTAATTTTCGTTACGAAACGCGTAATCGGAAGTCAGTATTGATAGAGAGACCTGAAATAGTCGCCTGGGGTCAAAAATACCTACGCGAAATGATTGAATATAGGCGACAAAGCAGAAAAATCTATTATTTGGACGAGACATGGGTAAATGCAGGTCACACAGTTAAAAAAACCTGGATAGACAAAAACGTAGTGAGTAACCGACAAGCAAGCATTGAAGGTTTGTCAACAGGTCTTCGTGGACCCTCAGGGAAAGGTCAAAGATTGATCGTAACTCATATTGGTAGCGATAGTGGCTTTTTAGAAGAGTGTAACCTGATTTTCGTCTCTAAGAAATGAGGTGATTGCCATGACGAAATGAATGCCAGCTGCTTCGAGAGCTGGTGTCAAGGGGTGTTTCAGCGAGTTGAGCCCAACTCTGTGATCGTCATGGATAATGCTTCCTACCATAGTCGTCGAGCCGAACGTGTACCGACTATGGGATCTCGAAAAAGTGACATGCAGCAATGGTTGCGCGAAAAAGGAATCCCGTTTGACGATTCATGTGTGAAAGCGGAATTGTATGAAAAAATTAAACAGCACTAGCCTGCGAACATTAGTTACGTGACTGATGAGATGGCCCGTCAATGTGGTGTCACTGTGCTGCGGTTACCGCCCTACCACTGTGAACTGAACCCAATAGAGCTCATCTGGGCTCAAGTGAAGGGTTATATTGCGCCCCATAACACAACCTTCAAATTACCAGACGTTAAGGTTTTACTTGAGACTTCCATACAGCTAGTAACGCCCGAAGCTTGGCAGAATGCTATCCGTCATGTTGTGAAGGAAGAAATAAAAATGTGTCAGCTTGACCACCACATCGACACCATCATAGAGCCAGTTATAGTCAATTTCAACGAGGAAAGCGATAGCGACAGTTTATTACTGTCAGATGTAAGTGGAAGCGACGATGAATAAAGGTAATTTCCAAATGTTTGACTTACAATATGTTTCAAACCACTCTTTATTAAGCATGTGACAAATCTAGTTCACCCATGTTAAACATTCATACCCCGCCTATGAACAGCCGACTACTGGTAGTTAAGTGATGTTCACGTGAACATCGATGAGTCATTACAGTTTTAGATAGTTATAGTATAGTAGAAGCGGTAGTGGTAATTTCTGATACTGCAGGAGAGCGTTAAATGTCCACGGTTCAAATACCAATGTTTAAGTGGCAATATCTAAGAATCATAATTATTGCAATCAACAACCCAAATTACCCGTGTGGTACAGCTAATGGATATATTTCATGGGCAGCATATTCAATCATAATTTTCTCACATAGCAAATATCACTGATTTTATACACATGCAGACGAATACATACAATCATCCAGGTGTGCTATTGCTACTCTGCTACTCAACCACATATGTTCTCAGAGTATACTCTACAGACTATCTCGGCATTCTGCAACCAACAAAGCATGATAACTGACTTGTAGCTTGCAGCATGGTCATTGATCGTGCATAGGAAATCCTAGGAACAACTATGGAGGGAGGCAGTTTAGTGTCATGTTTAAGAATAAACTATTCTTTTTTTAAAGGAAAATGCAGTAATTTTTTATTACGTCTGAGGAAATTAACCCAATCCCATTTGGCTTGGCAATATCGCTGTTACAGAGGAAACTTTATGGGAACGTCAAATTACATAAATATGGTTGGCTATCTTCAGATGGAATACGTTAATCAATGCTGTTTTTTCGGTTCAGGTTTTGATTCGATTGATTCAATGTTCATCAATCAACCTTGTCACAATTAACACCACGACTGATCATTTTACAGGGTGGCCAACTAAGAATGCGAGGTACTGTATCTGGGAACCTATCCATCGTAGAGGCTTGCGACACCGATCTTTAAATTCGAGGATAATCTGAACCTTTTTTGTTTGACAATTTTTGTTGTATCTCTAAAAATAAAGTGGTGGGGGGGTATTCAAAGGTTTCCGTAAAAAGAGCTGTTCTTGGGTTATAAATGTTATAATATTTGAAGTTTTGTTAGTTTCACATGTGGCCGCTAGAGAGCTTTTTTCGACATTTCGACAGAAATGGATAATCTCAAAAAAACTCATTGGCATGATTTTTTTTGAACAAGTAGCCAAATGGTGCCTAAACAACTTCGCGAAAACCGCATCTCGTTATCTTCTTCCTAACTAAATATGTATGCCTAAGAATATTTTATTCGGAAATCCCTTAAATTTTTATTGGTTTATACTTTTTGTGGAATTTATTTTTATTATTAAGTTGTGGCCCTAAAAAGGACCGATTTAAAAAAAGAATGGTTTTTAATGCCCAAGTAAATGCTCGAAATGCTGACCATCACGCTCTATGCATTCCTGAAGGCTCTCATGGGTAGACAAAACTGCAGCTTCAATTTCGGCTCTCGGTATGTTACTTATTGCATTACGAATCCGGTTTTTCATTTCTTCTCTGGTTGTGGGTTGAGCCTGAAACACGATGTCCTTTAACCGTCCCCATAAATAAAAATCAAGACAAGTTAAGTCTGGAGATCGCTAAGGCCGAGGAAACAGACTTCCTCTTCCAATCCACCGCTGTTGAAATACTTCATTATGCTCTCGCACAATAATATCAAAATGTGCTGGGCAACCATCCAACCGCAAAAACAAGTTTTGCCGTGTTTCCAATGGCACATCTTGCAACAACAACGGTAAAATTGATCGTCCAAAAAGTCAAGAAAGACATTGCCATTTAGGGATTGCTCGAAACCATATGGCCCAATAATTCTGCCTTATAGTATGTCACACCATGCATCTAAATTCCAACGCCCCTGGTGCTGAACATCACACAACCAATGCGGTTTTTGTGCAGACCAATAATGCATATTATGCAGATTGACTCTCCCGTCACTGTTAAAAGGTGGCTTCATCGGTCCAAAGAATTTGTAATAAAAAATCTCTATTTTTGCGTATCATGCCTAAAATCTAATGGCAATAGTCCGACCTCCGATCAAAGTCTTCCTCTTTCAAGGCCTGATGCAGAACGACATGATATGGGTGCATTCGAAAAGTAATTAAAAAAAAAGTTAAATACAAATAAATCCCTATATTTTGATGGTCATTGGAACTTAACTATGGTCCTTCAAAATATATAGAACCGTTGGTCATGATATTCCCAACTCAGGGGATAATGCCCTTGTGCTAACATGAGGATTTCCTTCAATATATTCCACTATGCGGTCAATATTTTCTTGTGTTCTTTCAATTCTTTACCGTTGAAACGTAGGCCGAAAACTACCATTGGCTCGTCAGCTCGCCACTAATCGGGAAAAAATTCCCACAACGCAAAGACAGCTTCATCGATCGTAAAACGCATGTGGTAAGCACAAAAATTGCTCAAAGTAACGCGAAACTATTGACAACTATTGACAATTTGAGGATTATTTATGATTTGTGTAAAAAATGAAAATTTAAGGGATTACCTTATAAAATTTTGTTTGGCCTAAATTTTAGGTTAGGAACAAGATACCGATACCGATAGCGATGCGGTTTTGGCTAGCTCGTTTAGACATCATTTAGCTACTTTTTCATAAAAAAATCATACCAATGCGTTTAATTTTTTTGAGAAAATTAACAATTTCTGTCGGATGTCGAAAAAGCCCTCTAGCGGCCACATGGGAAACTAAAAAAACTTCAAATATTATAGCTTTTGTAGCTCAAGAATAGCTCTTTTCAACTCTCCCAAGTTCGTTAAAATCGGCCGTTTCGAAGATTCAGAGTGTTTTTTACGGAAACCTTTGACTACCCCCCAACACTTTATTTTTAGAGATGCAGCAAAAAATGTTAATCAGAAAAAAGTTCACCTTATCCTCGACTTTGAAGGTAATTTTTTTTTGTTAGGTTAATATAGCGGTATGCACAGAAAATCACTTTTTTAGATTCAAGATTGCAGTTACGCCCACCAGCAGTCATTTCAGAAACTTGAAAATATTTTTCTCTTGGACGTTCTAGTAAGAACTTTTTTGCTGCAATCCCCTACGGTGGATAGGTTTTCAGATGCAGTACCTCACATTCTTAGTTGGACACCCTGTACAATTTTTACATTACACGCAAGTTCAAGGTAAACAAAAATTAGTTACAAAACCCTATGCCAAAATAGAAAATCAAGATATTTAATACGACCCATACCATCAGTATGTACTGATAGCCCCGTCAGTGTCTGTTGATTACCGCACTGACGAGTCAAAGTATATACCGATCGTTTGACATTCCTGTATGTATATAAGTAAATATAATATGTATCAATTACTCATATAGTGTTATATATTACAGGTGGAAAACAAGGAAGTAGTTTTCATTTTCGATGCGCCTCACATGATGTGCGTGACACGTAACAACTTACAAAAGCACTATTTAAAGATGGAGGATGGAGGTACAACCTCCTGGGAACATATAAAAACGTTTTTTGTCAAGGAGTCTGGAAGCGGCCAGAAAAAGACACCACTGACCGCAGTTCACATCGAACCTCATAAGTTCGATCGTATCACACCAAGTTTAGCTATAGATGTGCTAAGCAACACTGTATACACTGAAATGAAATCGTATGTCGAATCTGGAAAATTACCCGAAGAAGCTTTGGCTACTGTACAATGCATCACTTTATTTGACAGGTTTGTGTGTACATATCTATCTGACTATTTGAATCTCGGAAACGGTAAGAGATACCAATGACGACAAATTAGAACTTGAAAAGTTTCACAGCTCCGAGTACATCTGGAGACGAATAAAGCCGAATTTTCCCTAAATTGGTTTTTATTTATTCTGGATTCTATTTGAGATGTGCTTACAAAATGAATTGCACATTAATATTGCTACCTGTTCTCTTCTACAATCGTGAACTTTATTTTTTCTTATGAACGTCATGATTTTTGCATAGGTGAATAGATTCTTAATTCTGGTTTAAAAAGTTTTTTTTGTTTTTAGAGTGGCTTTGATGCCCGTTGCGGTACGTAATTTCCAAGTAGATGGAAGTAGCTCCCGTGAACTTTCAACAGACCTGGCCTCGTGATGGTCTCCATATCCTGCATTGGTATTGCCTGAAGAACATCCAATGTCACGGCCTTACCCTTGCTGGACCATCCATTGGCTCGAGCTGCCGCCTTGAAGATCTGCAGATAGTTCGGCCTGCTCGTCTTGCCATCGAGTGTTGGAGGTATCAGCTTGGCTGAAGCCCCTACTGGCTCTTCCTGCGTCACGGAGCGCTCCAAATCGTTTGTTATCGTACGACGTCTTGGCCTGATTACTCGATGAACCTGTTTCTCAACTTTTCGTAGCTGCGCATCTTGCTCAGAAAAACTTCTGTTGGAGCTGCTCGTCTCCTTCTGTTCGACATCCTGCAGCTTCCCTTGTAGCTCTTCTTGAAGTTTCTCCGCAGCCTCAGATAACCCGATGGCGTATTCATATCTGAGGCCACAGATGATGTGGTCCATCTTTGAGAGAGTCTGATTCACCTTCAGCATCTGCGACAGGGCCTGGTTCTTCTCTCTCAGCATCTACGCTAGGGCACTCCTCCCTCAGCGTACTAGTAGTGTCGATCATCATCGGGGAAAAGGCCTGGTTCTCCTTCAGCATCTGCAATACATACCATAGTTCTCTTTCTGGAGGGCGCGGGTGGTGTCCAGTTTCTGGGAAATCGTCTGGCAGGCAGAAGCAGCTCGGCATCGACGGTGCCTCTGGAACCTCGAATTCGAAGGTCTCTGGATCTTACCTGCAGCTTTCTAAGAAGTTTTGAAGACGGTCCACCAGCATCGCCTTTGATTCCGCCGTCTCGTGCTTAGCCTCCTTTAGCCCCCCTTCAGACCACACAGCCTTTCACAGGCACCCGATGAAACGAAATGATCTCTAAAATGAACGTCCAAGGTTACTTAAAATAGTCACAGTCACTCCCGACACGCGCACAGTTCAGTTTCTAAAACAGTTCAGTAGCTTAAAACAGTTAAAGTCACTCTCACAGTTTAGTCTATAAAACTTTTTACTATTCAAGGTCTAATTCATTACTCAGACAATTCTAACTAATTTATGACAAGTTTATAACCATGTCGACTGGACTATCGCGTGTTGATCTGTTGCTGATTGATCCCCGACTGCCTATTCTGCCGTTGTAGCGCCTATTTATTTCAAATCAACCAATCCAGAAACTTCCAGATAGAACGCGGGCCTAATCGAAGCTCGCTAGATGACGTTAGATCGTTTTTCGATGACGGTAGATGCTGGGAGTGGAGGGTGAACGCGCTTGATGCAGGGTCGCGTAATTTTAGTTGCCTAAGCGTCAATATTGCGCCATCGTTCCTCAAAGTCCCAGGTTCGGTACACTATTTTGAATGTCGCTGAATGATCTGCTGTTATTTGTTGTCATGTTTTATGAGTAGAACTACAGTGGAATACACTATAACGTAAGCTATTTTTCAGGTTATTTGATGTGTTGAATTCAAAGTATGCAGTGGCTATTAATGAGTACGCTAGTGGTTACAAAGGAACAAAATGGCAGAAAGAATATCTAGAAAAGGCAATGAAATGCCTCGAAGCTTTAAAAGTCGTAGGTACCAAAGGCGAAGACAAAACTGGTGAAGTGAAATTTACCAAAGCTTGGTTGACCACCATAAGGGGTACTATGAAAGTTTGGGAGATCATTAAAGAGAAAGATCACCCATATTTGCTTACTAGGCACATGAACACCGAACCATTGGACGCATTCTTCAAGGCACCTAGAGTGTTTAACAGGAATCCAATAAACCCTTCTGAATATTTCCATTATTACTTTGCATCATTTCTTCGCACATATTTTTCAATGAAGCTTAATCTGGTGAAACACACAGATGCGGAAGAGTATGCGCGTGTGGTTTATAAAAGGATTCCGGCAGTTCGGCACAATTTGGACACTCCTCTCCAACGGATGGAACAGAGACCGACCAGTTGGGAATTTCTAGTAATCAAATCCCGTCTTCAGGCGGTGTGTGACGAGCTAGGCCTTAACCGCATACCTATATCGTTTTATTAGCGGGCTCTGTAAAATAATTAAATAAAGTGAACCTTTATGTTACATGAATCACTGTGTGTGGCTGATTCAGTTTCAGCGAAGAGAGGTGTCTCTCGTCTGTCGAGAATAGCTTTAGTGCCATACTATCTATCGTTAAACGTAAACATATGATTTTTTTTACTTTGTTCCATTGATTAACGTACGATTTTGTGTTCAAGTATTACGTATTTTCTTAGTATTCCTAGTATTATTATTATTATTATTATTATTATTACTATTATGTTTGTCGTTTTGATGATCACTTGGATGTAAGAAAGACATCACAAGCTTTCTGAAGTGTTATATCTCTTATACTGAATAAAAATATTTCCATATTTGCACTACTGATTTCACCGATGATTAAAATTCTGCATTCGGGTATGGATAATTTATACATTGCTTTCCAAAAAGCTCTTCAAAGTTATTTTTTGAAGTGGCCAAGTTAGCAAGCTTAAATTTGGGGTGATGAAATTGTCGGCGGCCTGTATTATTACTAAACATACCATCACCAATGACGTCTTGCCCTAAGCCATCACCGGTCAAAAGACCAGTTATGAACTTTTTGCATAGAAAATGAGCATATTATCTTATTGTCTTTGCGTATTTTTTTACGAATCATACACAACATTTGAAATTCGTTTTTACATGTTGTTTATTTTGCGTAATACCTATGGCAAGTATAAGCACTGTTAACTATAGTGATGAGCGATACTGTTATTTCCCAATCACATTGTTAATTGCGATTGTGACTCTTAGATATCAGTGATTTTAAAGCGAGACGTGATCACAACATTTGCAAAAAGTGCACATTGGGTATGTAAAAAGAATATAAGTGGCTGTGGCCGACAATGAGGATGTATAATAAAATTATGATACATAGCTAATAATAAATAAATATTTATTTTTAAAAACTGAACAAAATATATAAAATATGCGATTTTTGGTGATAAATAGGAAACGAAAATAAGAGACATTCTTATACAAACAAAAATAAATTAAAATAGTATTTCTGTTACTGCTTAATAATAATAACTAAAGATGAAAACAACAAATGTGAAAAATAGTAAAAAAATAATATAATAAAAGTAAACATATTAGGAACGCAAACACAACAGTCTTAGGCCCGTATCGTCAGTCGTCCCTACAATTGTAGGGCGCGTTTATGGCCTCCTTGATTGTCATACTCTTTTCTCTCCTTCAAAAATTTCTAGATTACACTCGTTCCGTGTCAGCATCAGCGCTCTCCTATTGTTAAGATATGTTTTCCTTTTAAATTGTAGGAAATTTCAGATTGAAAAAACATGATAAAACTCAAAAGCAAGCACAATTTGATGCAAATAGATGTTTGTGACATAACCTCAAAATAGAGCGCTGACACGGAGAAATAGAAAACTATGACAATCAAGGAGGCCATAAACGCGCCCTACAATTGTAGGGACGACTGACGATACGGGCCTTAGTCTCAGTCTTTGCTTATGGCTCCGCCACCACAGAAGAGGATCGCTTTTCGTGGTAATATTTCTTCCTCAAGTTATCTCTGAAGTTCAATTATTGCCCGTGACATAGATGTTCCTTTAGGTTGGGTTTGGGCCACAATTTTATCGAAGTCACTAAAAATATCTTCTTCTGCATGATCTTCTGGAGTTTCTTCGATAAGTTGTACTTCCGGTTTTTTCTGATTTTCGCGTGCCACTTCATTTATTTTTTTTACTATTATTTCGGTTACCGTCTTTTTTATGTCCTCGGCTACATAATGATTTCTAAATGCTAAATTTTTGAATCTGGGATCAAAATACGTGCTGACGGACAATGTTTGACTCTTCTCAATGTTACCAAGACGTTTTTGTAACTCTGTAAAAAACTTTTGTACAATATCAGTTAATGGTTGTGAATATTTTTTTTTAGTTAGTCTTTCAAAAATATTTATTAGTCCGTTACAGATTGGTATGACAAGAGCACCAGTACAATATTTTTCCCCACTCAACGTTTCAGTCGCTCTTTCAAAGTGTTTTAGTATTTGACATAATTCTTTTATAACTTGCCATTCCGCAGACGTAAGAGTAGGTAGCTGTTTATCAATAACGGCCAACGTACACTTAATAGCCTCTTCCAACTCAACAAATCTTTGTAACATGTGAAACAAACAATTCCATCTTGTTGGGACTTCTAAAATTAGCTTCAATTGATTTTTTCCCAGGTTTTCCAGATATTTCATGAGCTTGTTATTTGAAATGGTACTTTTTTTAAAGTGATTGACTATTTTCTCTGATTTTTTCTAAAACACTTAATATTTCATCATTCTTTATACCATCTTTGACAATTAGGTTAATAGTATGTGCAACACATCCCATATGTGTCCAGCCGATTTGCTGCAATGCCTTCTGTATATTTGGAGCATTATCTGCTACAGCAAAGATATCCCGATTTTCGATTTGCCAATCTCTTGTAACCCTTTTCAGATCTTCAGCGAGGTTCTCAGCTGTGTGACGCATGTCAGTTGCGGAACATTTCAGGAGTATCGACTTAAAATTGAATTCGCTGTCCAAAAAATGTGCTGTTACACCAACATAGCTAACGTTGTTAATTGATGTCCAGGCATCTGTTGTATACAAAACGTTCTGCCAGTATTTATTATTGTTTTGGTATTAGTGAGACATTCTTCATATAAGGCAGGGATCAGAGTTTTAGAAATGATATGTCTACTTGGCAGCTCATATGAGGGATTCAATGCTAATACGAATTCTCTGAATCCAATATCATCTACTACTGAAAAAGGTTGAAGGTCTTTAATAAATAAGCCAAGCAAGTTTTTATCTAAATTGTCTTTGCTTCTAACAGATATTTTTGGAGGTACACGGAAATAATTGTCGACCCTGGTTTGATCTTGATGTGACTTATTTGTTCAACTAAAGCCGTTCGACCTTCCACGGAATTAAGTGATGAAACTTCTGAAGTAGATGGACGATCGTTATCAATACTTTCTTTATTCTAAAATAAAGCATATAGGTAAGTAATATGTATTTTTTATTATTGAATAATGACAGTGTTGCAATACCTGGCCATTTTCTTTATGTTGGGCTACCACTGTTGACCTCTTACTTTCCAAAAAAGTGATTGTGACCGTAGGATGTTTCTTTTGTAAGTGCTTTTTTAAATTTGACGAGCTCGTCTTATATGAAAGTTTTGATTTACACATAGTGCATATTGCATGACCTTCGTCTATCCGATCAAAAAATTTCCATATTTCGCTCGTTTTCTTTTTAGCCGAGACGGAGGCCATTATTTTTTTACATATGCGTAGATGACGTAACTCCTAAAATTATACTCAAACTGGAAACTTTTAGTAATTAAAGATGGATCAGATGATGCAATTTACATATTCTATAAAATGTTACTGTTAATCACATATCGATCTATTAAACTTTCCAGTGCCAGTATTTTAAATCGCCGAGTAGCAACTAGCAACCAACCAACCAAAGAGAACGAAGACCACAGTGTCAACAAGCTTGAATTTCGTTTATCGCCATAAGAATAACAAGGGAAATTAAGCGTGCCGCGCCTTAAGGAATCTCTGTCTCACTCTCACCGTCTCCCACCCAGCGGCAGGGTGCGAGATTGTGGTTTGTGGGGTGTGTCTGTGATCGAGTCAAACTTTAGGCCCGTATCGTCAGTCGTCCATACAATTGTAGGGCGTGTTTATGGCCTCCTTGATTGTCATAGTCATTGCCATTGTCATTTCGAAGCAGGACGACACTATCGCCAATGAGCGATAGATGGGTACTGACGAAACTCGATCATCTGTGATCCTGGCGGTGGATATCTTGCCTTGGAATGTACGAGATACGGTGTTGCCAAGCGAACCGATGGTGTAATGTCGCAGAATTTGTGGCGATCCTGACCTTTGATTTCGACCTAAAATGAAGCGCCGTTAGGACTGATCTGCAATCGATCCTTCACAGATTCTTCACAATTCAAAAAAGTGTAGGCTCAAAATAAAACCATCATTTGGGCATAGAGAGTAAAATAACGCATATTTTTAACGTTCATCTTAAATCCAGCCGGCTTCTATATCTTTCTAGCATATGTGTCTATTATCAAATTCAAGCGGATAACCAAATGAAAATGGTATTTACCATTTTGGGTTAGTATTTACCGATCCGTTCAAGCGAGTGTGGTTATCAGTTTGGTTATAAGATCCGTGACGTCATGAATCAGCTGTTATATGTCACAGTTATCACCGCAAAATTGTGGTATTTACCCAACTCGAGAGTAGTTTTATATTTCTGGTTATTATTTGAAACGTGACAAGTTAGAATTTTGCCTGGTATTGCATATTGTTATTGTACTTCAGCTTCATTTTTGGGAAACTTGATACAGGCTGACTTCAGTGTTAGCATAAAGTGGAGCACCTTATTAGTTATACTCATTACTGTTGTTGGGAACACTTTCAATCTAGTTCCTATGTTTAACAAAGTATCCTGTGTAGCCACATACCACAAGAGTATTAAAATATGGCCATTTAACTCACTGGATGATGTCCACCTGTATAGGGTTTTGCTAATATGTGTTTTCATCGTTTTTTCATTATTTCTGCTAAATCAATAAATGTTTTCTTTGACATGCGGAAAACTTTAGAGAATTGAAAGTTATCATAGCTACAAAACCATCGTTCCATCATTAAACAAATTTTTCTGAAAAAAAAAAACATTTCTCCCATGAATATTATGAAAGGTTTCTTATTTAAACTTTCCATACACCGTTGTATACAAAAAAGCACCGATTATTAAGTGATAATAAAAATAATCAGAGATTATATACGCACTTTTCTAAAATAAACAACTTGCAACGAAACCGCGGTTAAAACCAACGCGTTTAAGCGATTCGTATAACTGACGTCATCAACCCGTATATCATCTTGAACCATATTATAACCGCGGCACATAACACAGAAATTTTGGTTATTCGCTTGGATTTGATTTATAAGTCTAAACACACTTCTCTCTCGTACACATCGAAATCGAGCCGTCAGTCAAAAGTATAGTAATCTAACCAGGGTAGAGATGATCGATATATCGGTACCGGCGACCTTTCCCGGTGACTTGAATGGTCGCCGTTAGTCCCGGCGACCGGATTCTCCATGAAGCAGCGACCCAGATCGCTGTTTGGAAGTATCGGTATCGGTAACCACTGATCGGTAGCTGTAGCGCTGTTTCGGTCGCGGTCGCTGCCAGGAAGCATATACACATCGTGTTCGCGATCATCGCGCGGGAAGTACAAGGTCGCTACAGCGTAGCCTAACCTAGTTTGTTAGTTTTTATTGTTATTGTTGTGAGTTCCTGTTTCATAGAAAAATGTTTCGTTTATTAAGCAACGTTTAACATATAAAAGAAGCATTTTTATACTACATTTGTTATGTTTTAAAAGTTTTATTTTGACTGGTAAAATAGTATTTTGTTTTACTTTTTAAGATTCATAGAAAGATATTTTATGTATTTTTATGATTTTATGTGTTTTGTGCTCAATATTGTTAAAAACAAAAACCTTAAATATAGTTTAATTCAAATCTTCAGGAACCTGAACATCTACACCTCCTTAATATCAATGGATAACCGCCGCCAAATATCGAGTAATTTAATCAGCGCCAGGGAGTCGCTGGCTGCTGGCAGCGACCATAGATAAGCAGTGACCTAAAGCGCTGCTAAATCTACCGGCGACTTTAAGGTCGCTGTCACCGTTATCCCGGCGACTTGCAAGTCGCTGCTAAGATCATCTCTAAACCAGGGGACTCCCTGAAAAAATGGCGTTTGACAATGACATAAGTCAATCGTGTTGCCCTAAAATAACATGGAATTCTACCGTCATTGGTGTATGTGTTCTATGTTCTACAGTGTATTTCAGTATTGTGACGTGATTGTGACTTTTGTGGGCGTATATAATCAAATTCAAGCGGATAACCAAATAGAAATGGTATTTACCATTTTGGGTTGGTATTTACCAATCCGTTCAAGCGAGTGTAGTTATCAGTTTGGTTATAAGATCCGTGACGTCACGAATCAGGTGTTATATGTCATAGTTATCACCGCAAAATTGTGGTATTTACCCAACTCAAGAGTAGTTTTATATTTCTGGTTATTATTTGAAATGTGACAAGTTAGAATTTTGCCGGGTATTGGATATTGTTATTGTACTTCAGCTTCATTTTTGAGAAAAATGATACAGGATGACTTCAGTTTTACCATAAAGTGGAGCACCTTATTAGTTATACTCATTACGGTTGTTGAGGACACTTTAAATGCAGTTCCTATGCTTAACAAAGTATCCTGTGTAGCCATATACCACAAGAATATTAAAATATGGCCATATAAACTCACTAGATGATATCCACCTGTATACGGTTTTGTTAATATCTTTTTTCATCATTTCTGCTAAATCAATAAATGTTTTCTTTGACATCCGGAAAAATTTAGAGAATTGAAAGTTATCATAGCTACAAAGCCATGGTTCCATCATTAAAAAAAAATCTGAAAAAAACATTTCTCCCATGAATATTATGAAAGGTTTCTTATTTAAACTTTCCATATACAGTTGTAGACGAAAAAGCACCGATTATTAAGTGATAATAAAAATAATCAGAGATTATATACGCGCTTTTCTAAAATAAACAACTTGCAACAAAACCGCGGTTAAAACCAACGCGTTCAAGCGATTCGTGTAACTGACGTCATCAACCCGTGTGTCATCTTGAACCATATTATAACCGCGGCACATAACACAGAAATTTTGGTTATTCGCTTGGATTTGATTTATGTTTTGTGATAAAAACGCTGCGTTTGCGTGTTTCGTATCAGCGTTCGTTGCAGATTGTATTTATGTGCAAGTGCACTGATTTTATTTTTACTTCCTGTAATAACGGTTCAGGTGAGGCTTATACAATACTTTAGGTAAGGCTAAGTACTTTGCTTCATTGTAATTGCGGGGGTTGAACATAAAACAGTCTGTAAATTTAACATCTACAATGGGCGATAGGGTCGAGGGATTCCCTCATCACCAGGGAAATATTCAAACATGGCGGAACTGCACTTGTTGCGTAGATGTGGCCAGTAGATTTGGACAGTACCTAACTGTTTAAAATGGAGTTTTTGAACTATAAAATCCCATAGATATTTATGTGTATAGCCAAGATTGTTAAAAAACAACTAGTTCCTGTGTCAGTCTGTTTATACTTGATATAAAGCCTATCAGTTTCCAGACTGCATATTGAGCATATCTTTTAAGCACATTATAGTGAAGTATCAGCACAGATAAACGATATCTTCGGATACTTAATCGAATTCTATGAATCATTTTATGACACTTTTTTCACCATTCTATTCATATCAAACAATTCATAATACTGATTGTATAGGGATGCTGCCCTGCTGGTACTGTTGCGTCTTGTAGATACTAGAACTTCGGATTTCACTGTTTTCTCACTTGAAACTTATAGAGGGTAGTCTGACAGATTATTTTAAAACCAAAGAAGTGTGGATGAAGCACGCTTTTTATGAAATTCTTTTCCCAAAATACTATATTTAGCTCTTATTTCCACCGCCATCTGCCATATGACGTTGACGTCTGTGCACATGTCTCATGTCATATATGAGTGGCGCTTGCCTGCGGCGTTGCCGGATTGGGCTCCGCATTTAGGGAAAAGTATGAATAGTGGAAAATTTATATTCATATTAATGAAACAAAATTATGAAAAGAAACAAAAAAATAAAATAACCCAGTAATAAATTAAAAAGGGATTCGTAATAATTATAGAATTGCTTTTTATTTTAATGTTATTTTTTGTTTTTTATAATTACGTGGAATTGTTTTTTGATTTACTACTGTTTTTATTTTTTGTCTTTTATAATCATTAGAAATTGCTTTTTATTTTACTGCTGTTTGTTAATTTTTTTTATAATTACATGGACTTGTTTTTTGTTTTACTACTGATTTTATTTTTTGATTCTTATAATTATTTACAATTATTTTCTAGTTTACTTGTGTTATTTTTTGTTTTATACTTTGCTACTGTTGTATGTTTCAGTTTTTCGTTTTTGTGTTTCATTAATTAATATAAAATATGTATGTTTTTCACTTTTAATATTTTTCCCTAAATGCGGAGCCCAATCCGGCAAACACCGCAGGCAAGCGGTTCTCATATGTCTTATATGACATATGCACAGACGTCAACGTCATATGGCAGATAGCGGTGGAAATAATGGTGGAAATAGCTGTTAAAAACGTGTTGGGGTAATGAATGATGAAAGGCACACCACACTTTTTCTGTTTTAAAATAATCTACCAGACTAAACTCTATAAGTTTCAAGTGAAAAAACAATCAAATCCAAAGTTCTACAAGACAGTACTGATGCTGTCACAGAATGTCACTGGCGCGGAATTTAAATATACCATGTACAGTACCCTACAAAACTTAACAATAAGAAACGTTCAGCAAGATACAAAACTCAACAGAGGCTATCAAACTTCTTTCTTGGAATTAAGCAAACCAAAATACCACAATAATATTTTATCTTTATGTTATGTTCAGCCTGGGCCTAGAGGGCCACAAATTGATGAGGGGTCCCTTAAACGCCTAAAAATCAAAGGGAATTACCCAAAAATGTCTGTATTCACATGAACTGTATAAGTTTTGGAGAAATGAATCATTACTTCATTTCCACTTTTTTATAGTTAGAAGAAATCATGTCCCACCAGAGGCAACATCAGGATTTGGATATAAAAACACCTGCAGATCTAGATAGACTAATAGTTGATATGAACAGATTGAAGATATGCAAAGAACTTAAAAAGCTCATAGTTTTTTTATATGAAAGAAAAATATATGAGCAGGATGCTATCTCCAGGGATTACTTGAATTTTGGCCTTGCTAGTTACTTTATTTTAGATGCTGACAAGTATGAGCATCTGTTTAGAAACCTGCAGCTTTTGCCTACTAAGATTCTTGTTCAGGAAATTGGTAGTCTTGTTACCTTTATGCCAGGATTACATAATGAGGTAAATATTGCTTTCAGTCATTGTACACAGGGTGTTACAGAACATAGTTACAAACTTTTTGTGGTGGGTTCATCATATAAAAATATGAAGAAAATTCATATAAACATTATGAGAAATTGTACCTGTTTTCATATTATCTTCTGGTAGTAGTTCTCTTGTTCTATTTTTTTGGAAGGGGCAAAAGTTAGATATTGAGAAAATTTCAAATTTCATTTTTAAATGTTTTCTTGTTTCTGATTACCCCAGGTTGTTCAGGCTTTAGTATTTTTAGGCAACTATAATAGCAGAAAATGGTGAAATTCTCTCATTCTAATTGATTCAAATTTGTACAGAGAAAGCTCACAGGCAGGTTCAGCCCAAAAATATGAAAAAAGTTCTGAATGTATTAAAATAAAAAGTTTTCATAATACAAGGTGCTTAGTCTGTTTTTGATAGTTCTCTTTATATTTTTCAAAAATAGGTTCAGATTCGACATACAACATTGACTACCTTTTAGAATCTTTTGTTTAGACCCAAAATTTTCAAAATATATAATATAATCTTTTTATCATATTGAGCTGGCGCTTTTTTATGCACACGAAAGAAACCTCTAAGAGACGCTTTTCAATCATTGTACGGTTTTTGCAAAAATCATACAATGAGAATTTCCGGACGCGTCTTTAAATTAACTCTTTTCATATTTTTACATGCTGATTCTGTCCTTAACTTAAACTTTCATGACAACATTCTATATATGGCCATAATACCATAGGTGCTAGAGCTTGTTGAAATAAAATATGAAGCTTTTCCAAATCGGGCCAGAGATGTATCCTTACTAGTGGATGAATTAGAAATAACTCCTGAGGTGATAGAGTTTGCTGGTAAATGTTATGGCATTGTGGATGATGGTGTAACCCGTAAATACACCCCTGCAAAGTATGTTACAAAGATATGGGTCAAATCACTTGGTCAGTATTAAGTTTTTTCCTTATGTTCATGGTGCAGAGCTCACGAAATAATGCCCAAGTAACACAAGCACGTGAAAATGACGTTTCAAACTGGTCATAAGAACTCTCGAGTTTAATGACGTAAAAGTAACGTGAAAATGACCTAATGTAATATACTGATGACGTCATATAGCAGACGTTAATGAAACGTCAATTACTGAATGTGAAGATGAGATGACGTCTATTACTTATAATGTATAATCAGTTTCAGCTTCTTTAAAAAAATCAAATACATATACTGTGTTATCAGTAGTATTTCAAAGCTGGATCACCATACAAATAAATTTTGACATTGGCTTGGTGCTGCTTGTCTAGCGAGAAAGACGAGCTGTTAGTCGGGTCCCCATTTCTCACTTTGATAAAATGACAAAAATATCCACCAAATGTGTTGCGCAATTAGTTTTTCCTTAGGCTTGAAAAAGACCTTTCTGGGGTAGCAGTGGAAACAGGTATGGTAGCCAAAATTTGTAGCAATGTGTAGATATTTGGATATACTATTTGATTGCATGTATCTAGGCATTCCAAAGCAGATTTTTGACCCCCGTGGCTACGGCCATGGTTTTGGGAATACTCTACGTGGAAATCGGAGCAATGTGACGCGGTATCGAGTAGAAATGGGGAGATCACGGATGAAATAACGTCGATTGCAGATTGCAGCGATCCGTGATTGTCGTTTACTGTCAATTGTCACTCGATGCCGCGTTGTCAGATTTAATCTAAAAACATTTTGTGTTTTATTTTTTGTTGTATGTATATGAGTTAATTATTTCTCTGCCTGCTGACTAAATTAAAAAAAACATAGCGTACATATAAAAATATATGATTAAAAATTCCTCAAAAACACTTTATAACATCTTACAGTAGATCACGTACTAAATTGAACACTTAGTAGACGTTCATTACGACGTCGATATTTTGAGCAATCGAGTCAGTTGACGAGTTATCACCAAACAAACTTCGACATCATTATGGCGTGCTTGTGCAAGCTGGGTGACTATTTAGCGAAGCTCTATTTGACGTAAAAACACGAAAACTCTCTAGAATCCAGGGATACTGAAGAGGCTTTTGAGATTTCTAATGGGATGCGTTTAAAATACATTGTATTGAAAATCGTATATATTCGTTTTGTGAATTAGATATTGTTTGCTATCTTATAGCTATAAGCTAAGAAGTTCCTTCTCGGATTCCGATGAAATTTTTACACAATGTTACTACTATGTCAAGGACGCAAAGCTTTGTAGTTTTTGAAAATCGGTCCAGTGGCGGCGGAGGGAAAACTGAGAATAATAGGATCATGTTTTGTATCGGTATTGAAGCGCAAAAAACATACGGACCTCGCACGAAACGAAAAATAACTCGCTACAGCGATGCCGCGCACGCGGAAAGGGACAACGTTGCCACGTGGTTGGTAATTACCAGTAGGGCAGGGAAATAATGTTTATGGACTAATTGTATGGGCCTGTTTGGCTGACTTTTCTCAGGGGATAAATTGCTCTGAACTTAATCCGTTGAGTAGGAAGTGCAGAGTCAACCCACTTGACCCAATTTTTTAATTTTCAATTGTTTTTAATTATTAATTGGTTACTGCCAACTCAATTATTCCAGGGTCGGTGTTATCAAATATTAACATGGTATTTTGGAGTTTAACTAAGCATGTCACCTGAAAAAATTTGCCAAATAATGGAGCTTCCAAGAATAGGAAGGTTCGCCATTTTTTGATTTTGACTCAAATCGAGAGATTTTGTTATTAAAAAACGATAAAAAAACTGAGCAAAAAATATTGATATTTACGTCGACTAAAAGCATTTCAAAATCAAGGATCCGCGCGAGGCTGGAAAACGTACCTGTGCGCGAGACTAGACCGCGTGACGTCAGTAGCCAGACACATCTCACTAGCCTGGCCCACTGCATTTACCATTCTCACAACAATCGGTTTGGAATAGTTAGAGCTGGTACGATAGATTATTGTTAAATTCTGTGAACTTTGACGGTGTTAAATGTCGAACAGAAAGTGCTGTTTTGTGCCAAAATGTACAAGTATGTCAAGTACAACACCACAAAATTTTTTTGTGAGTGTTCCAAAAGCTGCCGCACAACGTAAAGAGTGGTTTAAAAGTGGTTTGACGCAGCTCAACGGGATCTAAAATCAGTTTGTTCCACGTCGACCATGAAAACTATCTACAATAATCCTAATATTGCACCCCATAAATTTGCATGTCAACTGGGTAGACAATTAAGCTCTACGAAACGAGTGTTCAGCGAAAAAAGGGCAAGGCAGAAAGACATAGCCGAAAAGTCCGAGCCTGAAGCGTAGAAGTTATTGAGAAGGAGCATGATGAACTGCCTGAACCTTTAACAGTAGAAGTTCAGTCACAGGCATGCCAAACCAATCAGGTACATTTTAGAAGCAGTCAGTTCATATCTCGCAAAAACGGAAAGTAATGGATGTTGCTGTATCGTCAATAATAATTCCTGCGTTTGCTAAACAGATTTCATAGCGGCCAAAAAACGTTTGCAAGTGGAAAGTGAACGGGCAAACGTCCGAATCTGATTCGTATCAAGCCAGTGGAAGCAGTACTGAAAGTAGTGACAGCGAAGCTGACCAGCTTACTGCGGAGATCGTAGTCATTCTAAGCGCAATATTAGTCAACGTTTAGAACCTGGCTTCATTGCCCATCCCACGAATGCAGCCCTAAACTAAAATTCTATAATGTGACTGCCCCCCCCCCCCCCAATTTAAATATTCCCCAATAGACCCTAAAAAGATAAGATTCTCTCTACATCCCTGGAATTTCTCTCATTGAAAACATATTAGGTACCGTACTTTACTTCAGAATAGTGTAATAAAGCCTCATTATGCATGCAAAAAGAACCAATTTCGGGGCTCTTAATAGGCGTAACAAGGTAAAAAGGTATGTATGATAATTTAAATTCCATATTATTTTACCTAGGAAGAAAAAAGCAGTGATAAATAGCCTTCAAAATTATTGTCACGAGCAGGCATTATTACGTCTTGATAGTATTTTCTTTCAATAGACTAAAGCAAGGCAGGTTCAATTTTTGCGGAGGAATACAAAAAAATACTACCCGTTGGAGCTAAACAAAAAAAAATTAGCTTCATATAGGTACTTACCGAACTACTTTAACACCGCTGCTCTGAGGTTCATTTAAATTTGCATTATTTGCCAAAAACTCGTACACCATTTCCACATTCACATGGTGTAGATTTCGCGGATCAGCTTTCTGATAACCTTGGAGCATTGTGCTAGCACACATAAATAAAGTACACAAACGTCGGTCCCAGTTTATATAAATTCGTATTCGTATACTCTTCACTCCGTATACAAGACAATACAAGCTACAAGTACTCTATGAGGGAGACAGCACGTGTCTGGCTACTGACGTCACGCGGTCTAGTCTCGCGTACAGGTACGTTTTCTAGCCTCGCGTCGATCTTTGATTTTAAAATGCTTTCCGTCGACGTAAATATTAATATTTTGAAATAAGAAAATACGAAAAATGTCGAACCTTCCTATTCAATAAAACTTTGGTAATATCTCTGGATCACCGTAGATTTATTCATCAGGTCCCGAGTCCCGAAAAAAACCACAAAACTCACAGATTTTGATTTAAATACATCTTCAGTACAAATAACTGGCAAGTTCTTTATGAGTCCTCATGGATAAAACTAGGCTACACTAGAAACTTTTTTTATACATACAAATTAAATCCGTTAACCCGTTAGTCCTACACCCACACAGATCAGCGGTGCGCTTATTATTAACTTCAGAGTTAGCCAGTTAAAATATGATAGCGTCACTCCTGGTGTAATTCAGTCTAATGTAACCATTACAGTGCAAGTTTCTTAATGCCTTCCGTCGATTCACAGAGTTTGATTTTGTTCACTTATTACAAAGTCTCTTTAATGCCTATAGTCGATTTACAAAAATTTTCATTTAATTCACTCAAGTTATGCAAGAGAAATTAAATATATCAGAATTTGAATAAATGATCGATTCCGTAAAATACATCAGCTTGCAGAAACTTTACTGCTCAGTCTAATATGAGATGTACCAACCCGAATAGTCATATATATATATATATATATATGTATATATATATATAAAAACAGATATTTAGGAGGAATTAAGAACAATTAAAAAAAGCGAAAAAATAAAAGTATTTTTTTTGAGAACTCCATCCCACTAAAACCTCAAAAGGCTATTCAGCTTCTCTGAATTCCGAGATAAAAAACCTAAGGGCACTCTACTAATTGTATGAATATAAAAGTATATCGGTACCTATATGTGGACCAATTAAAAAATAAATACACCTCGGCAGAATTAGGATATCCGTACTGAATTGAAAAAATACCACATATTCAGGAACATTGTTTTAAGAGTTAATTACTAGAAATTCGGATTTCAGTTTTCAAAGATCACGAACATCGTTACATCCTATTCATCGCATTTTGCGTAATATTCTGAAGCACATAGCAGGTTCAATTTCGCTTACTGTGCACATCAAATTTTGTAAGGTCATGAGTCATGTGGTTGGTCTATGGTATCTCTTTCAGTGTGGTTGCTCTTTCTATCCTGCATTGAACTGTACATATACTGATATCTAAATATTCTAGATTGGACCCCCACGGACAAAGAATTCCTCGCGAAGAATTCTAGGAGTGCTTGCAATTAAATGAAATCCGAATTTCTGGTGATTGTGTACCAATGAAAACATCTACCTATGTACCAATGAAAACATCTACCTAAACATTTGTGGTAGTGTATGTGGTTTCAATCTCATGGAGAGATTCAAAATCCGATGCTGTTTAATATTTATTTATTGTGGTCGGCATACAAGTATCAAACTATTTCATTTCACTTTTTTGTTGATTGTGATTTATACAAAAGAAGGGTATTTCTACTCAACTGTTGTCTCATACTTAGGTTACTGGGACAATCTATGTGATTTAACTTATTTTTACTTATTTAGGTGCTGGTTTCGCCGATCCATTGGCCTATTATTTTACTGGCCAACTTGCTACAGCAGAGCAACTGAAAAAATATATTTTTGATTGCATTACTAAGTTGCAAGCTATCAACCTAAATGTAGTTGTCGTGAATACAAAACTGAGATCAAACTTTTGGGAACTATCAGAGTTGTTGGGAATAGAACCAGACAAACAATCGTTCAAGGTAAATGTCTATAGTTATTTCTGTTTTGTAGTTCTTGTTTCATCTTATCATGAAGTGATGATCTTTCCTAACTTGCTGATAAACACTATAGGCCCAAAAATTTGGATTTCGCTAACAATTATTTTATTTATAAGTTCATTTCCATACAAAAAACGGTACAACCAATTTTTATTGAATTTACACCAGATACATTATTGCCAACGTTAGAGACTACTACAAAGATGTCACTTGCTGAACAGCTGTACACCTCAGTAGACGTCAAAACGTGATGGATACTCGTGAAATAGGGTTTATCCTTTGGTTGCCCTATAGGTTATAGGGTTTATATCAGCAGGTTAAGAAGGGTAAGTCCAGATAGTTGACCGCCGACTTCCGATACAGTTGGAACTGTTTTGCACGGCGTTTGTATGCAGTCTGCGAAAATCAAAAGCTCCCAAATTGGGCATAACAAATAAGATTAAAAATCGCTTTAAAATAAACTGAGTACTTTTTGGGGTCTTATATGGAAGCTCTGAACTTTCATTTAGACGCTTGGTTACGTCAAAAGAATACATTTTAAACCAAGTTCTTGAGCACTGAAAATGCCAATTTTAAACACTCATTCAGTGATAATTAAAAAATACTCAGCTTCAAAGAATTGTTGCTAAGAACTCGTTTTTGTCCAGAATGATTCGAAAAAGCTGACAAAAATTGGCCGGAGTGAAAAAATATGTTTTTTTAAATTCGTTTCAAAGAAATTGTTGAAGTAATATTTTCTGCGGGTTACCAACCGGAAACCTGATGATTCATGTTGAAGGTCTAACAAACCTGATCACATTTCACAGTAGCAGGTATGGCAAAGTACGAGATATAAGTAATTTTAGTAATTGTCTTTAAATAAAAAATAAAGAGCAAGTGCAGTACGCCCGTGTCACCACGTCTGCTAAATCCAAGGTTCGCATTTTGTCAGCATACGATGTATTGATAAATTCACCAGCCACACTCTGACGTAAAGGTATCGTGAAACCCCGTTTTTGTGCTCCGGACACATTTTTCAGATTTTCCGGATCGTAATAGACAAAAAAGATCCCTAGTAACTGTTTTTTCGGTTGACCGTTTTCGAGTTATAAGTAGTTCAATGATTGAAAAAGCCTAAAACTGGTAAGTTTCAATTCTTAAAAACTCGGTTATCACTTAACATTTTTGATGTTGCCTAAATCAAAGTGTAAACCTTCCGCAAAAAGACCCCGAAGAGGATTTTTAAGCTCAGTTTATTTTACTATAATTTTTTATCTTTTTGGTAGGCTAAAAATGGCGAACTTTTGGTTTTCGTAGACTGTACAGGGCGATTTATAATGGCAAGGCGTTGTTGCGTGAGTGGCTGCAAAACAAAGGAGGGACTCAACCGGGTGTCAAATTGACACCCTGTTCGTGTGCGTTGATAATGTTCAGCAATTATTGTTAATCCAACAAATGTGGAATTCGGGACAATACAGGAGCTGTTATGACTATCCTAGCTCGCACTTGACTTCTGCTTAGCTTTGGTTTGTCGCTCTAGAGCACGCTGATGAGTCACCAAATAACAAGAAACATCTGCGCATGGTTTGATGTCTGCGGTCTGCTCTGGTCGTACTGTAGGTGGTAATGAAGGATATCGATACAACATTTATTTATGATTCATAAGAGCAAGCACAGTAGGATAGTTCACAACAAACGAGTTTCTGGCCCTTTTCCTGGCACTGTGGTCTGTAATATAAAAGAACATTCGGTGATTTTTTATAAAATCAGGAATATTAAACTGCAGCATGAAACTGTTTAAAAATAAATACTTCTTTTTTCGATAACAATGAATTTTTGGAATATACTTGTTTATCATACGCGACAAGCTGTGAAACAGGATATATTGATTCCATGCTGTACTAACTGTTTGGTGTTGGTCCTGATAATCGTAAAACACCGAACTACTAACAAATAAATTCTATTGAATATAAAGACGGTACTTACTCTAGTTGATACTGAAGAACACAGCTCCGCACAGGATAGAATGGCAAGAGTGAACCCCCCAGGGGGACTGCCCCCAGAGCGAGTGCCCTCCAACTAGTTTTTATAATCAACAATATCTCCACTTCGTCTGATAAGAATACACCATTGCTGATTATGCATACACATCAGCGGATGTAGTTAAGGATATCTATTCGTAATCTAGTGAGCTGGCGCTTGTAAGGCTCCACAGGTCGGTCACTCGTGACAATACTCTAGAACAGATGTTTCCAATTTTATTTAAACTTGTAAACCTAATTGATCAGACTTTTTTTGGCGGGACTCTAGCTGGCTATTTCAATAACTAAGCTGTTTTCCTTTTCAAATATTTTAATGTTAGAATTAAAGAAAGGACAAATTATAAATCGTCCCATCGTAGGAGTGATGGTACGGCGTGGTTATGAGTTTTCCAAGAACGTTTTATTTAACTCTCGGACTGACCGCGGAACCCTTGTGATCCTTCCGGTTCCGCGGATCACTGGCAGTCAGCAACAATGTCAGTAAGTTTCCTTATCTTCACTGTTTCTAAGATGCAATGATGAAGAGATGTTAGTGCTCCGTGAGATGTGGTTTTCAGTACGATCTAAAGCCAGGGATAATATATCAAGGATGTGAAATTGATGATGCAGGCTTCTATGTTTTGCTAAAGTGTGCCCTCTGGGGACTGATATGGGACGAAATCTGTTAAGTGGCTGTCCATAAATATGGACGCATATATTTACTAGCCCTTTCATGTAGCGCTTAAGGTAACAGATATGTTAATATCCTCTTCAGTGAAACAGCAGGTGTGAACTTTTGATCACTTGAAGTAGAATGCATGTTAGTTTGGAAACATTGCTCTAGCTGCTAGTCACAACTGGGCCAGCCAGATCAGTTCACCCAGTTTATGGTTAAATGCAAGATCGAAAAACAGTCAGAGGTTTGGGGCTAACGCAGCAATGATATTTACTTTTTTTCACTCCCTTCAAACATATAGGGCTACATTTTTCTTGATTGTGAACATGATAAGACGAGAATGTAATAAAATAATGATAAGAGTTTCATAGAGCGCACTTTGAGTTGTGAGACATTCATGTGAAGAACTCCGCAACTTTTTGGGAAATTCTTAGTTACTTGTAGAGAGGAAAGGAAGAAGGGAGAGGGTAGAAGGAAAGGTGACGGAAGGGAGGGGAAAGGAGGAGAAGGAAAAGGGAAAATGAGAACGAAGTTGTCATCTCATTTAAGCGCAGATGGCCTGACAATACCGCTGAAAGTAGTCAACCTACACCACCACTTACGCCCCCCCCCCCAAGAGGTGGTGCTTTATCTGAACCTGATACTATTCTGTTCTTGACTCTGTATATTTTGCTGAAATCTTAGGTTATATGTATAAATTAATGAACTAATACTTAATTTCATTAAAGGTTGAAAACAAGGAAGTAGTTTTCATCTTCGATGCGCCTCACATGATGTGCGTGACACGTAATATCTTACAGAAGTACTGTTTGAAAATGGAGGATGGTGGTACGACCTCCTGGGAACATATCAAAACATTTTTTGTCAAGGAGTCTGAAAGCGGCCAGAAAAAGACGCAACTGACCAAGCATCACATCAACCCTGTTAACTATGACCGTACAATGTCGGCTATAGCTATAGACGTGCTAAGCAATACTGTATATACCGAAATGAAGGCATATGTGGAATCAGGGAATTTACCTGAAGAAGCTTTGGCTACCGCACAATGCATTAATTTGTTTGATAGGTTCGTATGTCGATGTTCCTATTATGTACCATGCTTTCCTGAGTACAGCGTTTTTTTTTGACATATTCATGTAGATTGGAAGGCAGTTTTTGTCGCCAGAATTTTGTTTGCTTATTGTAGATTTATTTAGCATTAATGCTATAATATCAATGTTACACAGTTCATCACATAATATATTATGTTCAAGACTACATATTTTTATACAAAATTTCACTACTGTGAATTCTGGTTTTCCATGAAATATTTTTTTAATTCTCCTTGCACACAACTTGATATCATTACTTAATTCATTAAATTCATACCATCCTATTTGAAATACTCATTTGTTTGTTCTATTTGTTTGTTTGTTTCAGATTTATTAAGCATTAATGCTACAATGTCCACAATATCCATTTTACACAGTATATCACAAAATATATTATGTCTTCAAGACTACATACTTTTATACAAAATTTCACTACTATGAATTCTGGTTTTCCATGAGATATTTTTTCAATTTCTCATTGAACATTTTCAAACTGACACACATCTTGATACTCGTACCATTACTTAATTTATTAAATTTGTACAATCCCTTTTGAAATACTGACTTGCTTGTTATATTGCTACTGCAGTTTTGGCAATGAAAGTCTATACTTCCTCTAGTAGAATAATTGTGGCACTCATTGTTCAATACAATAAAATTTGCTAAATGATTTGTTAGAAGATATTTTTTTAACTTGAATATGAAAATGAAAACCAAGTAGGCTATGAAATTTTTGATATTTAACCATTGTAGTTCTTTCAGCATAAAATTTATTCTAGCATATTTATGTTTATTTAATATGATTCTCATAGATTTATTTTTAACATTTGTAATTTTGAAAATACAGTTTCATTTGCAGTGAACCAAATAGTCGAACAATATAACAAATGAGGAAGAATGTTAGTGTTGTACACAATTTTTTTGGAATAAATGCTTAGGCTATGCGAAATTCTATAAAAGTAATTTATTTTCTTGGATATTTTTGATATAATATATTCATAGTGCCCTTCAAATTTTAACTTACTGCCTATGTATATGCCCAAATATTTAAATGATTCGATTGACATAATTTTTTCATGATTAATTGTAAGATTTATCGTATTTTGATCTAAATATTTTCCTATTAGCATATATTTTGTTTTGTTTGTGTAAAGTTTATTTACATTTAACCAATTTATTATGTTTTTCATATCATTATTCAATAGCTCTATTGCAGTTTCAATGTCTTTATTTGATATATATATATATACAGGGTGACTTCGAAGTTGAGTCATTTATTTTAACAGTGAGTAGATCTGATCAAAAGACATGTTTTTTCCTTTACCATTTTTCTGGTAAAATTAAAGTAACAAAGTTATAGCCCTTTGGAAGTTTGAGTACCGCCCTGTCTCAATAATAATATCATGTGCTCGTGTTTGGCAACAACGGATATAATCCGCCTTATCGGTTCATCGCATCGGAAACAAAAAAGCGAAAGAATTTGGAACGATGTTTTTACAATTATTTTATTCAGTTGTAAACAGTGTCAGTCGGGTAACGCGTAAGTGAATAGTCGTGTCTGTTGCGTGGCTCAAACGAAATAAAAAATGGCACATGTTTATGCGGATCGGTTTCCCAATCGAGTGCAACCAACCCCTCGTGCCTTTGTTAATGTAGTACAACGGGCTCGTGAATCAGGTGACTTAAGACCCCACAGTTGACGGCATGCCGGTGCCCCAAGACCTCACGATCAAATACAGGTCCGCACTGAAATACTTGTCGGGAGGATACTTTATAAAACAAGGTAAACATTTTTTTTTATTTTTTTTTTATTTTTACACACATGTTTTGGTTTATCTTCCTTCTACAATCATTATCTGAAAATTAATGACTCAACTTCAAAGTCACCCTGTATATCAAATAGTTGAATTTTGCAGTGTTGTAAAATATCAGGAACATCGTTAATATATAAAATAAATAGTAATGGACCGAATTTGCTACCCTGTGGCACACCTACCGAAATGTTTTTAATGCTTGATAATGTTCTTTTTAGTTTTTTGACTTCTATTGATTAAATAATTTTATAATAAGTTGAATACTGAACCTTTGATGCTACTACAGTTTTGTAAATGAAAGTCTATACTCCCTCTAGTAGAATAACTATGGTACTCAGTGATCAATTCAATAAAATTTTCTAAGTGATCTGGTAGAAAATGATTTTTTTACTTGAATATGAAAATGAAAACCAAGTAGGTGATGACATTTTAGATATTTAACATTGTAGTTCTTTCAGCATACAATTTATTCTAGTATGTATATTTATTTTTATTTAAGATGATTTTCATAGCTTTATTTTGTAATATTTGAAATTTTGAAAATACAGTTTCGTTTGCAGCGACAAAATAGTCGAACAATTCAGGGCGTAAACGTTATGGTAGTCATTGTTGAAATTGGTATAAGGGGGTGTCAAAACAAGTCAAAAAGTTCATATGACCCATGGTCCAAAAGTCAATAGATTTTTGTCTAATTGGCTTTATAGTTCAACTTTAAGTGCTTTATATCGACCACAATCACCACAATCTTACTAATTTTTATAATCTAATCTGAAACGTTTTTAAATTGGGTAATTAACAAATAAATGACATTGAGTTTTTCTAAGTTAAGCCAAAATGTGTAGTCAGTAAGTAAGTTTCATTAAATTGAATATTTAAAACACACATGACAACAGCCCGTCGGTCATCATCACTCATCGAACCAGCAATCGATCGCAAGCGGTAACAGTGGTTAGTATGTTGTTTTGTTTTTGTTCGCGTACGTGGTCATCTTGATTTACAGAATTCAAATCTTGCAGCTCAAATTTATCGCGACAGATTTCGCCAACGGGTACATCCAGACAGAAGGACACTTGTACAAGTGTACCAAAGACTTCGGGATACAGGAAGTGTTCAACCCACTAATATTCGCACTCGTGAAAGACAGGTTACTGTAGAGCAGGAGGAACAAATTTTAAATATCGTGGAAATCAATTTTTTTTTATACTCCAACTACCACGAAGGCCTAAGGCCTAAGCACCCATTGGGTACCGTGGGGCTATAGGGGGATACATGGGAAAGGGGGAACGCCACACGGACTCTGGCGAGGGAACACGTGTGCATGCAACATGCACACATTCTGGCTCCGCCTACGAGATCCGCCGGGTGGTACCTCCGCGTTCGACAGTTAGAGACCGTCTACCACCTACGGACAATCACAACATCCATAGCGAAGAGAAAAATTTCTCCTGGGACGGGACTCGAACCCGCACAGCGCACGGCGACTGATCAGGAGACCGAAGAGTCTACTACTGCGGCCACCGCTGCTGCCTCAATGCAGATATCAGCACTTGGGAATTAGGCCGCCGCGTAGGACTATCGCATACCATAGTCCATAGAATCCTACGTAAAAATTTGCTTTATCCCTACCATGTACAACGAGTGCTGGCCTTGTTACCAGAAGACTATCCTCGCAGACTTACATTCTGTCAATGGTTTTTGCAAAAAACATTGAAAATCCGGATTTATTTAAAAACATTCTAGCTACGGACGACGGTACTTTTACGCGAGACGGGATATTACATTTCCATAATACTCACACGCGGGCCCAAGAAAATCCTCATACCATTCGTGAAGGTCGTAATGAACCTTGTGTGGAAAGTGGATGTCGACACTTTGAACACCTTTAAATACAAAAAGTGCAGTGTGGGTTTTAAAAATAAAAACAACGTATGTACCAAAATTGTGTTCCCTATTTATAAGTGGATTTTTTTAATACGTTCAATAAACTTTCACCCACCAGGTGAAGCGATGAGACAGTTAGTGGTAAGTCGGTTTTTTTTTAATTTTTGCATTTTACGAGTACATTATCAAATAATGAAATAAAACCTAAGAGCCCAAAAATAACAAACTCAATCTTTATTTACACTGCGTTTCGTCGTAATTTGCGTCTGGCATTGCGGCTTTGTCAGATTTTATTTTACTTTAAAGTCGCTTTTCTCTAAAAAATGCCGTTTTGACCCCCATGTTATATGAAACTTTTTGCTTCTTTTAATCCCCTCTATCACCCATTTAAATAATGACTATCATAACGTTTACACCCTGTATAACAAATGGGGAGAGTGATAGTGTTGTATACAATTTTTTAGAATAAACGCTTGGGCTATGCGAAATTCTATAAAAATAATTTATCTTTTTGGATATATTTATATACTATCTACGTATATTCCAAAATATTTAAATAAAAAAAAATATATCACAAAATAGAGCGCTGTCAAGAAACAGTAGAAGTCTAGAAATACCCCTAACTTTCTAAAGGACAGGAGAAACTATGAAAATCAAGGAGGTCATAAAGGCGACCTACAATTGTTTTTTATATATACTGAAGCAGCCGCGCAGGCAGAAGCCTAAATGTTGGGACACCGCGACTGCTATGACGAAATTTCGTTTATCCGATTTTTGAGCTGCCTAAGGTTAGTAGAACTGGGAAAAGCTTCCTCTTATAGATTGTTTCCACAATCTCGACACCCTCTACACGGTTAGGATGGGAAGCGAAAGTCAGGCGGGTCTGTCTGGCAGGCACATCGCGCGGCGGCATTATGGAAGAGAGCTCTGAGGAGCAAAGCCCGTTGGTGTAGCGGTAGAAGAGAGCGAAATCGCCGACGGCCCGCCGGTGCGAAAAGGTTCCGAGACTGTCTGTTAGAGAAGAGTGGTTGATCAATCGGACAGCCCTCTTCTGGACAGCATCCAGCATAAATAATGTAGTCGGGGTGGCATCACGCCAAACGTGTGAGCAATACTCGAGGCTAGGCCTTGTATAGAGTGAGAAAAGTACTTAGCCCTAAACAACTAGCCTAGCTTTTTCCCAGCAGCTGCCGCTATTGACGAGATGGGTTCGTGCCAGATCAAGTCCTCGGTGATCTGGACTCTGACCAGCCGAAGTGAATGGCCCTTTGGCAGAACTCGGCCATCCATCGAAATGGAATGAGCGCTAGGACGCTTTTTGTTCGACTAGGTACAGTACTGTGTTTTGGAAGCAATAAACTGTACAAGATTGTTGGGTCCCCAAGCAGTGATAACCTCCAGGTCTCTCTTTCAGCTCAGCGGCAGAGATCGGCTTGTCATTCTGAATTCCTGCATGCAGAGTGCTGTTATCAGCAAAACAGTGGATTGGGTTGATCGTATAGGAAACGAGGACGTTGATATGTAAGAGGAACAGTCGGAGCGATGACCGATCCCTGGGGGTCACCCGCGTTGACGTTGTGGGATGAAGAGGAGAACCTATAAATTACGACGGATATCTTGCGGCCAGAGAGAAAGTCAGCCACTCATTTGAAAAGCTTTTCTGGGAGGCCATACGATGGAAGTTTGCATAAGAGGGCAGCGTGCCACAGCTGATCGAACGCTTTCGGGATATCAAGAGCAACATGAGCCTTACCGTAAGACTGGATGAGCTTACTCCACAATTGCGCGACGTAAGCTAGGAGGTCACTGTGGATCACTGTTGCCGGAAACCATACTGCCTGTCGTTAACCAAGCCAAGTTCGAGGTAGTCGAGAAGCTCGCGATTTATGCACCTCTCCATCACCTTCTTACAACAGAAAGCAAAGCTATAGGCATGTACTTGTAAGGGTCGGTCTTAGATCCTTTTTTGGGATGGACTGGACATGAGCAAATTTCCAGTTTTCTGAGAAGGTGCTGGATTCATAAGATAACTATAAGAGACGTCTTATGCCTGAATGTTACTTCCCGCATAGTGTATTGTAGAAACATACAGGGTGTCATTTTATTTGATTCGCTGGTAGGAATAATCCATGATGTGTTTACAATAGAGGAACTCCACACCTTCGGGTGGCTATTTACCCTTACAGAAATGACGTAAAAGTAAGACAATGGGGTCGTTTTTTATGTATGGACAGTACTTTTTTCGATATGAATTATTGATGATCTTTAGTCATTATCGTTATATCGATTGGTTTATGTTGATTCTACCATATACTGAAAACTACCGAATTATCTAAAGCAAAACAACTGACACAAAAGGCTAGTACGAAGCACTAGGAGGTACTCCTGTCAGTGGACGATATGTGGAATTTCAATTGTCACAGTGTAGCCAAATGATCTGCTGTTATTTGTTTTTACGTTTTACGTGTTGAACTCTCGTGGAATATAGTGTAATGTGAGCTATCTTTTTCTAGGTTATTTGATATGTTGAATTCACGGTATGAAGAGGCTATTAATGAGTACGCCAGTGCTTTCAGAGGAACAAGATGGCAGAAACAGTACCTAGATAAAGCAGTCAAATTCCTTGAAGCCTTGAAAGTCTTCGATAACCAAGGCAGAGAGAAAACTGGTGAACTAAAATTTATCAAAGCTTGGTTGATCACCATAAGGGGTACTAAGAAAGTGTGGGAGATCCTTAAGGCGAAAGAATACCAATATTTGCTTACAAGTGTCTTGAACTCGGAAGAATTGGACGTGTGCTTCCGTACATTCAGAGCGATTGTCAGGGGAAATATAACTCCTTTAGATTTCATACATCTTCATTCAAAAACAGTTCGTATCCGTTACTTCATATCCAGAATTCTGATGCACTTAAGAAATGTGGATACGCCAGAGTATGCGCGCTTAGTTTATAAAAGGATTCCAGCAGTTCGGCACAATTTGGACACTCCTACCCAGTCGATGCAACTAAGTGTGAGGGAATTTCGAGAAATAAAATCCCGTCTTGAAGCGGTATGTGATGAGCTTGGCCTTAGCCACATACCTATAAGGATTCCTTGAATTTTCCTTGTGAAGGATATGTGCATCGTTATGCATCAATTTTTGTGTTGTTCAAATTTTGTTTGATTCGGTCATATACGAATTTTGTTTGAAGTATTATCAACTTTTTTTTTTCAGTATTCTATTACTTTGCGAGTAATGCTTATCTTATAGAACAGAGCTTAGGTATAAGGAAAACATATTTTACGTTAATAAGCCTTTTGAAGGTGTGTATTGTTTATTGTACTTGATTAATAAAAACATTTTCTATATTTGTATCGCTGATTTCGGCGTTAATGGAAGTTTTGATAACAAAAGCAAGCCAATGAGGGTATTCTCTACCTAGAAAACACTGTAATGTTCATAGCTGAAACAGATTGTTCACATCTGTTTTTCAAGAATGATGCTGTTTTTCTGTTTTTTTTCCGCTCGCGTATTGGAAAAACATGTATTTAAAATGTCAAGATATCTACCTTTGAAGAAATCGGCTAATAGGTCTTGTTATTTCAGAGACCAAACTCTGTCACTTTATTATTTTTTGTTTGTTTGAGATGATCGTTTGCATAATGACATGCGATATTGTGAGTTTTCTTGAGGAAAATGTACCACAGATAAAGGAGATAATGAAGTATTCGTATATACTCGGTGACATTAGAAGTGTTACAAGAAAATATCATGCCTTCAACTTGTTTTTTTGGCAACAATGACTATATTTGAAGCATGCTACGGCAACAATGTCAACGTTTTATCTTTGTTTTTGTTTACCCTTGTTAAAGTGTTCTCTTAGTTTTTGTGAAGAACGCAGTTTATGAGAGCTGAGTAGTACAGATATTTTTAGTTATTGTCTTTTTATTTACTAGTGTTAAGCATGACAAAATGCCTTGAACTCCAAGACGTCCAAATTATCAACATGTTCGCGACTTGGACAGGGGTAGAATTATTGCTTATCGAGATGTTGGTTTGTCCTATAGCGAAACTGGCCGCCGTGTCAATTGTACTGCAATGAGTGTAATGCGTGTGTGGATAGAAGAAGGTAGAGGAACACCAAGAAGTCCAACTGGTCCACCGAGGCGTGCCACAGAGCGTCAAGGTAGGCGCTTCAGACAACTAGCCTTACGTTTTGCTACTATGCGTCAGATCGCTGACCCATGATGGTTTGGAGAAGAAGGAAACATTTGGACTTTTTTTACACCGTCCACGGTTAGTGCATATCCACTTCGCACCATCCGCCACAGACTCTGCCACAGCTAATCCTCGAAGTTCGAGTTGCTTGGAATGAGGTGCCACAACCAGACATCGATCATCACATTTTTTCGATGCCTAGACGTATACAGGAGTATATTGAGCTGCGGGATCGACCAAAACATTATTAGTTTTTGTTTCTTATTACTTGTCAATACAATTTCGTGAGAATGTTATCGTTTGATTCTTGATGAAAGACTATCTCATTACCAAACAATCAAGTTGAAACAATTTTTTCTGGGTGTAACACTAATAATATCACTGACTATATATTCATACTGCAGAGCACTGACGTACGCTATTCGTTATTTCACATGTGAATGCTGTCACCGTATCTTTATTGTCGATAAATCATTGATCTGGTAGTCGCAATTATTACATCGTCGTACCTCGTTGATGACCTGTTCTCAGCTGTTCAGATTAAAAATTCATTGCGTGGATAAAGCGGCAGCGGCCAGCGCACGACTTTATAATAGAAAACAAAATCCCTAACAAGTCTTGAGGGCAAATATGGGGAAATTAATGTGTGAAATATACCTAATAAGCGCCTAGAATTACTGGAAGTAATTTTTTTTTCAAAAATGATCAGGAAACACCGAAAGATCAATGTACGAAATTAAAGCGTTTTTGTTTTCTCTTTTTGTTTTTTGTCAGTTCTGCCGTCACGGGGTCGATTTGCAAGCTGTTTCTCCCTCGGCATATTAATAACCTTATGTCATGATTTTATCAAAATTCGAACGGTAATTTCCACGTTAGACGGGTCAAGGATTAGCAGGCAGAAAAAAGCTTTTCTCAATCATTATTGACATGCGTGCCACCCATGGCTGATAAACTGATACAGAGTAATCGAATTGAATTAATTGCTGATAAGAATTGATTCTATAGTGGCAAATGCTTCATTTTCTGCACAGTATTTGTTCAATCTGTCTTTGACGAAAAAACAACATTATCAAATACTTGCAATGTCATTAAGGTAAGACGGTATATCGCTGAGCACAATGCTTTATCCTTACTTAGAATTTAAATATTTAGCTAGATTGAGATAATAATGTATTTTCTTATGACACTGGTTATTTATCTACGGATAACGATCTACAGGCAATGACATCGAAGGTTTCAGCTTTGTTTTTAAACTGATTGGTTTTTCATACACCTTCGAAGTGACGGTCACAACACTATTAAAAAGATCGTGATATTCACGTATAGCGACTAAAAGCAAAACTAGGGGAAGAGGTCTCAGCCTCTGCCAGAACTGACGATAGAATCCTTTAATAAGTGCTTCCAAGAATAGATAATCCATGCAGGGGAATAAAATATATTAGATTCTTCGAAATTACATTTGCTCCCTCCCTAAGCCACAAAGAGAGAAAAATTGTATGATGTAAATGTGGTTTTATCAGAGTATTCATCTTGGTGTTAGGCGTTTCTTCTGATTGTTGCAGTAGTAATAAAAACAGCTAAATTAACACATACAGATATTTGAAGTATCACCTGCATAATTCTTGCGAAGTTTTAATGAAAGTGGACTGCTATGCGACTAAGAAATGAGTTTTAAGAGAAAGTTTCCTTTAGAAAGAGAGAAGAGAGAAATGTTCAATAACCTGATCATGAGAAACTTGAAGGACTTAAAACTGATAAATCCATGGTTACTATTGATATACCTACATATGAAAATAAAATAGAAAAAACTTACTATGAAACATGAGAAACATTCAAGTGTTACTACAAAACATGAGGTTAATGGTCAGATTCTGTTGCTGCTAACCGTCTTGTGTGCCCAAGGATTATTCGAATTTTTTTCTCCAACTGTTGCCTACATCTCCTTTAACTGATTTTGTTTTTAAAGCCCCATATGACCCACTAACCAGTTAACTACTGCTACCAATATTTCTCAGCGTTTCGGGTAATTTTATATATCTGACGATTGATTTTGTTGAAAAGCAATCTCGTGGATGGATGTACCTACACACATTACAAACATTATTCACTTGAACATAACAACAATCGTGCAATCATGATAGCCGCGAAAATAAATATTATGTAATCATCAAGTGGGGGTCTTCAGAACTGGACACGACACGGTTACTTTCATTTTCGCTAAAAGAAGCTCAAGGTGTACGGTTTTACGCACTGTTAAAATATTATGTGGATACCTGTTTTGCCTTACAATGTGTTTTGGTGCGATTTAATAAAGTCTCCCGATGCTCCTTTACAGGTATGGTTTTAGGTTATTTTATGTGTTAAAAAGATCTTTCGACGGTTTTGTTCTATAATTTTGTTTACGAACGTTTCAATAGCTATTTTTTATATTATACATACCGATAACTTTTCTCCTTTGCAAAATATGAATAGAATCTGCATAAATGTTATGAAAGAGTAGGTATTTTGTTTCATGTACATTCGGTTGTTTTAAAGGCTATAAGCCATAAGTTATTTTAATTTTCAGAGTTGAAGTACAATGACTTGGTATTTTATTGATCAACATGATCAGCGATATGTCGGAAATTATGACCTGGGTGAGCTAAAAACGGATGAATTTTATTTAGATGTGACATTTAGCTCTTTTCATGAAGAAGTGTTTATGTACTACTTGAACGAGCAATGTGTTGGTGTAAGTTTCACAATTGAACGTACTAAATGGACGAAATAGCATAAAGATAACATCTCAGTCTATATTAACAGTAAAAATGAAATACAGGAGAACACATTTCAAATAAAAAAGCATCTATTTCTCAACGAATAGATTCAATTTCGTGTGCAGTTGGTTGTAGACGACCAAAAATACTAGAACAAAAGGATGTAAACATACAACCAATTACTGTTATTATACACTGCTAAAAAAAAATTAAGGGAGCAAGAAAAAAAATCCAATTTTTGAGTAATTTTTGACTTGTTGTATTTCGGTAAAGGTCGTATCTAGACTTTAAAGTAAGCATTTTGAAGCTTTGAATTCGTAGTTTTTACGTTTTTTAGCCGAAACATTTTAGGAGCAACGGTTTTTATGGATATCCAACATATAGACAGGCTTGAAGACTTGTTGCTGTTAGGTCATCATGGATCAGATAACCCGTTTAAACTGATTCGATATCCTGTTTTCAAAAATCTCGAATACCCTTACATTCTCTGTGCGATCACTGGTTTTAGAGATATCAGTGGTCGATGACAAAAGGACCATTTTTCATTCAAAATATCTCCGTGCCAAATGATTGTATCGACATTTTAAACTCAAGATACTGAAGCAGAATAAATTAGCTATCTGATCCATATGATTGCCTAACAAAAAAAAAACATATTCTCAAGTCTATGGACTAAAAAGAATGTAAACATTTTGTCAAAAATTACCTTGGTTATCGGATAGAATTACATGAGAACTGTTGCTACTGAAAATGTTTAGCTAAAAAGGCTAAAAACTAGAATCTTAAAGCTTCGATATGCTTTTTTCTAGTCTAGATACGAAATACAGCCTGACCAATATAACCGAAAAAATTCGATTATTCCCTTGCTCCCTTAATTTTTTTGAGTAGTGTAGTATCTTTATCATATTCTTACCAATTACAGTGCCCTTACCTCTTAAAACCATTCACAAATGCCACACCCTTAGCTACAAATCTTAAACTAAAACTGGCTAAGACATATCAAAACCTTTTACCGCAAGATGAAACAGGTGATGTCGTGTGCAACTTAGATTACCCCTTTGGACAGTTTGGTGTATACAGAGTAAAAAATGGTTCAGATGGCTGCGAAATTAACGTGGTGAAGGAAGCTGTAAACATCTATACACGTGAGTATACCTCATAACTTATATTTCCTTCAAATTCTGATACTCATCCTTCAAATTGAGTTGCTTAAACTGACTTAACTTGCCCATGCACACGACGACGTCGAAGAGCATTCGATGCAATCCGAACGTGCTGAGGACGCGCGTTATGGGATCCAATGTACACTACCGTACAAAATTTTGGAAACATCTGTTTTTGGCCATTGAGTACACAACACCTACAGGATCGTCTGCTCTCCTTAAACATGTTTTTACAAATTACTAGATGTTAACAAAATACGTGTTTTATGACTTAATCCTGCGGTTTATTTTTTTTGTACTTTGACGTGTCGCCCACGGTAGTATTTGTTGGTTTTAACTTGTTTGGGTCCTATTTGGTCGCAGTTTTGGCACGCGCAAGTTGTGACAATAACAATATCAGTATTCGAAAATTGTTGACTACGGCTTTTCATATAATTTTTCTTTAGAAAGCAAATCACGTTTGAACAGCGAAGTGCTATTTGTATTCTTCGTGAGGAAGGATACAGTGAACGTCAAATCGCAGCTAGGTTCGGAATTTCTTGTAAAGGTGTTCACTACACTCTTGCTAGAAAACAAGAAACAGGAACAAACGGAGAGATAAAAAGATTAGGCAGGCTCTAGCCCACAACTAATCAAGAGGATGACTTCACCAGAGTTCTGTCTAAACGGAGTCGACGCTTAACAGCACCACAAATTACGCGAGGAGCCCATCTCAGTAACAACTGTTAAACGACGACTTCTGTCTGTGGGTCTAAGAGGATGTGTTGCTGCAAAAAGAAAAAAACAAAATTAACAATTAGACACAAGGAAAAAAGACCAAAGATACATAAAGACTGGATTACAATGGGAAAATGTTCTTTAGATTGATGAATCAAAGTTTCAGATTTTCGGATGCAATAGACGAGTGTTTCTACGCCGTTCAGAGGAAGAAAGGGCTTCCGAAGAAGGTACAGTGCCAACTGTGAAACATGGTGCTGGTAATGTGATGGATTGGGGGTGTTTTGAAAACAATAAACCCGAAAATCTTGTGAGGGTAACTGGAAAATTGAACAAAGTTACTTAAACATTCTTCAGGACTCAGCCGCACCCTGTGGACTAAATCTCATTGATCCTGAATTTACGTTTCAACAAGATAATGACCCCAAACATTCGTCTAAACTATTCCAGATTTTTTTAAAGAACAAAACAGATGAGGTTTTAAAAATCATGCAATGGAACTTGTCTAGGATGAACTCGACAGGAGGGTGAAAATAGTTCTCCTACGAGCTCAGAACATTTATGGCAGTTATTAGAGAGTGAGTGGAACAAGTTAGGCGAAGATTATTTTAAGAAATTAATAAATAGAATGCCTAAAATATGCGCTAAAATTATTAAAGCAAAAGGTGGACACTTCGATGAAGCTAAAATTTGATTATTTTTCACAGTATTTGTTAATTTTCTGTTTTGCCTAAGCTGCTTATAGTTCGCTTTTTAATTTTATATCAATAAAATTAATTGAAGAGGGCTCAATTCTGTTTTATATGATTTTACCCCGCTGCTGCCAAACTTTTGGACGGTAGTGTCCATATTTCGATATCGCTATCAAATGACACGTATATATCTTATAATCCTACATGTTTGTCTGGCCGCAAATGAAATTTCATATGCTTGAAATACCATCTACTGTCGACGTTTCGGCAATCACGGTGGCCTTTTTCAAGTAAATGCATATCTTATTTTTTTAAGTCGCGTGGTGTTAGAACTTAAGCGACGACGATATCTCAAATTTCAAATATATTGGAATAACAATTCTCGCCTCGCAACAAAATATTACCTCCCCACTTCCTGCTTGTTTTGCGACACGTGAAACACTTCTGACAGTGTTCTGCGGTCCACTAACTGCAGGTGGCCTTCATCACCTGAATGTTTACCTTCCTCCTCACTACCTGCTATTTCGTAGACACCATAGTACACTGCATATAGGGTTTTGGACGCCAGAATATCATCTCAGACACCTTGCCAAAAACTTAACGACGGAGTGACGCTTGTCTTTGATAGTCCCTATTATTTCCATCACCTAGATGGTTTTTGAACCACCTTAGGCTAATTGACGTTTATTGTCGCACTGTGGCAGATTTGTTTCACCCGTGGATATTCATCATCCGTTGACAGGTGTATGGTTACAAGTGGTGCAGGGAGTTTAGTGCCGATCGGAAGGAAGTCCACGATGAAGAATTGAGTTGATGAGTGTCTATTTCGGAGGCGACTATCCAACCGATCCAATGCGAAGTAAACTACCAGGACAACAACAAGTTCACGGACGGAGGTTCTCATGTTTTGAAGCACACCGCGTAGCACCATCTCGAGAACCGCCTCCAAAACGGTCAGTCGTCCACTCCGTGGACTTCTTTCCGATCGGCTCTAAACTCCCTGCACTACTTTCGGACATGTTGAGCGCAGGCGTTGTTGCCGGGTTTTGCCCGGTACCTTAAAGTGTGGCTGGAGCTCTTTGGAAACCATATTTCTGGATCATCCCTCGTATATGAAATTAAGCGTTGAGGGTGCCTGTACATACCTGGTTTGTAAATTAAGTGTTGAGAATGATTTATTTTAACTGTTTATTCAAATATAGTTACAATTAATTTTGTTTTGTTATCCTCAAGATAACTTCCTTCTGAAACATAGCGCTGGAGACGGTTCTTCCACTCCTCATAGCAGTGCTGAAACTTCGATACTGGAATAGCCTTCAGCTGGTCAGTTACAACCGTTTGAATGTTTTCGAATGTCCCAGAATTAGCTCCCTTGAGGTGATTTTTTAACTACTGGAAGAGAAAAAAGTGACAAGCGCTCAAGGTAGGCGATTAAAGAGGCTGAGGAGCCACATGAATGTTTTTACTGGCAAAAAACTTGTTTATTGACATTCCTGTGTGATAACGAGCACTATCGTGATGCAACACCCAGTTCTTGATCAGATGGACGGTGGCGTGAGTTATATTTAACTCTTCCCCGATCATTCTGACTGTCAACCGAAGATGAAGGCCTTCTTCTTCGTGGTTCATCTTCAATCGACTCTCTTCCTTCTGAAAATGCCTTAAACCAGCGAAAAACCTGGGCTCTTGACAAAACACTATCTCCGTAGATCTGCTGAAGCTTAGCAACAGTAGTACTGTGCCCCAGTCTGAAGCAAAATCTTATAGCACACGGTTGCTCGAAACTGATGTCATTCATTTCTAGAACACAATAGGAAAAACTGTTTCACAAAAAAATCGCAACGGACAACCAATTGACTCGAGCGAGTTCTAACTTGTATTAAAGGCGGATCACATGTTCCCCTGTCTCCCTTTCCAGCCAGGCGCCTCCAGTGTTGCCAGATGGAACGTTACGTTGCCAGTCTCGTCACTTCATTTACAGATCTCGTAGATTCTACGGTGCGATCTTTACACCCGCGCCCCGAGCGTTAAATTGATGGGTTGAAAAAAAACTCGCGACGTATTTCAATTGTTGTACTCATAGAAAGTCAACGCGCATTTTGTGTAACATCGGTGTCACCTGATACGACGTGCGCATTGATTTAACGCACTCCATTTGAAATAGTGTACGACAAAACGGTGGAAATTGGTACCATGGAAAGCTAATTAGATATCATTGAAAATTCTCGTCAAACAATCCCCAATAACCATGTTGTTTACAAAGTCCTGTAGTCTGATTATCATTTCAGCGATTATAACTGTTATTGCTATATACGCCATATTGATTATATTTGGATACCTAACAATAAATCTTTGGAAAAAGTACATGTACAATAAGGAAGACGATATTGAAAATAAGGAGAAAGGATCAACAAAGAGCAGAATACACTCTTTGGATACTTTTAGAGGGTAATAACATGAACAAGTTTTAATACTTCGGTAATGTCTCTTATAAAAATACTTGAACTTTTATCACTGAAGATGTTATTCCAAATACCTTGAAATTTACAGAGTGATAATTGTTATGATGATATTTGCAAACTTTGGCTGTGGGGATTATGAGTACCTGAACCATGCGAAGTGGAATGGTCTCCACATTGCGGACCTCATTTTCCCTTCATTCGTATGGATTATGGGAGTTTGTATACCGATTTCTCTGACATCGAGCTTTAAGAAAAAGCTTTCCAATAGAGAAATGATACTCAATGTATTGAAGGTATGTAATATCACCTTTAAGGGACACTATCAGCTAGCACATGAGTTCATTCTGAAATGATGTGATTAAAGTCCCTTCAATGTCATGGAAAATAATTTCCATGATAGAAGCATCTTTTTTGGGCATCATATAATATTTCCGAACGTCATAATCAACCAAAATGACAGAAATTTCTTATATCTAATTACTTCTGAGGGACTGGTATTTGACAGCCTATCATATATTCACTGGTAGCTATCGATTGTATCCAATTATTGAGCTGAGCATTAGCGACAAGATGATGATGGATTGATTGTTGAGTGAACTAAGGTTTTTGGTCAAAGTTCTTTATAGTTTATTGTGATGTGATCTTTATGAGTCAAATATAACAGTAAAAATCCATAAAAATTCACGTGGTGCCTCTTAGTACTTCTAAAGTGACTAATGTGATATTAATTGTACTATATGTTCATTTTCCGTCACACTTGTAATTTACCTAATGTAACTTAAACTATTGGCCCATTGCATTTTCCCTAGACATTACTTCAGTATAACAGGTTTTATGTTATTGCTGGCCGGATAATTGCAATGGGTAAGATTTCATAACCAAATCAGGGCGAGTACTCATCCTCCCAATGTACAACACTTTTATAAGAGTGTATTGACAAGTTCCTGTATTAAGTCTGCAACTTACCAACAGGTGGCAGTTCGAGCCTGTGCCTCTTTAATAAATCAGCTGATAACCTCACGAAGTGTCTGCGAAGTTTCCTCATCGCTTTCGTTTTACAAAAATTTTGTCCAGAGTTTTTGTGTTTGCTTGGTTTTTTCTGTCACCGATGTCATTATGATCGAAAAGTTTGAGAAGAGCGAACATTGAATTTTGTGTGAAAGTCAGAAAATTACCTATAGAAACACTAAATATGCTTCGACAATTTCATGGTGTTGAAACGATGAAGGCCTTCTACAAGCATCGTGCCCAAACACTGCGAAAATTCGTCATTCAAAAATTTGAGAACGATTCATCGCTTCATCGTCATAAATCGTCGAAGCATATATTTACACCTTATTTCACGAGTATCCATCACGCTTTGACGTCTACTGAGGTCAACAGCTGATCAGCTAGTGAGATTTTTGTGCTGTTCTGCAATGTTGGCTATAATGAATCAGGGGTAAATCTAGCAAAAAATTGTTTGTAGCGTTTTGTTTTTTGTATGCAAATGAACTTTCCTAAATAAAAGAGCCTTTAGCAAGTACAAAATGAATGTGTAGCGTACAAAAAACCAAAACAAAATATGGCTCTGTCTACCTAGGATTGACGAAAATTATAAGATGAAATGATTATATCGTAGAGATCTACGAAGCTATTTCTTCTTGGCATCTTCTTAGGAAGTGGAGTGGATCTATCATACTTGAGAATTTTCGGCGTTCTTCAACGTTTTGGCATTGCATACTTCGTGGTATGCTTAATATGCATCTACATTATGGACCGGACGTCTCCAGACATTATTAATGAGGTTGAAGAAGTTTCATCAATAAAGGTGAGAATAGGGTTGTAAACATGGGTTTGTATAAATGACACCCTAGAGTTTTCACCGATAGAAATACGTAAAATTATGGCGTAACTAAACTGAAGATGGCAACTATTTAACTGTTACTAATAAGGCATAGTCAGGATATAGCTTAGATTTTGGCATGAAGTACTGAATTAGTGTGACAGATTTATTAAACCTAATATTTTTCCAGTTATATTTTTCGGACATTTTAAGAGTCTACATGGGATGGATTATTGTTATAATTATAACAGCAATACATACAATAATTGTGTTTACTGTTGCTGCACCAGGTTGTCCTAGGTAAGATATTTGACTTTGATAAGGGATGAAATTAGGCAGTCGACAAAATCTGCTGCTCTATTGCTAATGCTGAATATATCGTAACTTGTTACGTAAAATCGCTTACCGTGTCAATCCATATAGAAATAGTAGACAATTTTGTGTATTTGTGCTGTAATATCATTTTCAGAGGTTATTTGGGACCTGGCGGTTTACATCAAAATAGTTCATATGAAAACTGCATTGGCGGAGCTACAGGCTACATAGATGGATTAATACTCGGAAATCACAGATATCAGTATCCCACGATATATCGTGTATACGAAGCAAAGCCGTTTGATCCGGAAGGGGTCATAGGTAAATAAGCCTCGTCCATATACGTGGTATGCCAATTGCGCTCCAGAAATTTACGGGTGGGGGACCTTCCTTTCAGTTTCAGTCTAAGGTTGAAGTCGATATCACGTTTGTTTCTTATTTTTTATCCATTTTTCGGAAGCAACTTTTCTAATAGCGTCGTCAAAGGGCCAACTACGTGTTGCAATCCAGTTTTCATTGAAGTCTGATGAACACCTTTGGAATCCTTCTAAAATTACAGGTGGTAAATAGTTTTGTTTTTGTTTTATTGACAAATCCTTGGAACTTAATTGCTATACCATGTATCCTGGATTTTTATAGATACCGTTTATATGCGAATAAATGTTGTTTCGAGCAATCTAGATATATTGCCCTTCTTTTATAAACATTTTGGCCCAATGTACAGCGGTTTCTATGAGTTTTGTAATTTAACCAAGAAGATTTCCTTATACAGGGTCCGTCAGAAAGAACGCATGTTTTTCGAATGGGTACTACATCGAATGGGCTGGTCCCGTATCGGTGGGAAAGGGCGTGTTGGATAGTGGAAGAAGTGCCGTTGCAGTTGGCAAGATGGTTTGGAACGTTGAGCATCGTGTGTTCACTGTACGTCGGTACTTTCAAAATGGCGACTTTGTCGTTCGAATGTAACGTGAGTTTCGCGTCCACTTTCGGGTTCCACGTCTTGCGACAGTACCAGACCGTAACACCATTTTAGACAGAGTGAGAGTTGACACGCTGCAAAGCCCGAATCGGTCCGTCCGTTTGCGTGCCAGTTCTCTAGGGATCCACGCGTCCTCTGTACGTCGCATCTTGAAGAAGGATTGACTGTTCCATCCCAAGTTTGTCAACAGCTGTTGCCAGGGGATTATGCACAACGTGTTAATTTTGCACAGTTCATGATTGAACAGTTGGATAAAAATGACATGAAGTTGTTTATGAGTGAGGAGGCACATTTCCACTTACATGGATACGTCAATAAACAAAATTGTCGATATTGGTCTAAAGTGAACCCCAACAGTTGCATGAGCATCCCCTCCATACCCCGAAAGTTACAGTTTGGTGTGCAGTAGGCCCAACGATGATTATTGGCCCTTATATTTTTGAGGATGATGGAGAAACAACTACTTTGAATTCAGAGCATTACATCCACATTCCGAACAACTTTTTTTTCCGGAATTTTGACGTCGACGTGTGCGTCTCAGAACAGTGTGGTTCCAACAAGACGGGGCAACATCTCACACAGCTCGCACTTCGATGGAACTTCTTCCGCAAACATTCCCAGGACGTCTCATTTCACGTCATGGCGATATTTCGTGGCCCCCTCGCTCCCCGGACCTGTCAACGTGTGATTTTTTTTATGGTGCTACCTGAAATCAAAAGTTTTAAAAAGCAAGCCTCGGACCCTAGACGATTTGCAGAAGGAAATAAGAAGATAAGTAACCCAAATTCCTGCACGGATGCTGGCCGACGCAATGGGCTCATTTCGGGAGAGGCTTGATTCCTGCATTTCGGCTCTAGGGCGCCATATGGCCAACATAGTTTTTAGAACGTAAATTTTGTTTTACTCAAAAAATGGCATGTATTTCTGAGTATTTTGATATAATAAAATGTTTTCTTCCCATATTTATTTTGACTGTACTACTCATTTAAAAAGCATGCGTTCTTTCTGACGGACCCTGTAGCTATAACAAGATGACTTTCAGAAGATCCATTGCAGGTTGTCTCACCACAATATTGCAAGCTTATTTGGGCGTTCAAGCAGGTGTAACACTTCTGGTGTATAAAAAACACTCGGAGCGTCTTTTCAGATGGTTAATATGGGGAATCATCACTGGTTTAGTAGGCGGTGCCTTATGTGGATTTTCTAAGGAAAATGGCGTTATACCTGTTAATAAAAACTTATGGTGAGAAAGCAGATGTTAAATTAGAAGAACACGACGTATTATCAGTGCTGACTAATCAGCATTGATGTTCTTGTAATAACAAAATCTCCTTTAGTAACAGTATTTGTGGAAGTTCCAAAGTTTGACCTTGAGTAAATCTATAAAAAACGTCCGTGCCGTGCCAAAAATTTAAGATATCCAAATAACTGAAAAGTAAATTTTAGAGCTGCAATCTTCAGTGAACTTGATCTAAATCGTAGTTCCCAGTCCCAGTAGCTTTGCTTACTGATTTGTTCCTCCTGGAAGATCTTGATTTTTTTGTACTTAAAGTAACAAGAAAATTGCAATATACCTTCTTTTATAACTGTGTACCTGACTTTTTCTCCTTCCTCCCAAGATTTGTTCCTTCAATAAACCAATCACTAACCTTAAAGTATTTAGTCACCATAAAGCCTTTCTGACATAAGACAGGACTAAATACCTGAACGCATATTGCTTCCTCCTTAATTCTTTGTTAATAAAGAATGCGTAGCTCAAACTAATTAGTGATATAACTGTATATGTACTGTGCTACTTGTGGTATATTATCTGAATTTGGCAAGGCTTACTGCAGAATTAACGTATGTTTCATCTCATATTATTTGCTATTATTACGATATTTGTTGCAGGTCTTTATCATTCGTGCTGATCACATCCTGTTTTGACTTCACTTTTCTCAGTCTATGCTACCTATTGGTTGATCACAAAAAGAAATGGTCTGGAAAACCATTCTTGTTTGCTGGGATGAACGCTATCTTGATGTACATTGGTCACGAAATGACAGAAACTCATTTCCCTATCAGATGGTATCTGCACAACGAATATTCCACGGATATACGACGAACACATTTTGTAGCACTGCTTTCTGACACCTGGGGAGCTTGCTTTTGGCTTCTCATTTCATATTATTTGTACAAAATTAAATACTTTTTGGTAATATAACCACAATGATCGTAATTCAGTATTTTTCGTCTATTATTGAGCAATATGCTCTGACTTGGTATTGACAAGATATTATTATATTATATTTAGTATACTCTCCCGTTCCAGCATAATTACATTACAAGATTCGGAAAAAACTTAAAACTTGGAAAGGGTCAAAAAGGCCCCTGAAAATAATAGATTAATATACAAGGTGTTCATTTGAAAAACGGATTTATCGAAAACCACTGATTAAAAGAAAAAACGCCGAGACACATCAAAAGATTTGTCAAGGAGGACAACTTTTCAACCAAAAACAACTTCAAACCCCTTTCACCGTCGGCCCCCAGGGTCATTCTCTCAAAAGTTTTAAATGATAAGGTGTATAGAATAATAGTTGGTTTGAAAGGTCTTTCGAAGTCCTTTATTTTGACGTTTGACTTTTTAAAATCGGTCGATTCGTTTTCAAGAAAATTAGCGAAATCTTTATTTATCTTAATTAGTTTAGATAGGAAATAAACACAACACGAAAATATAATTTTTTTTTCAATAAGTGTTCAAAATGTTGGCCGTTATTGGCCAAACAATAATATAGGCGATGTTCAAATTCCTGACGGACTTTTTCAAAAACATGTTGTAGGATATCATGGCAGTTTTCGATTATTCGTTGACGAAGTTGATCCAAACGTTCAGGTTGGGGAGTAAACACAATAGATCTCAAATGGACCCATAGAAAAAGGTCTAGTGGCGTCAAATCAGGAGATCTAACAGGCCATTCTATAGGCCCTCTCCGCTCTATAGATTTATCTGGAAACTCGTCTCCTAGCCATTGCCGAACCGGAAGAACATAGTGAGGAGGAGTGTCGTCTTGCTGGAAATATGTTCCAGCCTCATCAGGTATAGGGTTTCCATCCTCTTCGATTTGGTTTACAATCGTTTCAGTGATAAGCCGATTGATGGTTTTTTCCAACATATCCAAATAATGTCTCCATTCCAATTACCATTAATACATTAATTTTTTGAGGGATACTGGGTATGCCCTGCTACAAAAGCATGAGGATTTTCATTGCTCCAATACCTGCAGTTATTAGCTTATTAACAAATCCATTTCTGAAGCAGATATTCTTTATACAGGGTGACTTCGAAGTTGAGTCATTTATTTTAACAGTGAGTAGATCTGATCAAAAGAAATGTTTTTTCCTTTACCATTTTCTGGTAAAATTAAAGTAACAAAGTTATAGCCCTTTGGAAGTTTGAGTACCGCCCTGTCTCAATAATAATAGCATGTGCTCGTGTTTGGCAACAACGGATATAATCCGCCTTATCGGTTCATCGCATCGGAAACAAAAAAGCGAAAGAATTTGGAACGATGTTTTTACAATTATTTTAGTCAGTTCAGTTATACATACAGTCGGTAACGCGTGTGAATAGTGTCTGTTGCGTGGCTCAAACGAAATAAAAAATGGCACATGTTTATGCGGATCGGTTTCCCAATCGAGTGCAACCAACCCCTAGTGCCTTTGTTAATGTAGTACAACGGGCTCGTGAATCAGGTGACTTAAGACCTCACAGGGAACGTCACGATCAAATACAGGTCCGCACTGAAATACTTGTCGGGAGGATACTTTATAAAACAAGGTAAAAAAATTTTTTTATTTTTTTTTTATTTTTACACACATATTTTGGTTTATCTTCCTTCTAAAATCATTATCTGAAAATTAATGACTCAACTGCAAAGTCACCCTGTATGAATGGTATTATCATTAATCGCTGCAGCCGTTTGTTCATAAAACTTAACTTGCCTATCGAAATCATTTTGGGTTAACTCTTGCAATATTGTCATTTTGAATGGATAAAATTTATGAAGTTTAGTGGCTGTGTACACGGAGCCTAATGAAATACCAGTCGCAGCAACAAGTTTGCGTAATGAAGTATTAGGATTTATTCTAAAACGACCCAAAACTTCAACTTGATGATCACGTTTTTTTATTTGCAACAGATCCAGTTTGAGTAAATTTACTAACAGGGCCCAAAACACCTATGCGAAGTTATCTTCCCCTGATGTCTGGCGTTAAACGTGGCGGCATTTTGCAGAGCACATTGATTTTGGGCACCATAAATTAGGACCATTTCCACTCTTTCGGCTAGTGTGTAAACCATTTTTGAAGTAATATCTGAATCAATAAATTAATTTTCACTATTCCAAGATTGTCACAAAGGTAACTGACAGCAAATTAAATTCTTTCTTTCCCTTAGAAACAAATAACTAAACAGTTATAACAATAAATATAGGATATCTGTGCTGATAAAAAAATGCGGAAAAAAATTCGCCCGAATTGCTGTTTATGTTGGTAGTTCCGTTTTAAATTATTAACGAATTGTAGATTTGGCAAACCCTAACTTGCAACATTTATTGAAATAAAAAGTGATATTTTCGAGTGTTTTTTATCTAAACAAATTAAGATGAATAAAGATTTTTCTAATTTTCTCGAAAACTAATCGACTGTGGGGGGGGGGGGGGTTAGGGGTAAAGTGGTTTTTGGTGAAAAAGTTGTACCCGTTTTTTCTTTTAATCAGTGGTTTTCGATCAATCCGTGGTGGGAAGTTTTCAAATGAACATCCTGTATGTAAGATAAATAAATAAATGGTTTAGAACATATTTATTTTAAGCTTTAGTTAATATTTTTTATCTTATTAATGCCTGATTCTTATATAATTCCCAGATGTTCACGTGCTTGTTCAAAATTCACCCATATTCGAATATGTAACTTACAATTTTTATATGAATTCATGATTGCACTATTCCATACTTCAAATCTATAATAAAACAAACTAAAACACAAATCACTTGTAAAAATATTGCACCACTGTGCTCACAATAAAAACAAAAGTGAAAACAAATGAATACACAATTATAATCAGAATACAAGTTTTGTTTTTATTGTGCGCTAGTGGTGCAACACTTACGTTTTTATATTTTTTGTGTCTCAGTGTGTATTATGGATTTGAAGTAGGAATTGTTAAGATCGAGTTATTTTCATAGCCGGAAAAATCCTTATGGACCCTGATGCGTTGTAAGTATAATTTCCTGTCGAAACTGAGCAGCGGTTTAGGTACGATATTTGTTGAGAATTCTTTAACAGAGAAAAATACAATTTAAAAAATACTGTATTTTTATTTCATTTAAATTTTCCTATCTACTAATATTTCGCCTGTGTACAGTACATAACTTTATAAAATCCTACAGAACATTAGAATGTATATCCTTTATATTTCACCTAATGAACATGTTTAACCTTTCCCTTTGTTGAACTCAACAAATTATACTATAAGGTTACAATACTGACTGTGACAGTATGCGTAGTGCTGCCCCTATAATGAAGATATACATGTTTATGTTTTACCTAATATTTACAGTACGCAATACATTATAATTTAACTAAGACAACTTATTTGTAATCAACAACGTCCACAGGGATATACTTATTTACAAATGACATCAGTATACAGTACTCAACACTTATCCACAGCTATTTGTATACATAGTGTTACGGATATATGACAATCATATGACAACCATAAAAATACAGAGCTTGTCACACTTCAATAACATTAGTTTTCGATGATTCTATCTATATTCAACATCGTCTAACAAATATATCTAAGCTAGATTTTTGCACAAAATTATCATGTGGTAAAACTCAACACAGGAATATATATTACATAGTTTTATAACTTTTGCTCCAAAATCCTAATACACATTCTTATTTATTATTTTAACTGACAGGCCTTGAAGTAATTTCTTAAAAATCTGACGCTTTTATGTAGACGCTTTCATCCCTTCCTTGTCAGCGATTGATTGATATCTTTTACCATATTTTTTTAGCTTAACCTTCCAAGAAAGGATAGAATACAGATGATTTTTATTTTCTTATTTAATTATATACATTACTTTAACGTGGCATAATGTGACGGAGCCTAAGTTTAGAAAAAACACATTCTCACACATTTTCACAAAAGGCCAAGTGCAAAAAATGTTTCTGCCTGTATACTTAAATCGATACTTAAGACGTTAACTTTTTCTTAAGTTGACAAATTGCAATTTTCTTTTATAAACACGTTATAAAAAGCTATATGGATCTTGTACATGCTAAAAATACAACGGTATTATCAAACGTGCTACAGTATTGCATTTGTATAGATGCGTTTGAAAATAGATCACTTACGTTTACGAAGTAAGTACAAAAGGAGTTGGCACTGATGTTAATTGACTAGCTGTCAAAGTTCGACGACATGGGTAATATTCCCTGCAGAGGTTCGCAATGTGCACTATCGAATGGAAATTCTCCTCTCTGGAAAAAATATAAAACTTGTTAATTTTCGCATCGTTTAGTGACATGGTATACGAATGCTAAGAGCTTCACGCTTTTAGCGTTTCGCTAACGTCGCACGGTGGTAAATTTGCACTGCGTTTCTGGTCAAAAGTCCATTTTCTAAAAATCCTCTAATACCACAAATACGTGCGATAATCGAGTCGATACTTCAAACCGTCAAGATCAGCATGTTTAGAAGTCAGTTTCAGTGCTCAGAAAACCGCTAAACCTAGCGAAATGTGTACGTGTATGTTCGCATGACTCTCTTCAAATGACACACACCCTCCTATTAGCCGCAATTAGCTCCTCCCTCCTCTCCCGCCCGAAGGCCTGGAGTGGCGCTGCGTGGTTCAGGCCGCTGCGCATTCCCCGAGTGTGTGCTGCCGAGCGAGCTACCCCCTCCCCAATTTTGCCCTTTTTTCCCAAAATTGACTCGATCGCGCAGGCGTAGCGGAAGCACGTGGTGGGTGGACGTTTCATTCAACTGTCGGTTCTCGACTATTATGGACGGCCTCTTTGTTGGGGGTCCTGCGCTGGGGGATTTGACCTAAGCCCCACATTAAGGTTGGTGAGCGTTCGCTCTTTCCTCGTCGACTGGAGTCAGTCAGTCAATCATTTGCTGTTTATCTTCGTCTCCTGAGGTTAGCCTCGAGTCCGTGCTTGACTCTGGCCACCTCAATCGACAGGCTTATTTTTGTCCACCCATTATACACGGGCTATTCTTTCCCCTCTTGGATGTACAACTATTGTCGGTCTTCTCCCCTTTTCTTTGGCCTCATCAGCTGCTAGGGCCAAATTTCTTCTTGTTGCAGCTGGCTTTTCGGTCTTTTGTGACGCCTTATTGTTCTTGGGTCGTAATCCAAGGCGTCTTTAATCAGCACATTTCGGTGTCTTTCGTTCTTTTCAAAGAACTTTCGGGTCCTCTCTCTCATCTGGATTACGAGCGGTACCTGTCGTAGTTCGTCATATAGCACTCTTGTTAGGTACATACCCCGGTGCGTCCACCGCCTCACGGAGTGCTATGTTTTGTGGAGCTTGGAGCTTCTTCTGCAACGTTTTGAAAACGTAGCCCCAAGCTACTGCTGCATAAGTCATGATGGTCTTATTCTTTAAGGACACTTTGCTTCTTCTGCCTATTAAAGGTCTTAATTTTGAGCATGCCATCTTCACTTTCTGCACCTGGCCCTCGACATGGTTCTTCCAAGTGAGTTTTTGGTCCATCTTGACTCCAAGGTACGTGCTGGAGTCCTTCCAATCGACCTCAACTTCTTCGTCTCTTCTCCAGCCTCTCTCCATTCTGGTGGTCGTGATCTTTATTTTGGTTTGAGGTAATCTTCGATTTCTTCGGAACAGTACCGCTTCGGTCTTCTCAGGGTTGAGACGGATCTTCCACTTGATGCAACATTCCTCTAGATTACTCGGAGTTCTTCAGTTTCGTTCCTCAGTCTTCGTTCGATTACCCTTGGGTCTTTCCCAGGTTTTGGTTTGTTGATCACTTCGGCTACTTTCCAGTGTTCTGGAAAGTATCGGTGTCTCAGTATGGCGTTGACAATGTTGGTGATTGCCATTATCGCTTTCCTCGGGAACCTCTTCAAGACTGTTCCCAATTTCGTCTACACCCGGTGCTTTCTTCACCTTGAGTCTTCCGATGATTTACCTTACCTCGCCTGGAGAGGTCATGTCCTCAATGGCTCTTCCTTCTCTTACAGCTCTCCTCGATCTTCTTATCACCTCGTCGATAAAGTTTTCGTCTTCATCGGGGTGAGCATTGAGAGTACACTGTCTCTGAAGGTTGTCAGCAAAAGCTTCTGCCTTCTCTTCGGTTGTGTACACCATCTCCTGTTCGCTGTGTATTGGGGGGATGGGCTGTCTTCTGTTTCTGGGGATTTTAGCCAAGTTCCACATTCCTGGATCAGCTGGAGATAGTTCTTCAAGTGTCTTGTCCCAGGTGCTCTGATGGTGCTGCTTCAAGGCATCTCTTGCCTGTCTTGTCAGTCTGTTCGCCACCATGGTGTCCGTCGGGCTTCTGGTCTCCTGGGTTACTATTCGGGCTCTATTTGTTTCGGTGATCTTACGATTTACCTCGTCAGGTAGATCCCTGAACCTGTTTGGTTGCGTTATATCTTCCACGGTGGTTGCGACTTCTAACGCAGCCTTAATCTTCCTTTCTAGGTCCGTGACCGCTTCCTCTATGTCTTCAGGGCTGTCAATCTGAAGTAGTGGTCCTAGTGAATAGTGCAGTCTGATTCTAAATCGCTGCCAATCCACTCTCTTCACTGTTCTTTGTCCCACAGGTGGTCTCCCATCTCCCAAATGATGAAAGATGGGGTTGTGGTCTGAGCTTCCCTCTTCCAAGGCGACGATTTCTTTCAGAATCGCCATATCTATGACGTCTCGTCTTCCTCCGTTGCTGGGGTATATTGTGGGTTCGTCAGGACCTATCATGGTGTATCCAGGTTCATCCATTCGTCTTTCGAGAACAGTGCCATGACTGTTTCTATTTCTTGAGCCCCAAATGGTGGACTTCGCCTTCAAATGACAATGTTTTACATCTATATAAGACAGCACAAAGCGCCATCAATCATCAGAGTCGATCCCTGCGGATAGCGCATAACTGGTATTCGTTGGGATTGTAATGATTTCGGTTCGAGATCAACGTTTTTTATGGTAGAATAGGTTGATTATAAAATTCCTGGCAAGGATATGGTTAATTAAAAATGGAAAAATGTTTTTTTATTAAACATTACACTAACGCGCTTTACGAATAAATTGAATACCAACCGAAACTACGAATGCCTATAGAATATGCAAGTTGGGTTATTTTTTCCTGACGTAACTACTGGGTTCATAGATATAAACATGAATGACATTGTAGCTGTGACAGGATTATACAGGCTGTTCCTTAATGATATGCGAATATTTAAGGGTGTGGATCTATATGAAAAATTAATGTTAGTTTGCTTTGTATACTATGGTCCAAAAATATTTCCTTACAAAAACTCGGGGTGTTGGAGTTTTAGGAAAAAATGGAAATTAATTAACATTTCCAGAACCGCTTCAGATATTTCGCTGATATTTTGTACGTAATGAAAGTTAATAAAGTTGCATATTTTTCAATGCAAAAATAATTTTTAGCTTTAACAGTGGCGTGCGTACGGGTATTGCTTTCGATATTTTTTAAGAAAAAAATGGTACGCCAATGGTTTTTTGCCAAATAAAAATTACCTTTGAATTCCACGTTCAATTTAAATCAAATAATCTTTCTTGAGCTATTTTCCTTCAGTGCGCCATTTTTGAGTAAAAAATAAAAACCGCTCTATTGTCAAAATTATTATTAATTTAATTGGAAAAAATAAACACTTTAGGGGTAATAAACAATAACAACTGACAACATAAACATAACATTAAGACCAACGAAATGATTACAAAAATTGTTGAAAATGGAATTGCGCACTCGTTGAAATATCTCTGGAGTGTTTTTTATTCTATCACAAGCTGCAACTATTCTTTCTCTTAATTGCTCTACAGTGTTAATGGGACTTGTGTACACTAGTGTCTTAAGATAGCCCCACAAAAAGAAATCTAAACTGTTGAGGTCTGGGGACCTTGGTGGCCATTCTTGGGGCCCACCGCGGCCAATCCAACGATTTGGATAAACATTTTGTAAATAATTACGACTACACTGAAATGCGCTGGTGCACCATCATGCATGTACCACATATTGTTTCTTATTACTAACGGAACATTATCAAACAGCAAAGGCAACTATTGTTGAAGAAAATTGAGGTAAGTCTGTCCGTCAAGTTGTCCCAGCAAGAAGAAAGGTCCAATAAAGTGGTTGCCAATAATTCCTGCCCATACGTTAACCGAAAATTGGTGTTGGAAATGGGTTTAGGTTACGGCATAGGCATTTTCTTCTGTCCACAAATGATAATTGTATTGTGGAAACTAAATAATGAAAAAGATGTCACAGCGAACAAATTTGAATAACAAAGACTTGTCAGATGTCAAAAGCCAGTGACTTATTCCAGAGGAAGTATATATTTATTGCTTAATTGCATTATTCAATTATTACAGTAATTTTCTCGGACAATAGAACGGTTTCTGTTTTCACTTAAAAATGGCGGATCGAAAGAAAACAATTCAAGAGAGATCATTTATTTTAAATTGAACTGGGAATTCAAAAATAATTTTTGTTTGGCAAAAAACCATTGGCGTATCATTTTTTTCTTAAAACATATCGAAGTCACTACTACGCACACCACTGTTAATGCTAGAAATTATTTTTGCATTGAAAAATATACAACTTTATCAACTTTCACTGCGTACTAAGTATCAGTAAATATCTGAAGCGGTTCTGAAAATATTAATTAATTTCCATTTTTTTCCTAAAACTTCAACAGCCCGAGTTTTTGTAAGGAAACATTTTTAGACTATAGTTTATAAGGCAAACTAACATTAATTTTTCATGTAGATTCACACCCTTAAATATACGCATATCATTAAGGAACACCCTGTATCTTATGTGTGCCACATATACCAAAATAGAAAGTAACCAGTAGAAGGGCCACTCGCGAAAAAGCATTTGATCTTATGACTTCTAAAGATGCCGACATTTTTCTTTTTTTTTTTTAGGTGCCTCACTTTTGTATTGCTTTATACAGGTTAGTGGTGTCGTACTTTGGCGCACGTACGGAATAGGTTGTTTATAAATTTATTGTAGTGGCATCAAGTAATTTGTATTTATACAGGGTGATGTCATTATTGTTTTTATGGGATGGACAATGGATGACAAATGTTCTTTGATTAAAAAAAATGCGAGTTGAAAAATAGTTTTTAGCCTCTCCGTCACTGACTGGCAATGATCCAGCTGTCTACTGTCTTATTTATGATTACCTAACCCCAGTAACCACCAAGTTTGAAAATGGATATGAGGGCGCCGAGTTAGGTGAAAACCAAATGTTTTTTAAATTTTCTAATCTGTAGTTAGGTGAATAACTGAAACAAAGAATAGAAAATAACGTGAAAGAGGTGAAGCGGGACTTATACAAACCACAAAGGATGTGGTATAAAATAATAAGCGGTTTCGAAAAGGCAAAAATTTACCCTCTAAAGCGAATGAAAATATTGGAGCGAATACCATCAAATGATAAATAATATCGATCCCGATGTCCAGACAAATGTTAGCGCCGCTGTCATCGAACTACTTGAAGAAAGAAGATTTTCCGGTCCAGCAGAACAAACTACTAGGAAAAAAAGCCCAACATAACAGCAGAAAAAAGCATTTCAATCCTAGATTTACAAAACGAACCAGTTGCAGGACCTAGTGGTGTTAAACAAAACATTTTAAACAAGAAAATACACGCGAAAGCAACACTTGCAAAGGAGGGAATGAAATAAAAATTGGGCAGTTTGTCCTATTTTTTTATGAAAAACATATTTATCCTGGGCAAGTTATTGAAATAAAAGGAGAGAAGCAATACAAAATAAAATCCTTAACACCTAGTGGATTGTTGCAGTGGATGTGGCCCAGTAAAGATGGCATCATCTGGTGCGAGGAGGAAGACATTTTACAGGTCATAGAGACACCTATTCCGTCCAAAAGAGGTTTCTTTAAAATTCCAGAAGTGGAAAATTATAATTTAGGTTAACCGTGTTATTTTTTATTATTAATTTCCTTTCGAAAGAATTTGTTTTTTTTATTTTACCAAAGAAATGGTGTGTTTATTTTTAATTTTACCAAAGAAGAATTTGTTTTCTGAAATTTTGTCAAAGGATTTGTTACCTACCTAATTTGCGTTTAAATTAAGTTTAAAACACTTTTTTACATCTGCTTACAAATTTTATAAATAAAACAAAAAAATATATGTCATAAGTATTTTTTATTTAGAAATCCTCAAAAAATACTTCAAACATACTTGGCTATTTTTTTCATGGCCAAACTAACCCATGCTATGGCGTGTATTTGCGTTTTCTAAATAAAACAACATGTGGCCAAAGTAACCCAACTTCGTCATCTGACTTTGGCCACCCAGGTTTTTTTAAAAAAAATATATTTAGAATGTGTTTAGCACCTTCTCCATTTCAAAGTTCAAAGTACTACTACAAACCCATAAAACGCGATTGGAAACAAACATTAATATCATTTGGTGTAAAACTTATCACAGTGTAAAGTTCAAAAGTGGACCAAAGTAACCCAAGTTTACGGTAAACATTTTAATAAAAACGGTTAAACTTAAAAAATATCGAATTTCGTTAAAGTTATAAAATTTGGAAGTTTCTATTTTAGTTCGAAAACATCAACTATCAGTATCCAGTTTTCCAACTGTTTTGACACCATAAAGATTAGTCAGAGCACAGTGATAATATACATCATTCAGTAAAATTCAATTTGTTCTTTTAAATTCCAAGTGTCATTCAAATGTGCTTTTAAATCTAAATAGAACAGCTGATTAAAACTAGGCAAACACTTTTACCTAAACTAAATAAACAAATTTGATAAATATATATAAACTATTTTACTTGCAGCAGGTAAGCTCATTTTAATAAATAAATAGTGTAATCAATCTGTAAACTGTAAAGTGTTTAATAAATTTAAGTAAGCAACTGCATTTTGGTTTAACTAACTAGTTTCATAGGTTCAAATAAACGGTTTAAGAAATCGGAGCTTAATTAAACTGACTAAACGAACTTGTTTTCGATGGAGTGGTTCTTCTACTAGTAACTCCGTAATCTTTGCATAGTCCGAGGGTCATGTTATACTGACCACGTATGCCCCGAGATCAACTTCGGCGACCACAGGTGAGACAAGGGGCGACGCGACTCCTGTAGGTGGCGGTGGGGGCGGTAAAGGTGGCCTGGGCGGCGTAGGCACCTCCAGGGCGGCTAGTTCTATGCAGCCGGAGCAGCGTCGGCGGCTGGCCGACGAAAGGCGTCGGTCTGGTGGGCAGCGTTTTCTGCGGGGCGCCAGGCAGTTGGTGGCCGAGCACAAGGCGCAACACGTGGAGAGGCACAGCGAGCGACGAGTCTGAAGAATAATTCGTGTTTCATTGTTATGTATTTGATTCAGGTCGTACCAGTCTATAACTTAATCGGGAGTGCCACAGGGTTCAAATCTTAGTTCTTTATTGTTTACCTTATTTATTGATGATGTGCATTATTTAAGTTGTAATAAACTCCTCTTTGCGGATGATTTAAAGTTATTCAGGATTATTGCACTTTAGCGGGATATTGATTCTTTAGTGGCTTGGTGTGACGAGAATAATCTATTTCTCAATGCGTCTAAGTGTAATGTAGTCAGCTTTTCCAGGAAAATTAAGGATTTGGGTATAGTTTTTGACCATAAACTTAATTTTTCACTCCACATAGCTCAAAAAGTGAGTGAAGCTTCGCGGGTGTACGGTTTTATTGTGAGAAACTGTAGAAGCTTTAGCCGCCCAGAGTAACTGTTGGTTTTCTATTCTGCATATATTAGATCAAAATTGGAATACGCATCGTTAATTTGAAATCCAATTTACAGTTGCTACATTGATTCTCTTGAGCACGTTCAGAGAAAGTTTGTAAAATTTTTATCTTTCAAAGTTGACGGTACATATCCTGAGCGTGGTATATCTGAAAGTTTGGTATTGTCTAGGTTTCAAATGCAGTCTTTAGAGCTGAGAAGGAAGTGTGCATCAATCATGTTCTTGCATAAATTACTGCACAATCAAATTGATGCCAATGGGATTGTGGCTTAACTAAACCTTATTGTTCTATCTATTCAAACTCGAACAGCTAAAACCTTTTATTGTGACAGGGCTTGCACAAATTTGTTTTTGAAGGCACCCATATACATATACTAAGTGACATATAAATCCGAACACCCAGTTTAAATGGTTTTATTTTAATAAAATTTTGTATAAGTACTTAATGAAGCATAATAAGTAATTGATAGAAATTTCAAAACGATTGCACTGCTTTAAAGCCCTTTGACCTTTAATAATGTGTGGATGCACCCTGATGTGCTACGCATTCTCCAACGCGCCTAGGCATGCTTCTGATCAGGTGGTCCATGTCCTCCTGTGGTATCTCATTCCAGGCAACCACCAACTCCTCTCGAAGTGCTTCTAGAGCCTGAGGAGGACGCTGCAAATTGAGCAATCTCCTACCCATCATATCCCACACGTGCTCAATTGGGGATAAGTCGGGAGATCTTGGTGGCCATGGTAACAATGTGACATCATTATGTTGAAAGAAGTCTATTGTGACTCTTGCAACATGTGGTCGGGCATTATCTTGTTGGAAAGTTGGATCTGCCAGGGTGTCAAGATAGGGTAAAAGATGGAGTTCTAGAACTTCGTGGATATAACGCTGCGCGTTCATGTTACCTCTGATGAAGATTAAAGGTGACCTGGAACCATAAGCTATAGCACCCCAAACCATAACTACAACAGTGTGATGAACATGTCTTTCAACAAAAAACTGTGGATTCCTCCTTTCACCACGTCGCCTTCTAAACCTGGCACGACCATCGTGCATGCCTAAACAAAATCGAGACTCGTCACTAAAGACAATACTGTTCCATTCCTGATCCCAGAGTGACCGTTGTCTGCACCACTCAAGGCGATTACGTCGGTGTTCTCGAGTTAAAGGGAGGACCCAGTGTGGCCGGTATGAAAACAAGCCAAAACTTCTCATTCGTCGGTAAACACTTCGCATGCCAATAGGTCTTCCGTGTTCTGCAAACCATTCATTTGCAATGGACCTGGTAGTGGAGAAACGGTCCCTTAAGGCCAATAATCTTAGGCGGCGATCTTCACGGTCTGTTGTTCTACGGCGGCATCCAGTGCCCCTTGCTCTTTGCGTACGGCCTTCTCGAAGCCATGCCTGACAACACCTAACCACAGTGTCTACACTTCTTTGCACTCTAACAGCAATTGCCCGAAAAGAAAGTCCAGCTTCCCGAAGTCCCACTATACGACCCCTATCAAACTCACCAAGTTGACGAAATCGTACAGGTCTCCGTACTCTAGGCATCGTAACCGATCGTAGAGGATGTCAAGAACCAAAATCCGCCAACGTTGATTCTTTACTGCGGCTGAAATATTCATTTTTAGAGCTTTAGTGAATTAAAAAAAAGCAGTATAAAAACCGGAATGTCCAACTGATAAGGCTAAAAATTTTGTCACTTTTATTAAAATAAAACCATTTAAACTGGGTGTTCGGATTTATATGTCACTTACTATGTGTGATGTGTGAAACATTCAATGCGATATCGAATTATTGTGAGATACATGCTGACAGTTTGAACAGCATTCTGGGAGTAGCTAGAAATTGCTTAAATAGTTTATACGTTTCTTACTTGAGTGAAATATGTTTTTTTGCTTCTTTTTCTTGTTCGTTTTTTTTGCTTTAGATGAAATCTTTTGGTTATTTTGATTTATTTTAGGATTGTCCTGCAACTGGTTTCCTCAACTGTTGGGTAATCAATGCTATTTATTATTATTATATGTACACAAATATACTTAAATCATCAACGGCTATACCCCATTTACGCCCAGACAAAACACAACATGCCCAAAAGCGGGATTGTACAGGTCCGTATTTTCCTCAATGGTCTTGGAATAATCTAACAAAATAAATGATTATTTTTATAGAAAGAACTGGACATACTTTTCACAACTTGCTGGAAGTACTTGAATCATCGTCCGAAAGGTTAATATTAATTATTATCTTTGTTTAGATGTTCTATTGTTCGAAGCCACATAGTTTTTTATATTTGCCCAAACCATTTCAATGGGATTTAATCCGCAGCGATAAAGGGGTAGCATTAAAACGGTCTTATTTTGGTTTTTAGTCATTTCGTCAATAACATTAAGATTATATTCATATTTGTGCTACCTGACTAGATGGATAAGTTCTGCTTTGACCATATTTTCATTGAAACTAATGCCTTTTGATAGGATCCTTTCTTGTGGACATTGTGAATTTTTTCTAGTGTGGTATGCAGCAGTGGCGGCTCGTGCCAATTCCGTGAGGTAGTGCCAGAATGGAAGCCATAATTTTGAATCGATTCAAAATTGTAAAGAATAACTTATAACTTACCCCTGATAGTTAGTGGTCAAAGTTCTTGAGGTTCAATAAATCTATATGTCCAAAAAAAAATCAAAAATAAAACTATTTACACACGCGCACCAAATTATAAAACAAGTGTGGAGAAGTACCTATAACTATAGTTTTCTATATATGAGGTCCATTCTTCTTTCTTTTTTGGTAGCAAAGTTTTCGATTACCTTATTATTAAAATATTCAATGCCACTAACAAAATGTTTTTCTGCAGACAGCATTCCTAAAGCACTAAGCCTTTCTTCCTTCATTGTGTTTCTGAGGAAAGTTTTAATCCGTTTCAGCATTGAAAAAGAGCGTTCTGCTTCAGATGTTGACATCGGTATAGTGATTAAAATACTTAAGAGCTTAAGAGTTTCTTGAAACGTACAATTTAATCCTTCCTCGTTCAATAAAATGGATAGTGGAACAGCTCCAGAAGTAGTACTCAATTCTTCTCTCTGATATAATACTTGTAACTCAGTTTTAAGCCTGTTTTTGTCTAAAAATGAAAATTGTGTGCATGTGTCATTTAAATGTGCTTCAGGAAACTGATGTTTATAAACAGAAAACTTTTCAGACACAAATAAATTAGAAGCAACTAAATGTCCAGAAAAGTTAAATCTTGTTCTTATTTGCGATAATACTGCATCGCATATTTCTAACGCTTCCCGTTTTTTGCTGCCTTCTTCAACTTGCCTTTTTTTTCTTGCCGGTTCATCAGTTTCTCTCTGCACTCGTTCAATCTCGTCAATAATGCTATCCATTTGTTCTCGTATAGTTTGAATTGCTGCTTCAAAATTCTCTAAATCATTTTTGACCTTAACAGAATCGGTGCGTACTTTTTGTAATTGGTTAAAGACAATTTCAACATGTGGCATTATTTTATGGAAAATACTTAGCCAAAATACAAAATTTGTATCTTGCAGCTTTAATTTGTACCCACTGGCTTGATTAATCGACGAAGAATCGCGTGAAGTACTTTCTATATTGTCCATAACTTTAATCAGGTCTTTCCTATTTTCATAAACTGTATGAACACCTCGTGACTGAAAATTCCAACGTGTTTGGGAAGATCTTGGCAATCTGCGATTAACTATTTCATCCAAAATTTTTGTTCTTTGAGGAGACGTCGAAAAAAAAGAGCACAATCCAGATAAATTATGGAAAAATATTCTAGCCTGCTTATTGACAGAGCATGCGCTTGTCATAATTAGATTTAACTGGTGTGCATAGCAATGAACATAATTTGCAAGTGGATAAGTTTCCTTAATAATTTTTTGAACGCCATTCAATTCACCACTCATAACAGACGCACCATCATGGCTTTGAGCTATTAATTTGTTTGGATTTTGATCTAGTAATGGATTTGCAACATTTAAAACGCATGCAGCGATTGATTTGGCATCGTGTCCGTCGGGGACGTAAAATCTCCAAAATCTCTCAACTGGTTGTCCATTACACAAATATCTGAAAATAATAACTAACTGAAATTCACAGGCTACGTCCGTCGTTTCATCGGCAATTACTGCAACAAAAGGAGAATTTGCAATCTCCTTCTTAACTTCTTCATGATAAACATCTAGCATGCACTCAAGAAGCTCGTTTTGAGTTGTTTTTGAGCTACCCTCAAAAAGTTTGGCACTTTGAATATGGACTTTCAATTCGTTGTCTAATTCGGCGCTAAAATTCACCAGCTCCTTAAATATGCCTCTGTTTTCCGAATTTTCCTTTTCATCATGACCCCTTAAGGCTAACTCAAATGCTCCACAAAACCTTATACAATTAATAATTTTATTCAATACATATCGATTCTTATCCACTTGATTATTATATTTAATTAGATCATTGCGATAAGCCGAATTGAGTTGAGTCCTTATATTTAATTTACCAAGAATAGAAAAGCTAAAAACATTATTCATATGGACTTTAGATTTTTCGTGGGTCTTCATTTTATCCCATATATGTATAAGATCGTCTGTACCTTTTTTTGACCAAGTCTCGTCACCTCCAAATAGAACACATACAAAACAAAATAGTTTATTCGTTTCTTCACAACCACATATACAGCTGTTTTTATCATACACATTTTTATTAAATTTGCGACAGCGCGATTTTTGTCCGCTACCACTTTGTTTCTCAATTTTTAAATCGGGTATTGGCCGTCCTAATTCTTTAATTTGCAGTTTTTGATCCAGCGAAAAACCACTAAGTGAGTTTTTTAATATCCCGATTTTATTCATTTTCACTAGTTTTAATAAAACAGTAAAAAATATGATCACAAAACAGAGCAGTTCATTAACACTAGACGTACAAAAACAAAAACGTTATTTCTCACTTTTCAGGTAAAAAAAGACCGAAATCAGCACTAGACGTAATCATAACCAAACGACCGACCGAACAAAAACACCGCCGATATCATTTGATAACGAATTACGACTGATGATGTGCCTGGCACAAATTATACTTGTCTTTCGCTATTCACCTCATATAAACATGTCATGCGTAGCGTTATCTCTGTCGCTCGTATGCGATGCTGGTAAAATTTCTCTCTTTTTATTTGGACCGGCCCTAAATTGGCACAAGTTGATGACGTCAAGGTCAAGGCATGCTCGTCTCGTCGCGTCGGTCGGGTGCTTGCGGTGTTGTCACGTTGTCAGTGTTGTCACTTCATATAATTTATACCAAAAAAAATGAAAAAGCAGAAAATAAAGTAAAACATTGAAGATTGAAAAAAATATTCTTTTTGAAGAAGACAAGGTAGTGCCATGGCACCGTGGCACTACCTCACGAGCCGCCACTGGTATGCAGCATTATCAAGCACAATTCTTTTTTTTTAATATATTGGCTTTTTGATCTAGCTGTATTATTAATTTGATTGTTTTTTTTATATACTAGGATTATGTGTTGCTCTTGTTTTCTTTTTGAACTATTTCCTGTAATTGGGTGATTCTACCTGTTGGAACTAAAGATCCATCTATCTAAAGATCCATCTATCTACAATTATGGCATTGTCGTCGAGCTTCAAATGAACTCTCGTCCATTTCTTCATGGTCGTTTTCCTTGACTCAAATGCCCATAGGGCAGTAGGCACAAAGCCATCTTCACTGCTAATGTGACAGATAACAATTCCGTTTCCTGCATTTATCCAGGTTTCATCCGAGTAATAAATCTTCCCGCCCTGATCGCGGTATTTATTTATTGATCTTAAATAATTTCTTCTCTATAAAATAATCTCTTGGCTGTCCATCAAAATGGAGTTTTTTGAGTAAACTATAAAATGTGGTCTTTTTGAAAGTAGGTAAGTCTTCATCACTATTAACCTCCTGTAATACTTTGTCTATGGTGGGAAGTTCTTGCCTTTCAAAAACTTGATGGACTTTGTGTGTGATGCCATTTCGATCAAAGTTATCAACTGTATCCCACAGCTTCGTGTATTGCAGTCTCTTGTGTGGTGAAGACAATTTTTTGTTTTTTTTTATATTTATCAACAATGTTGAAAATTGAATTTTCATTTCAGGATGCTGAAAAATTGCTCTCTTAGAAACGTTAAGGACAATTTCTTTTGCCTGAATATTCAAACGTCGCTTCTTGTAACGTTTTCGGGGAGGAGTCTAAATCGCTTTCCTCAAAAACGGTTCATGCTATAGGTATCAAACAAAAAGTACATCAAATGATCAGGCTTTTTAAAAGTGTCATCGTAGAGATATACAAAAATGTAGAAATACTGCGTTAAGGCTAATTAGTCCCGACAATTTAATGTAGTTTTTATATGGAAACAACCATTTTGTTGAATTATTCTAAATGGTTAAGAAGTTATTTCAGGATAACCAAATTTCAACGTCGTCTTCGATTTGAGTGGGAATCTCCTTACGAATATTTTTGAGAAGCCTGTTACATTGTTTTTTGAGCTCTTGTTAAATTCGAAAAATCCTTGGACAACCATAATGTGTTTGAACATTTACGGATTAGCCGCTGAACATTTATGTATATTTTTCAGTTCAACTAACAATAATCACTGAAGTAAACTCAAGGCCCTTATAACAGGAGAGTTGTCAATTGAATATACAGAGACCCCCTCTGAGTTTCTCCATACCTGTCGTTTATTCATCATATCAACATGCCGAATGATCACAAATTTCAGTCCGAATTAACTTCTTTTTCCATATAGACTCTATTATTCAATCAAGAATCTAATAAAACCCGTATCCAAAAGATATTACCTTATCCGTCGGATCATCATTTCTCTTAGCATTATAGCAGAACTCAGCAATAGCCACGGCAACAGCAACTGCCAATCCAACTACTAAAACCACAAACACCCCACCGATGCTCTCAACTCCAAGAGAGTTCGCTTTGGAGGTGTCCTTGCCCTTGTCAGATCGTTGGCAGGTGTCTCCGGTTTTCTTCCACCATTTGTCGTACAGCATCTGAATCTCGCCCTTTTCCTGCATCTCCAGGATTGCTAGGGAGATGCGATCTCGCCATGGGCTGCCCATTGGCGTTGCTATGCCGTAACCTAAGAAATTGATATTTAAGATTTTATAAACAACTAACTGCACCGTAGACTTCGCACGCTTAAAACTGTTGAAATAATTGAGTTTTTGAAATTGACACCAAATCGACACCTAATTTTACATCTACTACTAAAAAGTTTAATATACAAGCGCTGTCTCAGGGAAGTTGACCGAACTACCAAAATTACGTTTTTTATGAAATTTGTCATATTAAGGGAAAGGTATTAAGAACTAAAATGTATTTCTGATAACATACGATATTTTTATTTAATATCAGCCTAAAATACTAATTTTTTTGTAACGAAGAGAAAAATTCAAAAAAACTGCCAATTAATAAAAGTCAACGAAACCAAGTAGCAGCAAATCACCACTGCGTTACATTGCTTTTTCGACTGATTACTACGCCGATACGTTTTGACATAGTATCAACTAATGTTTGGCAGTCATGTGGAGTAAAACTGCTCCAAATTTCTTGGAGCGGGTTCGCAATTCTGGAGCGGTTCTTGCAGGATTCGATCGGCACGGGTATCACGTAAAAAACCTACAACACGTCAAAAAAAACCTAAGATGTCAACTTGCAGACTAGGTAGCTTTTAGGGCGCAAACAGTGATTCCACGTTTGCTCACTAGGATCGTTGTGAACGTCCATTTATGAAAGAATCACTCAACTAAACTATACACGCCTTACTGGTTGCATAGCTTTGTGAGGCTGAATGATCCGCGTCTGTAGTTTTTATCTCTGAGAAGAAAGTTGGTTGAATAACAAGATCGCATCTGGATGATTATGTGTATTGATCTGCATGTCTATAGAATCAGTGATATTTGCTGTGTGAGAAAATCATTACTGAATATGCTGAATAGACGGGTTATATATATGTTGTGCTTTCTGAAGAGAGGTTATGTTCAAAGTTATAAATTACGAAAAACTGAGGAGAATTACGGGAAATCATCGCCGTGGCCGCGTTGTGGGCAATTACTGTTAGCATGTATATGGCTTGTAATTCGACAGTGTACAGTGAATATAATTATTTCTTATCTCCCTCATTTTTGAAAGTCAACAAATTTGTATATGCAATTTCCAGAATGGATAAGAAAAAGTGGATGCGCATCTAATTTCTAGCTTTGAATCTCAATTAAGTGTATTTGAGACAAGAACCCAATGTAATTATCATCAACGCATACAAGTTACAGCTTAGACCTCCAGTAATGCCATCTCGGAAGCAGATTTTACATCACATCAGAGCCAAAGATTGATAACAAGCCTCATGACGCTCAGGCAACACGTACAACTACGTGCTAAGTCAACGTCTTGGCGAAAAACCTACATAATGTCAAAAAATCGGCATAATGTCACTTTTCAAGATACGTGATACCCGTGCGGAGCTTCATGATATACCACAAGGTTTCAATTCGCGTTAGATCTAGACTACTCGACGTCCATTTCTAAACTGAAATATTGTTTTACGACACCCAATCTTTTACTATTTTAGCCCTATGGCAAGTGGCACCATCTTTTTGGAAGATGCATTCACTATTGATTAAACGCATTTTGTTCAATTTGGGGTATTAAGTTATTTTGAAATACATTAATGTACTTATCAGCATTCATAATACCTTCCACGTAATAAGTTTCCACTTGCTGACATGGATCCCATATCATTATTTATCTTTGGAACAGAGATGTTATCCTAAGGTTTGGAAAAAATCTCGCATTACTCCTGTTTTCAAAAAAGGTGACCGAAATAATATCGAAAACTATAGAGCTATTGTGATCCTAAGTAATATTGCTAAAGTATTTGAATCTGTTGTTCACGAAATCATATTCACTCATGTGAAACACATCATCACTCCACATCAGCATGGCTTTTTTCCTGGTAGATCGACTACATCTAATCTTGCATGTTTCAAACAGCATGCTGCTGAAATTTTAGATACTTGCGGACAGATTGACGTTATCTATACGGATTTCTCAAAAGCATTTGACAGACTTGACCATGGAGTACTAATACAGAAGCTTTTAAGATGTGGCATATCACTTGGATTCGCAAATTTCCTCAGATCTTATCTGTTGGACAGAATACTTTTCGTTGAGTACCGTGGTTTTAGGTCTGTCAGTGTTTCTGCGACATCTGGGGTGCTCCAGGGCTCCGTCCTGGGTCCGCTATTATTCGCTATATTTGTGAATGATCTCAGTGGCCAACTAAATTGTTGCAACTTATTGTACGCAGACGACTTGAAATTATTTTCTAGAATTGCCACAATTGTCGATTGTGTGAAGCTTCAGGATGAACTAATACGTCTGTATGAGTGGTGTTGCCTGAATCAGCTGTATCTGAATATTACAAAATGCCAGACTATGTATTTCACAAGTAAGCAGAATATAATTGGTTATGCTTATCACATAAATGGTCAAGTCTTAGATGGTTGTTCCATTGTGAGGGATCTAGGTGTTTCTTTCGACCCACAGTTAACTTTTGTGCAACACATTACTGAAATTGTAACCGGTGCGCACAAGACGATGGGTTTCATACTTAGGTGTGGCAAGAGCTTCAATAATGCTAAAACTCTTTTATTGTTATTCAATGCGTTTGTTAGATGTAAGCTCGAATACTGTAGTATAACTTGGTACTCTGCATATGATGTACATTCGGACAGCATTGACAAGATCCAGCGACGTTTTGCTAAATATTTATGGTTCAAGGAAGATGGGATTTATCCTGAGGCTGGATTTCGCAATGACTTATTGATCAGTAGATTTAAAATGGTAAATTTATCTAAGCGCAGAAATTACTGCGCTGTGGTTTTCTTATATAAAATTTTGAACAACACAGTTGATTGCCAGTTTCTTTTAGAAAAGCTGTTATTACACTTACCGTACCGAAACATAAGGTTTAACAATACCAATTTCTATTTACCTGTGCCTCGTACCAATGTGTTACTTTTTTCGCCATTATATGTAATGTGTAACAACTATGAAAAAGTAAAGAATTTAGTAGACATTTTTCATTGCACTATATCACTATTAAAAAGGTCGTTTTTGACTGTAGCTTAAGAACTCATTTAGATGTAATGTGTGTAATGTACTTGATACGTTGTTTATTGATTTTTTTTCTTTTTTTTTGTATTTTGTATATTTTCTGTTCGTTAAATGGAATCATCTGTTCGAGCAGTGTACTACGCGCAAATAAATAAAAAAATAAATAAATAAATAACAGAAGTCGGAAACTCAACTTTTTTTTATGTTGAATCACTTCTTTAGTTCTTATGACATGACTCCTGCTATCAACAACGCATACCTCAAATCTGCCTTCGTCACTCCAACATTTTATTTAATTGTTATTTAATAATGGAGTTCCATTGGTTCGCAGACTATAATTTGTGTTCTTCGGCCCACGCTAGTCTGTTTTTCTTCTGAATCTTTGTCATTAAGGGCTTAGAAATACTGAATAATAAAAGCCTGCCTAGTAAGTTTTAAATCCCAGTTTTTGGGTATCTCTGTGACAAGTTGCTCTGGAAGGCTTTTTGGAGTTGCCTAATTCCGCAATATTTTCAATTCGTTATAATTAGCAGGCCGATTTTCGTTGATAATCCGTTTTAAGGCTCTTAAGTTGGTATTGGAATAACGGGGGCGACTTCCAGTTCTGGGTTTTTGAGCCACAGATGCCGTTGTTTTGTACAATTTAGTAATATTTCGAACTGTATACCTCGATTTGTTAACACTTTCAGCGATTTGGGAAGTGTTTTGGAAATGCAAGTGAATGATCACTTTTCTTATTTCGTCAGAAACAGCTTTATCGCGAGCCATTTTTAATTGTTAACAACAACTCCAATGCATCGAAAATTGATTTAAACGTCAAACATCAGCTTCTTAGCATCTTAAAATGTTATTATTTGTTTTACAAAGCCTATTTTTATTTTATCGAAACGAATAAACAGACCTTTCAACTTAAGTTGTCTCCATTGTGCATTTTGCTATAAACAAATCATTTTGCAAAGAAGACAATTTCGAAATAAAAAAGCTTTGAAAATAGCCACGTCGGATTTGTTATCTTTCCATAAACATTTAAAGTAATCAAAAATATTATATTTGAAATAAAATTTTAATTAGCTCTCAAATAAGTTCACAAACATAATGTTTTTGGGCGTTGGGCCAACTTCACTGTGACAGGGCTCGTACTTAAAATTATGTCTGCCTGTAAATCACGTTTCGTCCATGTCACAAAATCCATTCTCATTTTAGGTCTACTCCGTCTTTAGTGCATTGTCAACTTTAGGTACCTAGCATTATTTTCAAATAAATTCGCCAGTACGCATGCTCCCATAATACGGTCCTGTCGGAAAATCCATTCTTAACTTCTGCTTATAAACCACCTGCCTGCCGAATCATCTCCAGTAGAAAAACAAAAGACATTGACACAAGCTTGTAAATGCCTATATCTCCCTTTAAGAATGCCTCGCAAAATCCACACTCAGCTGAGGTGTCCTTCCACAAACTATCTTCCTGCCAAAGTTTATATTCATAGGACAAACAGTTTTCAAGATTTCATGAGTAATATTTTTGAATAAAGCTGCCCTTAGCCCCCTTAATCCAGGCCTGCCGCCAAACCCGTTCTAAGCTGACGTGTCGCCCTTGTGGCGTTTATGTCATGTTCCTCAGTCCACTGGCGGATTTAGAGGGGGACGCGCCCTAGACGTCTGACATTTGGTTTTGCACACCATTGTGTTACTTTCTGTCATGGCTATATCTATTGATATTTTTACCACCTGATGATATAGTAGACGAGCTTGATTGTGTCAGTACTTGCACCATTAACTTGATTTGTTTAATGGACAGTTCAGAGTCTTCATCCTTAAGCTTATTACATACTAGTAGACTCCGTTGCGCAATTTGTCTATAGGCAGTCTGGAGACGGTCTCAAGACACGATCGATAGATGGTCTACAGACATCCTTCTTTGTCTTGTTTAGCGTCCATACGATAATGTGAATTTTTGGCCTCATGTTCGTTTTCGCAATCAAAGACATTGTTTTGTGTGGAATGGACTAGGATATGTCTCTGGGTCCCTCAGAATGTTCAATTTTTTTTTTCGGTTAACAGAGCAATGAAGTTTTTTATCTTTGAATCTTTAATATTATTATACTAGTTAATTATAAATGCCACGTACTTATTTTGTTCTCATATTAATATAATATTGGCTTTCTGAGGATTTCTGAGCAATTTCCATTTTTTTTCAAGCTGGCCTTGACCAGATAGAACACAATGGATTTAAGGAGCAATAATAGGATAAATTCTAGAAGTTCCGCCGAGGTTAAAAAATGTCCAGCCCCAAATATCGTTTGCGCCCCCCCCCTAGACGAAATCCTGAATCCGCCCTTGCATCAGTCAAATAGTTTTCGTGATAAATTTTTATAACCTTAACTTGACAAGTTATAAGGTGTCGTATAGAAATATTCAACCCTCTATCTCATCTTAAGCATATCGTTTTAGGAATTCTTTATTAATACTTTTTTATCTTGCACAAAACATACACCTACTTGTAGGTTGGCCTAATTTGAATACTCTACGTTCTTCATCAGTATTAACTCCCACTTTACCCCTTGGGGTAAACTAAATGTAGAAAATTAATATTTGTATCTCTAAAGAATAATAGTTTTCGATAGTAACTTTCACTCCCTATTTTAATCCCTCCAAGTTTTATTTTCGCAGCAAAGGGTAGCCTATGTCCGTCTACAGGGTCTAATCTATATCTACGCTGAAATTCTTCAAAATCGGTTTTGCCTTTTTGGCGTGAAAACGGAACGTACAAACAAACATACACATTTTCGAATTTATAATAAAATGCAGTAAATGCACGATGCAAATACCCTATTTACGAGTATATACCCTTACTCATTTGCGTCGGACCAGCGACTGGGCGCTTCCGCGCCGGATACCTCATTTCAAAATTCATGAAGCCGTTTGGGCTGTAGCCCGTGAAATAGATATTTATCATTAGTAGTTCTGTAAAATACGATAGCAAAATCGACCACTGCGAGAGCGGATAACACCTATCGGTTGAAACTTTAAAGGTATCATAGTTCGCATCGAAAGCGGAGTCATCACTGTGACCGCTTGATGCCGTCGATTCTCGCGATACCGTAGATGTGGTCTACTCGCTATTGAAAACTAATAAGTCTGCTTTCCTCCGTTCGATCAATCACGGTTGGGGCTATATGTGGTCTGATGGGAGAAAGAAGTATCATTAATACTGTAAAAGTTGAATTTTCGTCGATGATCCCAAGCGATTAAACGAAGTATCTCCACATCCGCTCAGGAAAATATTTTAATTTGATCTTATTCAAAAAGGAGTCTCCATGTTGCCAGACCCAAAACTACGTTAAAAATTGTTTAAGCAATGTTTTCAAACAAATTTCAAAAATAGATATTTTTAGATATTTTGGGTCATTTCGAACAAAAAGGGTTTTAATGAACTTTTTTCTAAAGTTGATAGTTTTCGAATATTTGGTCTTGACAAACTGAGTACGGCCTGCCTAGATAAAATTGCAATTTCAACAGCAGAAATGCTGCTTACATGTATTTTTCAGGGATGATGCCTCACTTCTCGATCGTGTATTAAAAAAACATTTAAAATTCATACGTTTAAGTTTTCTGATTTTTCCTTTTTTCTAAAGTTGATAGTTTTCGAGATCCATTGAACATTTGTTCTTGACAAACGGGTATGGCCTGCCTAAATAAAATTGCAATATTAATAGCAGAAATGCTGTCTACATGTATTTTTCAAGGATGATGCCTCACCTTTCGATCGTGTATTAAAAAACATTTAAAATTCATGCGTTTGAGTTTTCTGCATTTTCCGCTTTGGAAAGTATCTAAAAAAACTTTATTTTTATTCTGGATAGCGATAGAACGTAACCATATATTATATAATATATAAGATTACCGACAGACAGACGAACAGAAAAATGGAAATGAGTGACATGGTTTTTCGTGATTTACATGTCATATAACATCCAAAAAACATAATATCTTATTTTCGAAAAAATTTCGAAAATAACAATAGTTCCCCGCTAGTAGAAGTGGGAAGTAAAAAAGCAAAATTTGCCATTTTCGACTGAGAAAAACAATACGAAAAACAGAAAATTTAAGTTCCTAAATAGTATTCAAACATGCATTACCAAATCCCAAAACATCTTATGGGACATTGTTATTGTTAACCTTTATTTTTTTTAGGGTTAATTATCATAAACGTGCGCTCAATGTTTGTTCTGTCCCGCCGCCACTGCATCCCTTCTGCTCTTCGCAAAATTTACAATGAGCGCGCGCTTGATTAACAATTAAAAAACAAAGGCTTACAATAACAATACCCTCTAAAATTAATTGGATTTTTGTTAATGGCTGTTTGAAGAAATTTCGAACATTTAGCAAAATGAGTTAAGCAATTATTGAAATTTCTTCGGAATGTAGCTATTTCGAAAAAACACTGTTATCTTGGAAATAAAGCACTAATCGGCCGATGTTTAAGCCTTTCACCCTAGACTCGCTTAAGTAATCACCGTTGCATGCATATTAACACCCTGCATAAACAACAACAAAAGACTTTATTAGCAAAATTGAATTATATACTTACTTTTTGAATCCAGTAGTCCACCAATTTGCGTCAAATTGCAGTTGCGTTGTACTACATAGTCCAGCATGGTAGACTCCATGAGAAAGGCATAGTTTCCCTCCAAAACTCTTTTTATTCCATCTTCGTACGTGGATACAAATACTGAAGGTTTCTTACTTTCCATGTACCTCCACATTTTCTTGTAAGTCTCTATCATAGAGTCCTTGAACAAAACATTCGTAAACGTAACATATGTGGTCCTCATTCTGACAGAACAACATCAGTAAAGAATAATTTTTTTATTTTTGTGGTTTCATTTGGCCAGAATAGAATCGAGTTCTAGAATTTACAAATCAGGTACAGATATTATTTTCTATTGCTCGGGAGATAATTTAAAAAAGAATCATATAAAGTCAAGTAGTGTTAAAACACTTAAATTATGATTAAATTTTTGTTCTGCGCTTCACAGAATTCAAGTACTTGTATGTTTTTTCATACACAATAAAGCAAATTTAATTCACATTTGATGATGAGATAGAAACAATCTCATAAACAAAAGGCAGGTCTTATGTATTCGGAAATGGTATTGCACCTTGCTGAAAACAAAATAAAATTCTGTTACATCTTTCTACTTTCACTTTTGGCTTATTAGATTTTTTTCTAGTGTTCCTTACCAATTTCACATCCTCTTACATCGGAATTTTATACCTATAGTATGGTTTTCCTTTAAGAAGCAAGTTACTTATATATCAAAATAATGTTTAAACCAAGATGTTTTCGTAGCTCCGATAACGAGAAATCATCAGACCATATTATTTCATTCCAATTAGCGAAACATATACCCTTCCGTCTTTTAAAAATGAGTTTAAAGGATATTCAGATGATTTACCCCTTGTTGACAATAACAAGCTTTATTTACAGCACGATGGAGAATTCCCTTAAAGCTCTATTGTCTTGAATAACGAAAATAATTTGAGCTTCGCAACTTTCTCATGTTTAGCCACGTAAATGCATAACTCGCTCAATTTGCGAGTGAATGACTCCACTTTTTGGCAGTCCGCTTACACTGTGACAAAATTTGAATGACTTTAAGCTGATACATTGGAAATTCTCTTCTTTGGAAATACTAAACTCCTGCAATCAAATCGGGCTACGCTAATTTCTTGCCAGAAGGCAAGGCAAAGCCGAGCTTCGGCTTTTATCAAAATCTTTGGTGGAAGATCAGACAGAACTGTGGGTTGTTTTATAAGAACGAAGTATGTGTTCTTCTTTCTATTTCTTATAAGGTATACTCCGGTTTTAATGCAATATGGAATCGATACTTGCTAAAATAAGATAAAACATAATAATTGGATGATTATGAGTAAGAATACGTAACTTCTTGGAAGATCTTCAAGCACTAAACACCGCTGTTGTCTTCATCCTATGGGGTGAGGATAAAAATCAATTTTACAAACCATTGGTAGGTAGCGATCGACAGATTTCCCACCTATTTGCACACAACATGTAAGAGTATAACAGCCGAAGCCAATGCCTAATATTTGGCCCAACCCTATTAATAACACACCAGGTCTGTAAATTAAGTAATTACACTTCTTTTGGGTTTATTTATTCAAATATAATTACAATTTTATATTGTTGCCCCCAAGATAACTTCGTTCTGAAGCCACACAGCGCTGGAGACGTTTCGTCCACTCCTCATGGGCCTTAGACAGCAGCGGTGGCCGCAGTAGTAGACTCTTCGGTCTCCTGATCAGTCGCCGTGCGCTGTGTGGGTTCGAGTCCCGTCCCAGGAGAAATTTTTCTCTTGGCTATGGATGTTGTGATTGTCCGTAGGTGGTAGACGGTCTCTGACTATCGAACGTGGAGGTACCACCCGGCGGATCTCGTAGGCGGAGCCAGAATGTGTGCATGTTGCATGCACACGTGTTCCCTCGCTAGAGTCCGTGTGGCGTTCCCCCTTTCCCCTGTATCCCCCGATAGCCCCACGGTACCCCAAGGGGTGTTTAGGTCTTAGGCCTTCGTGGTAGTTGGAGTATAAAAAAAAATGGCAGTACTAGAACTCCAATACTGAAGTAACCTTCAGCTGATCGGTTACAGCCATTTAAATGTATTCACTTGTCCCAAAATAAATTTTCTTGAGATGATTTTCCAACTTCGGGAAGAGAAAAAAGTCACAAGGAAAGTCAGGCGAACAAGGAGGCTGAGGAGCTACAGGAATGTTTTGTTGTTCTTGATCTGATGAACAGTGGTGTGAGTTAAATTTAACTCTTCTCCGATCATTCTGTGGACCGACGATCTGAACGCACAAGATCCCGGATTCTGTCGATATTTGTACTGGTTTTTGGAGATGAAGGCCTTCTGCTTCGTGGTTCATCTTCAATCGACTCTTTTCCTTCTGAAAATGCCTTAAATCACCGAAAAACGCGGCCTCTTGACAAAACACTATCTCCGTAGGCCCGATGAAGTTTAGCAAGAGTTTTTGTTGTGCTGTGCCCAAGTCTAAGCAAAAACGTTGATCGAAATTGATGTCACCCATTTTTAGAACACAATAAAAAAAAACACTTTCACAAAAAAATCTCTACGGACAACCAAATTACTCGAGCGAGTTCAAACTTGTACTGAAGGCACATCTTCTCCTATCATCTCTCCAGGCCCGGTGCCTCCAGCCAGATCGACCGCTACGTTGTCAGTCTCATCAATTTACAAACCTCGTAGTTACTTACCCTGAAAAAAGTCATTGTAGATCCGCTCTCCAGCGTACCATATGGAATTTCAGTCTGGCTAGCCAAGTCCTCAGCATGCTCTATAGGGGTGATCATGCGTTCAACAGTGAGGAATGCAGCCAAATTAGCCGTGTACGAGGAGATTATTATCAGGGTGAAAAACCACCAGGTTCCACTGACTATTCTCGTTGACATGGCCTGCATGTAAAAAATATCTATTTACAATATTTACAAACATATTACCACATGAAAAATATGCTTTTTGACTTTAACTGTGATGATTATTGCCAAAGGAACAGGAGCAGAAATAAAAGGATTGGTAGTCCGAGCGACATACGTAAGGACTTTTGTGGCTTCGGTCAAAAGACCTCGTGTTTAAGAGGTATCAACCAACGTCGCCAAGGAGGCCTTTGTTTTTCATCTAAGCTTTAATGAAGCGCGAATCCAAGGGGGTCATGGGTGTCATTACCTCCTGAGCGAATCTAGTTTGACCACTAATATTTTTGACTTTCGAATCTCTCTATCTTCTTGCGAATATGCGATGGATACAAACGGGTAAAAAAACACCAGATTTGGCACCCTGATAAATTTGTAAGCGCATCGATGATGGCGGGGAAATAAGAGGGTTGTGTAAGTGTGGTTGCCTATACGTTTAGCTTATCGCAAATATAAATAAAATAGTGATTCTGCATTCTTCGGCTTGGAAGCACTGTATGTCCATTAGTGCATTATTGGAGATTGAGTCTCATGTGTTAGGTGATTAAGGTAGTTAATTGAAAATTCAGACGTTCGGGCAGGGAAAAAGTTTTTAGCGCGCGCCTTTAACGCTGTGAGAATATGATAAAAATACTTATTGACGGACAAAATTAGAGAAAAGCGGTTGCATTTGATTCAAAGGAGATGGTAAGTAGAAAGCATCATAGTTATCTAACCGTATGAGTTAAACATAAACAAATATGGTGCTTCATATATTTCTCTCTTTTTATTTGGTACGTAGCATTATGGTATTGTCTTAGTTTAGTCATGTACAGGGTGTTTCCCAAACATGGGGCAAGAATTCAATAGGTAACTGTTGCGACTATTCTGAAACTGTTGTATTTGATCCTCTCGGTTTGTGAAACACCTCTTGTTAGGGAATCCAAAGATTCACCGTTTTTTCTGTTTTTTTTTTAAATTCTCAGTTTTGAGCTACGCTATATTAGATCTCAGGCGACGATATAAGCCAACGAAAACTATTAACTCATTTAGTTCGCCAGAGATGGACTAGCCATAAACGCAACATATTGGTATTTTTTACACCTTTGTATAATAATGACTTAAAAATATTATTTTCAGAATTGGAATGTGCCTCGATAGTGTTGATTGTTCCATCTACATAAGTAATACGGTTGTTTCAAGAAATTTATTCATGTTTGATTTGGATAATACCAACCGTTTTTAAGAAAAAATATCCGTGGTTTTTCAGGTCGCTCATGACGGATCTGTTATGGAAATTACCAAATTTTCAAAACGGGAGAAGCAGTATTCGGTTCCATAATTTATAAAACTAAACTAAAATAATAAAATTGTTTTACTCCAAAACCCCACAGCGGATCATTATTTCGGAATCCCCCGGAGTCGAATATCCTCCTGAACTTGAATCTTGTGACCCCCTCCTGATACAAATGCCGAACCACCCTTGGTTTTAATGAATATAGCTCTCTCATTTCAGAGTTTTGAAACATTTGATCTCTTATTAGAACTACTTAAATAATTTACAATCCAAATTTCATTTTTAATTTAAGAAATGCGTTGGAGTTATTTTTGACAATAACACAGTGATTGTCGCTTACCCTTGGATTGAGGTCGGAGCCCTGTTGCATGAGCGTTCCAACGGCGAACCAAAACGAATTCGATAAAGTGAAATGCGTTTTCTTCGGAGTATCCTCTTCAATGGCAGTGCGCATATTGGGATGCTGAGTACAGTCCCACTCACAAGGAGAAAATCGAGCTACTACGAATAAAGTCACTGACACTAGCACATATGCTGTGAAGACGTATAGCCAGATGTGGGGGGCCAAGGGCTTCATAAACGAAAACAGCTTCGCCTGTTGACTCTCTGGTACCTACAAAATCAAGGAAAATTCAATATTATAATTGTAAATTATAAAAGTAGATTTAAACTAGATATTGTCAAAAAATATCCTTATAGCTAGGATATTTCAGATTTTATCAAGATTATTGGCACCAGACAACATAGAAATGACTAAGAATTCGTCTATTTTTTACTGTTAATAGAAAATGAATTTGCTTAGTGGTGGTCGCGTCAAGTAGTTCGCCTTGCCCACTTCTAGCGTCAACCAGTAGCTGCTACTGGTTGTCTATTTTGTGACAGCTGCAGCAGCTCTGAGGTCAATTTTACTACCCTAACGTTGCTGCTTATACCGCTCTGTCAATCACAAGTGCGGCAGCATTTCTGGGAGAGAGAGATAAATTGGTCACTAGACAGAAGCCGTTAACTACTTAGGTAACTCAAGGTAATTTTGTTTTTGACGCTGGTTTGATCCCACTATGCATTAGATATATTATAATTCCGAATTGCATTACATTATAGATATGATCATCACTGCCTTTGTCTTGAAAGCGGGTGCATAGGCCAGATTGTAAATATTCTATATATATATATATATATATATATATATATATATATAGAACGGCTACATATCCAAATTGAACCAACATCTTCACAAAATTAGAATACATTTTCTCACTCACATTTTTAATATAAAGTCACATAACCCATCTTTTCAAGGTTGTATCAATATCACACATTCTGTACTCATATGAACTACATACTTTTTTCCAAAACAAGTTATTTCAGCATTTTAGTAATTTTGGGTGGAAGTTTACCGAGCGTCCCTCGTATACTTCATACCAAAAGTTGGACAGGGAGGTTTACATTTCCACGGTCCGTCGCGTCAATCATTTGTCATCTGTCGACGCTTTACCTTTCCGTGCCTTCCCCCTCTCCACGTGTAGCGGTAGTAGAAGGTTAGGGACTGCATTCCGATTGTTTCAACAAAATGTCTCCTCGCGTGTAATATTTTTAACTTGTTCGGGTGTATTGATATTTTTTAACTTTTAATGAAGGTATCTGTCGTTTTTCAACGAGCCCGATGTCCCGTCCTTTTGTTTTTATACTGATCACAAGTTCGATCTTCTCTACGTTCGTTCTGAAACACCTTGTGGCTGCTACCTCACCGACGAGTAAGTTGTCTGACATTTTAAATCTGTCCTGTTTTCTTTGCTAGCATCACAATTCTGTTTTCAGAATCCTGATGAAGGCTCCATAGAGAATGCCGAAAGCTTGATTTTATCTCAAAAGGGTCAACTTAAGCCTAAAAGTTTTGCCAATTTCCCAATTAACAAGTAATTGTATTTTGTACCCAACTGGTCGTTGGCTTTGGCAATGACTACTGCTCATATATATATATATATATATATATATATATATGTCATGGTGATGCGCTGGGTATATATGCTTGGATCATTCAGTCAGTTTTATAATTTATGTAAGACTAGCGTATCTAGAAACCAGCAATCAGCTAGATTCAAGGTCTGTCGCAAAGTAAACAGAACTTTTGAAAGATATCCGCTACAGGTTAGGTTAGGTTTCTTGTGAGTGCATCAATAACGATCCTCCACTGCGACTCTTTGGTCTATTGTGGCTCACACCTATTTATATTTCCCCCAGTAGCTCCGACATCTTGAGAAAGTCGAAAAATTTGTTTGGAGACTTATCCGTCAGGTTTTCAGCTTGGAGTACTACGTCTCCAAGTATGTTGTACCTGATTCTGGCAATTGCAGGGCATCTGCACAAAACATACCTGACCGTTTCGTCCCCCTCCATGTGCAGTCTGCACTCAGCGTCTTCCGCCAAGCTCAGCCTACTCATGTGGTAACGCAATTTGCAATGACCCACTGGTCTGTACACTACAGTCCTACTAGAGCCTGGAGGCTATTCCTGTTAAGCAGTAGCAAAGAGTCTGTTACCTTCTTTGTCAGGATCGGTATAGTTGCCATAGCATGGGTATTTTTTGTTTAGCCGTATTGTATGCGATCCCAGTCGCTGGCTCAGGCCCTATGAAGAGTGTGCTAGCCCCACTCTTTGCCAGAGTGTCAGCTGTCTCGTTTCGCTCTAGACCTGTCTGTCATTGTATCCGTATGAGACGGACTTCATTCTTCTCCCCTATCCCACAGAGAGCTTCTTTGCAATTCCACACCAATTTCGATGCCGAGTAGGTGGAGTCAAGTATAGTATAGTATAGTTCTGTGTCTCAGATGTCGTTCTGTGATCATTCTGCCACACAGTTCTATAGCATATAGCTCTGCCTGGAAGATCGATGCCCAGGTTTCTAGGCTAACAGATTTTTTTAATCTTTAGCTTCGGCACGGAGATACCAGCTCCCACACCTACCTCGGTCTTGGAGCCATCTGTGTTTGCACAGATATCTTTCCTTATCAGGTTAACTTGCTGTTTCCACTCATTCCTGTGAGGAATTGTCACTGAGTAGGGTTTAGCATATCTTGTTATCTTTGGCATTATATCAGAAGGCATTCCCAGACTCTGGTGGTTTTGTAAGTTCACCAGCATGTCCGTCTCCTCCATAGTGATATTGTCCATTATACCATTATATAGTCTATAAGATGTTCTTCTTGCCTCGCCTTCCAGGTATATGTGCAAGGGGGTAAATTAAGGCACCAGTGATCAACATACAAGGTTCTCTCTCTATTGCGCTCAGCTTGGCTTGGAGAGTTGTTTGTGCTGCCTTGCCCCACCAAACTACAGATCCATAGGTTATCATAGGTTTAATGAACATTTGTTTAGGCTTCATTCCTCAGTTCTTTCCACAGACCCTTCGGCAGTTCCATAGCGAGATCCTTGCCTTCTTAAGGACTGCTTCCAGATTCGAATTCCAGTTTAGTGTATTATCTAATATTATTCCTAGATACAGGGTGGTCCATAAGTCCTTTGAAATTTCAAATTTGAATAAAATTTAACGGGTGAGCGTGAGCGGCGCGGGCGAGGTGGGGACAGTATCTTCAGTGTCTGGGAATTCAGTCGCCATGGAGTGTTTCACTGGAGCGGATCGTGCTTTTTGTGTGCGCGCGTTTTATCAAAATAATGATTCGGCAACCATTGCGCGGCGTAAATATCGAAAATACCACAATTTACACAATTTTACAAAGTGTCCAACAGCTCAAACGATTAAGAACTGGGTTGCTAAGTTCGAAGAGACTGGTTCGACGTTAGATAAACAGCGATGGGGTCGACCAAGGACAACTCGTATTGAAGAAAACATCAACATTGTGGCACAGTCTGTTCGTCAAAATCCTACCCAGTCTACTCGTAAGCGTTCCAGTGCACTAAACGTACCCAGAACATCTTTACAGCGGATTTTAAGGAAAGATTTACGTCTGCACGCTTACAAAATTCAGTTAGGGCAGGAATTAAAAGATAATGACGCTATTCAGAGACTAAACTTTGCGAATGAAATGTTGAATCGATTTTCTTCGCTCAATAATGTGTTGTTCTCGGACGAGGCTCACTTCCATTTAAACGGGCATGTAAATAAACAAAATTGCCGTTATTGGAGCCCCCAAAATCCAAGGCGTAAGCATCAGAAGCCCTTACACAGCCCTAAAGTTACAGTTTGGGCTGCTATGTCAGCGCATGGCATCGTAGGCCCTTATTTTTTTGAGGACGACAGAGGTCGCGCATTAACTGTTACTTCGGAGCGGTATGTAGCAATGATAGAAGAGTTTTTGACACCAGCGTTGCAGAATTTTCCAGTCTATAATACGCAGACCTGGTTTCAACATGACGGAGCAACTGCCCACACCTCCAACACTTCTATGCCCGTCGTCTGTCAACTTTTTCCTAGCAAAGTAATTTCTCGAAGAGGAAACATTTCCTGGCCACCACGTAGTCCAGATTTGACCCCAATGGACTTCTTTTTATGGGGCTAACGAAGAGTAAAGTGTACGACACCACTCCGCGATCAGTTGATGTCCTGAAAGAAAATATCCGAAGAGAAATGGCAAGCATTACAGTGTTGACTTGCCGCGCAGTCATCGACAATTTTAGACGTCGTTTATATGAGTGCCGTGATTGTAATGGATTGCATTTAGACGATGTGATTTTTAAAACATAATTCCCATTCAATAAAGATGATAACAAAATATAATAATTCTTCATAATGTAACTAGTTTGGTTTTATTCCTTTTTTTCCAGCTCAAAGGACTTATGGGCCACCCTGTATTTTGCCTCTTTTGCAAATGGTACATTTGTACCTTGGTTTGTTGGAGGTTTAATCCCATGCAGTTTTCTATTTCTGGTGAAAGGCACGATCACCATTTCTTTGCGGATTGATTGACATTCCTTCCCCTTCGCACCAATCCGCTACTGCGGTTAGCACCTCCTGGAGTGTTCCCGAGATATGTTCCCGGATTTCCCTCTCTGACTAGGACGACTAGATCGTCTGCATATACTTGAACCTCGACTTCCCATAGGCGAATAATAGCAATCAGATTATCTAACATGGTAAGGCATTGTTAAATGTCCAAAAAGGCCGCTATGGCAATTTCCTTGTTTTCCAAGGACGCTTTGATGCTCCCAACGAAGTTGTTGAGAGCAAGGTCTGTTGACTTACCAGCCTGATAGGCATATTGATGCACACTTAGAGGATGTCTCTTCAGAGCTCCCCCCCTTATGTACTCATCAATTACCTTTTCAAGACCTTTCAGCAGAAATGAGGTCAGACTAATTGGTCTGGGTTACTTCGCCACTGGATCTGTACGTCCAGGTTTTGGTATATAGACTACCCTTGTCACCTTCCAGCCATGTGATATGTGATTCCACAGGCTGGCTCTGTAGTATCCGATACAAGTAGCGCCATCTATTATCGGAGACTATCGTTGGATACGCACTTTTTTCATTGATTCCCTGTCGGAATATCATAACAATTGAACCACTCCACGCCGAGTTATAGCGCTCATAGTGACAGTACCTTTTTAGCATCGGTCGAAAAATGAGCATCGAACAGAGTCAATATTAGGTTTTGTG